CCTTTGTTTGGCGTTGGTTCGCAGCAGGCTTTTGCAGCAGTCGTTTGGCGCACGTGCCGGGGGAAAAACAGCGGCTATCGTTAGGTGGCGCGGCCGATCGGCGGCGGTACACGACCGGCCGCAGATGTTTCCAATGGGCCTGACTAATCGGTCCTTCGAGTGTCTGTTAAGACGCAAACGGCGGATCGCTGCGGCGGAAATGGCCGCCATTTGTCACCGATTCGACGCTCGACCTGTCGATGGCTGGGGAAAGTTTGGGTCTGCGGCCGCGTGGACGATAATCACCTCCCACCTTCGAACTAAAAGCCAGCTGATTTACTACGACTGGATTTATCGCTGCCTTATTCTAATGATTGCTGGCTGACGGCTGTGCCATGGGTAAGCGAAATATCCACACCGCATTGGCTGCTGCTCTTTCTCGCGAGCGTGCGTTTTCCTTGCTGATTGTTTTTTTTTTTGGTAGCTGACCTTCCATCGTAGACAGTTGGAAAGTATCTTCAGTCGCGTGCTTCGCTATTTTGCCTTCTAGCACCAATACAGTATTCGGTCCCTAGGTCAATATTCGCTGCCCCTGCTCCGCTGGTGTCATTTATACCTTCGCTGCGCTCCGCCCTTCTCAAAGGTCACCTGGCGGAGGTGTTCTCAGTGACCCCGCCAGCGGTTCGGCCAATTACGGGCCTGAGAGGGGTTCCGTCGGCCGGAAGCCAGACTGAGAGGCTGCTGGAGACACCGGACCGGTATTCTGGGACGGCTCGACCGGTGCTGACCCGGTGACAAGTGCTGCTGATTAATGTGGAAAGATGAACCTTCGGCGTGTCTTGCTCGGATTCGACTAAAAAACTTACGGTTGTTGCACGAGTTTTTGTGCAAAAAAAGAACTGTCATAAGCAGAACCGCCAGTTGTAAAAGAATATTTCAGTCTTATCCATAGGTAGGTTTTTTCCATCGGGTTATCTTGCTGCGAAATTCATTGCTTGGTGAAAAGAGTATTTAGCATTATCAATACGGCAAAATAGCGCCGGTTCGATTGGACTTAAGAGCTAGCTGAAAGCTAATCTCTGCCACAGCTGACAGCATATCGCAATATGACTTTCAATTCGTGTGACCTAATGGCCTCACCTGTATCGAATTATTGCCAATTACAGTGTTTGGTTCCAGTTGATGGAATTGGTATGTCTACTAACAACATAAGTGAATTAGTGTTGGCATATACCTAGATCAGGCGAAGACCGGGGTTATCTGTTTCCTCACGACTTGACGAATGGCAATGGTCTATCAGGAACTGCTATTTGACGGCAGAACTCCGCTGCGGTCCAACTGTGCGGAACATTTCAATCCGAACGAGCGGGGCTCTCGCGCGGTCGCGGCCCGCTGAAGGCGGCTGTCGGGCCGTTTGTCCCTCTGCACTGGCCGCTGGACATCTGGTGGTCTCGTATCACCATCACCTTATCGGTATCATCGTCTGACGTCAGTTCGACGAGGAAGGGTCATCGATTGCTCCGGCTCAGTGGTCACGGACGCTTCCCAGATCGGGCCCGCACGGCCGCGGCAAATTGTCTCCGGCAGTCCCCCGGCGGTGTCTTCTTCGAAACAGAAATGACGTCGGATGGTAATGTGGTAGTCGCTGAAATAGCCATTGACAGCGATATTGATACTAGGGATGCTGCCTATGTTTACAGTTTTTAGAACCAACCTGCCAAGGGGCCGCTGACCACTATTAGTTGAGTGCGTACCTACTGCATATCAGAGTCACTCGGGGCTGGTTTGTAACAGCAAAATATGACGTAAGGATCTTCCTGTTTGTGCTTTTGCAGGTGAGGTGACAATTGAGTATGACGGAGACGCGATGAGTTTATTTTCAAAAGGCTATCAATATTTTACAAATGCATGAAAGCTGCACAGATAATTGAGCCTGACGTCTTATCATAATCCTTATGCGGTTCATCTGTTCTCATTTCACAAATGATGTCATTAATCATAATATGGGACGGATCAGGAGTCAGCGCGGGCACCTGCTACCGCCAGCGTCTACCAAATGCATAACACAATTGATGGACTGTATTGGGCTTTGCTGGGATACCGACTGGCCTCATCACACACAACTCGATTATTCAGGAGCGATTATTACGCCTGGCGTCTGCTTCTGCTACTGCTGCTGACGTCACTGATAATGGTACTTATAGGGAAATTATACAGAGAGGCGGAATATCTATCGTAGAGCCCTCATTGGCCCTCATCGGTGCCACCCATATCACCGATTCTATAATTCCGTTGAATGTTTTTTTTTTCTTCCTAAGTAGGTTGTTTTCTGCCGGGTGATCATTTCGAGGTAGCATCATTTGTCTATAGGTATCCGGTGTTCGTCATGCTGTCGCTGAGGATTAGCAGGCATCTGTTTTTTTTTTATAGCAAGAACTGCTTCACCTAATGTGACTGCTGTTTGCACGTCTCTGGCTTCTCAGAATAGTTCAACTGATCAAACAAGTAACAAGAGGCAATTTACGAGCGCTCTTGTATTGCCAAAGTGCCGACGCGGCTCTTGTAATGCTGCTAATGAAGCTGGGACGAAGCTGAATGCTCACGTATTGTCAGGTGGTGGCTTACCCTATAGGTAGTGCTGATGCATCCGGTACACGCTGGTCGCAATGCAATAATCGAACTATAACGATGTGTCATACAAATGATGCTTTTGACTAAAATCAATATTCGCTAGCATAACATCATAGACCGTGCCTATAGAGCAGAGGTCACGGCACACCTCTTTCACTTCAGCTGAGAAAGCCGGCTGAACATGTTACTTACTGCTTTATAAACTGGCTGCTGTCTCATGAACTATAGCCAGGGTAATATTGGCTCAATAACCTGTTGCTGATATTTAATTAACTCAGTTTTAAGAACTAAAGGTGGCATTTATTGCTTTCTTTGGACATAGTTTTTAAAATCTTTTCATTTAAAACGTTTTCATTCACATCAGTTTCCCCAATTAGATGCTCTTCCTTGCACATAGCCTGGTCTTCTGCGCATTTTTAAGCTCGTTTACCGTCATGCCAAACTCGTCCAATCAACGGTTCATCGTCTCGAGGACCAGCGTCGATCCGCACACCGCCAGTTCAGATATCGCGCGGGGATGGAAATGGACGTCTGCACTGACCCTCTGTGGCGGATGTCTCTGATGCGCTGAATCATGTCGTGCTCTTGTCAGCTGTTGAAAAGTTTAGGCCTGTGACATAATTGGCTCGCTTCTTTACGTCAGTGGCATAGTTCATAGTTCATAGTTTATTCGTGGTTGCATCCACTGAGAAGTGGCTCTTCCAGCGCCCGAGTCACACATACAAGTCATAAGATATAAAACAGTGATGACATAAAATGAAGAGGAGAAACACGCGATAAGACATGGCACTCCGCGAACCTATCCTGCCTCCCGAAGCAGCAGAAGTCTCAGCTGTCGTTTGAAGGCAGGTCGCGACAGAGACTGCAGCTCATTGGGCAGTCTGTTAAATAACGCACTGGCATGAGATAGACGCCTAGCACCAGAGCATGTCTTTGCACGTGGGCACTGTAACTGGCCAGACTGCCGAGTGTGATGGGGTGTCGACACATATGAGAGCATCGCTGCAATATCCGCTGGCAACTGGGTATCTAGCGCAGTCTTGATCAGATGGCAGTATGCGTAGGCAAATTCTAATTAGATAACTTTGTGTGGTGAGCGAGCAGTTTCAAGGGAAGTGCGTGAAGTGGAATGCTGGAAAGCACAACGTCCTCCGTTTTTCCGGTCCACTATATCCAATGCCTACTTTTGTGTTTTTAATCTATTTATGAATTATTTCACGCATGTAGAATTAAATAGGTATTCCACCCTTAGCGGCTACATTTGTCAACTAATTTGTTGGAACTTACACAATTTAGGAAATATGTCAAATGGATTAGTTAATGTGTGAAAACATGTTAAGCATAGTACCTATGTATGGTGCACCTTGCTTATGGTGGAAATGTTCATATTATACAGGCATTTGCTTTCCAAAGAACTAGAACATTTCAACAGTCCTAAGCCAATGGTTGAATGTAGGTAGGTACTTTTGATAGGTGTTACGGCTTTTCTTATTTTATTTTTTTTAGGACACGCCAAAGCTAGTCGTTCACTTTAATTCGCCTTAGCGTGGAATTGTCTTATCATTTAAGCCCATGTGACAAATGATAAGGCCCATCGCTGACCAGCCTAATTTGTTCCGCGCTGACCTTAACATGAGTGTAACACGTCAGCGTTGAGGAGAACACAATCTTTGGTTTCCCAGAAGCCTGATGCGGTAGTTTCGGGATAATCCCTGGTGGCGGTGGGAGGATCAATCACGCGCCGTATATGCGGGCACGGCTTACCGGCTGATTGGACCGCCCGCTCCCGTGTCCTGGAACTCGACGGATGACCTGGCGTGGTGCGACCGCCGGCGGCCAGAGCTCTAACCCCGTGACACCAGGTCACCGCCAAAATACCCGACACCAGGGCCTCGGCACGGCCGTCCATTCATAACGTGTCAATGGGAGCGTTCGTTACAATACAGGTGGCACTTGTCTGGTGCTATTTTTGGCTGGGACCTGTGTCGCCATTTACCTGTTATTGAGAGTACTGAACTGACCTGACCCTCCCGAGGTCCCGTCTGACCTTACCGACACTGCGGGTAGCCGTGCGATCTCTGATGTTGACCCCTTGCGACCACTGATAAGTTCAGAGCTCTGATCGTGACCCAAACGTCCATGAACTTGCCTGTTTGGCCTTTGATGGTAATTCGAGATGGTGGCTGTGACCCTTAACGATGGCATGTGACCAGATAATGACCTTTGTCATCCATGTGACATAACGGTGACCTTGTAATCTGTGACCTCTGACGGTGACCCTTATGACTCATGTGACCTGAAAGTGACGTATGTGACTCCTGTGACCTCATACTGTGACCTCTGATGGTCTCCTAGTTGACCTCTGACGGTGACCTCTGTTTCCCTTGCAGACGATGCCAGCCAGCCGCCGCCGATCCCTGCCAACCTGGGCGGTGTGCCGCGGACGGACCAGCTGCCCGGTCACAGGCACCGCTGGAACACCAACGAGGTGAGGAGGCCGCCGCCACCGCCGTGACGGCAATTGGGTCTTCGAATCCCACTCCGACTTCAGACATGCTTGGGTCTACGAATCCCAGACATGTCTTCAGTCGTGCATCGAGATTCCGTTTCCTTTATCGACGCAATGGGCACCGATGACCTCTGAAGTCCGGGGCGCCCGAAAATAGCAAGCCTTCATCATCGTTTCATTTTTTATCCCTCAGTATTCTTATCTCCGTACATACATTTTCACTGTAGACAAAGTAACTACATAGGGGGAGGGGGTTGATATGGGAGAAGGGGGTTGATCGGACCCCCACAGCTGCTCGGCTCCCAATCGAGATAGACACTCACGAATAAAACGAGCACATTTTTCCGTTTCCGTTTCTCGCAAGCCTTTTAACTCCTTTGCATGAGTATTGAGTATGTTTTCAAGCCAACGCGTTATTTGATTATCTTATGCCTATGCTTAAATATCGCTTGGTCTTACGTGCTTACAGGCGCGCGATATACCTGTTAGGTGAAATAGCCTTCCTGGCAGTGCTTCCTTTAAATAACTATCTGCTGACTGCTGAGATCTGCTAGGAATTAAGCTGGGAGTGAGGACTGGCAGCTGGCTCTTACCATCGACGAAGCTGCATGAAAGAGCACTCGCTCGCTGGCTTCCGTCCACTTACCAATAGCACGCACTGACCTTTGCAGGCTTCCGTTAAAGGCCCGCTATTCAAGCACGACCACGTTCGGCAGTAATTCAGCCGCGAAAAACTGCGCGATCTGCTTGCTATAACCGAAATTGATAGCGTTCATGCCTGATCAATGACTCAGTGGCCGGCTTTGCAATCGGTCCACGCGTAAGGCCTTTACATGCACCTGTTTTTTTTTTTGTTTGTAAACAGAGGCAGAGCCGGCCGTTAGTTGTCTTGGATGCCGGCCTGTGCCACTGCTCCTAAATGTTCACACGTTTAACCTCGAACATAACAAAGTACTTTGCCGCCTCTTCAGGTTTGACCGCGAACTTTCCTGAACGAGACAACACACAAGCCCGGGCCAGGTGGGGAAAACATCCTCTCCAGTCCTTATTTTAGCCCGGCGGCGTGTCGTCCAGAAGTCGCCCCCTGTGTCAGTCAGCGCGCGCTCAGGCCGTCTCTGAACTCCGCTTCTCACGCCATCAAAGTCGTAAGAGGATTAGTATCGGCCGGCGGCCGGTGTTCGATCGGTCCCTGAGCTGCCCGCACGGCTCCATCGACCGGCTCACCTCCGCGAGGCGGCCGATTCCACCTCCGCGCCGCGGCCGATTCCACCTCGGCCGATGGCTCCTTTACTCGAGCGATTTCCCCTGCCCCAGGTGATCGGTAGCCCGATAGTCCTGGACGGACCTCCTCAATGGTCGGTGATGATCACCTATTGAGCACGAACACGAGCAGTCGCCGTGTCCGTGAACGGACCTTATCGTAGGCTCTCCTCCGACCTCTCACCACTCTTTGTCTGTCTATCTGTCCGTCTCTCCTTCTCTCTCTCTCTCTCTCTCTCTCTCTCTCTCTCTCTCTCTCTCTCTCTCTCTTTCTCTCTCTCTCTCTCTCTCTCTCTTTCTCTCTCTCTCTCTCTCTCTCTCTCTCTCTCTCTCGCTCTTCCCCTCTCTCCACCACCACTTGTTTTTCTCTCTTGTCTGTCGTCTCGATTTCCAATGGCGGTGCGCTTTGTCGATGCTGCTGCTGTCTTGTCTATTAATTTTCACTGAAAAGGAAGGTCCAAGTAGAGTCCATCTCTTGATAAGTACTTATCCTCTATTAGTTTCATTTTCTTGTATTTACAACAGTCATCAACAGGCTTACGCCTAGTGACAGGTGAAGTCAGGTGTGAATCATCTCTGCGATCGGTGATAGCTGACTTGCGCTGCCTGCCGGTTTACTGAATGTGTAGATATTCACAGAAAGTCGCAGCACCCCGGGCTGCCGCGGGATGCGGGCCTTGCGCCTCACTGACGGGTTAGACTGCGCCGCGCAACACCGATGTACGGCGGCGCAGTCTACCATTCAGTTAGCATCCCTCCCAGTCCCGGCTGAAGCCAACTGGCTAGCAATCATGCTGCCAGCGGCTTTTTGTACCCTCGTCAGAGCCACCTTTAACAATCGTTGTTCACGTCGCTCCAATTCTGCTTTTATTGAAGTGAGGATAAAAACCAGGTCATTATTGCGAGCCACGCAAGCGTGTGATGATGAGCCCACTTTGTCCAGCGGGTCAGCAGGATATCCACCGGTCGCGTGAGCTACGATGGAAGGATGGGGGTGGGGGTGGGGGGGTCGGTGGCACAAATAATGAAATAGTGTCCACCGTGTCGACGCCATCCAGTGCCACGCTACATTTGAACTACGCTACAGCTTGGTTCTGGAAAGCACTGGACGTCTCCGAGCCGAGTTGAGGTGTGATTTTAAGTCAATGTGCTACGTGTGTATGTATCTTTTTTGTGGCTGACTTAATGTGCAGCGATGCTTTACTGGCAGTTGTAACTGATACGAATCAATATTAAAGATGGCGCCCGTCCGCCCGCCTCTACTCCTAATGGATGCCTCCTGTCCGTCCGTCCCGACCTGCAGTGGATGCCGCCCATCCAACCGACCTCTTCCTCCAATGGAAGCCTTCCCTCCGCCCCCCCCCCCTTATCGTCCTCCGGGTCCTGGCATCGTGCCGACCCCGCCGTGTCAGCCGCTCTTCAATGCTGGCCTTTGTTTTTCAGGAGATCGCCGGTATTCTAATCAACTTCGAGTCCCACAATGAATGGCTCTCCAAGGAAGTAAAGATCAGGTGAGTGTTATTGTACGCGCTCGCGCAGCCTGGCCCGGGGATCCCCTGAGCGTCTCAGAGCCCTGAAGGAGGTATATACTCTCAAAGGGAGAGGCTGATCTTATTCTTGACCCGATAGTGCCCGCCTTCATAAAGGCTGATGTGAGGATAACAGAGCTGGGCTGGCGCAGAGAGGACTCCGCTGCACACTGTGTTCGTGTTTTATCGACGTGCTGTTTGCCGTGATCTAAGTGTGATGGGGATTGGGGCCACTCGCTGCCTATGTTTTTGGTCTTAGTATCTGGAACAGTGATGCTAGCGTTCAATTAGCAAGCAGCATAATTCCTTTCTTGTTTATTACACTTGCCTTGCATACAAAGCTTATACGCCGTTAACTAAACTCTTCATTTTCCTAGCATATTTTATTTTCAAAATCCGAGTAAGTCGTTGTGTGTGTGTCAGCTCTATACATTTGAGCTCATAACGTTTTATTACATTTTTCAAAAGAATATTGCCAATTTATAAGCCATTCTAAGCTGCTAGTTTCGGTTTAATTGTCTGAGACAGTATTTAATTGTGGCTGTAAGACGATCTTATCGCCGCCATGATTAAGACATTAAGTCCGATCTACACGTTGAACCAGACGGGGTCAGTGGACGGAGCACGTGTTTCGGCGCTATCAGGACCGGTACCTGCCGTTTGGCCGCGCTCTGTAGACGCCGTCTCTGGTGCAGCAGTACGGCTACAGTGCCTGCACGAAGTAGTCCGGGTAATGGCGTAACCACATTGTAGTGGTGTTTTCTATAAGGCGTGCCTGTTTTTTTAATGTCTTTGTAGTCTCAAAGGTCTATGTATGCCCTATTAAAGATCATGCACTTTTTGTGTTGCTGTAAAGAGTTAATATAAGACTCAGGTACGCATACAGTGGATTCATAAGTCAAGCAGCTTCATTTTGTAATGAAACTTGCAATTAAAATTCGAAATTAAATAACGCGCGATGAAGTCTTCGTGTTATGTAAGAGAGCTAGGTTCGTCGGTAAATGTTTGCAAAGTATGAGTTCATTTGGTGTCGGTGGTTGTCAGATATTCAGATACCTTCATAATCGTATGAATTTGATAATAATAGTAGCTACCTCGTCTTTCAATGAAAGTTACACACGACTCGCAAATTTACAATACGAATATATCGAAGACCGGTCGGCCGAGAGCATTGACACCGGTAAACTGATGGCGGTTAGTGTAGCGCTATTCTCCTCGTAACCTACATAGATCCCAGTCCTACCCCCAGCACCCGTCACTGTGACCGCAAGGGCCGCCACAGAGTAGCGAGGAGGGAGAGCGCCACAGCTGCAAACCCCCTGCGGCGCTATACTGTCCGAGCCGGGTCACTGGGGTCGCGATCGGTCGATGTATGGGTCACGTGCTCACTCACAGAAGGCTCTCTGGTGTTTGGCGGTATGCAAAATTGAAGTTGAGCGTGCACGTCGGTACTGGACTGCGGTCGTTTGAGGCTTGCCGGTTTGACGATTTGGATGGAGACTGGGAGGATATATGGTTCACCTTAGTTAGTTATTAAGCACTTCAGTTTCGTGCGCTGTTAGAATGCTGATTTAATTTTAAATAAGACATCCTGAAGTCTGTTTCGCCCGAGACTTCGCCGATAAAATGTAAAAAAAAAATCGGCATGCAAGCCACTGAAACGTGTCATATGAGCGAAGAATTGTTGTACACTTTACGTTAAAATCATTACAGTTTAAATATGATAAAATTCGTGTTGCCTCATGCAAGTTGCAACATTAAATTCATGCTGGTTCAGCTCTGTGTTTGACCTCATTATCAGATTTAGTTGACAATGGAGTTTGTTTTGAAGCAGTCCATTGTTTTATTGTGCCGTGCTCCCTACTATTTATAAAATAATTCAGCTGATCTGTGATGCGATGTTTTCAGATCACATTTTTGTTTTGCATATAGTTAATTCTATGAATTTAAGTAATTAAGGCTCAGGTGCGGCGTCATAAAGTGCTTTAGTTGAAATGATATATTATAAATATACGTGTTTTGATTGTTCATTTGTTGTGCTTGCCACCGTTGATGTGTTGTAACGGTGGTTGTCATAACATGGCATGATATTGCCATCATAACTTACCTGCTTAATTGGATAATTGCAACCTTTTGCGCATTAGGCATTTTGTGGGCCACAGCAAGGCTGTTTCGATGATTTATTTTCATTTTCTTTTTCATTCATCATCCACCGTCCGGCTAACTGCAGACTTCATTACGATCCTTTCCGATGATTAACACCATCCATCCATTCCACAATCCATGCTCACTCTAACTCGCATTATTGTGTGTGATCACAGGAGCCTCTCGGTCCCTTCCTCCCTCCCTCCCTCCGTCAGAGAACAGTGGTGCGTGCTCTGCCCTCGGCAGTGAGCGCCCGGTGGCGTGACCTGCCCCGACCCGTGCATTGCCCTGGGGCGTGCCTTACCGTCATACGTGCCAGTGCCTGTGCGTGCCGCCGGCCATTTGGCCCGGTCACTAGGCGGGTGCTCTGCGCCGCCCGCCCCCCACTCCGCCGAAATATGGGGGCGTTTGTTTGGGCTCGCGTCCCGCTGTGGCCGGCTGCGGCCGTCTCAAGTGTTTATTGGGTGCTCATAGCGTAACACAACAGGAGGGTTTTTGCGGCGGGGAGTGGATGGTCTGTAGTGATTGGACCCTCGCGTGGTGCCGCGCGCTGAGTCGCGCTGCTCTGGTTGTGTGTCATGGCTGTCTGGTGGTGCTGATGTGTTTGGCCCTGGGGTCTGAGCTGACGTGACCTGATGTGTGACCCTGGGGTCTGACGTGGTGTGACCTGATATATGTAAGAACCGAGGATCTGAGCTGACGTGACCTAATGCGTGACCCTCGGGTGATTTGACTGAGTTGGTGTATTACTCCGGAGTCTGACGTGACCTGGTCTACTGAGTGTTCCTTGTTTCTGACGTGCTGTGACCTTGTGAGACCGTGAGGTCTGACGTGATTTGACCTTTTCTGTAATGTGATGATTTTTCTTCTACGATAGCATTGTTGATAAATGTGGCTTTGCATTACCATGTCCTGACACTGGCTGCCATGTGACGGAGTTATTTGCCGCGTTACGGTGATATGTGACGTAGTTTATATGCGTTAACCCTCGCCCGCACATGGGGGGGAGGGGGTGGTTGCCACCCCCCAGGCAGTCTTTCTGCTCTGCACTCAACATTTTTAGAGCTAGAAGGCTGATTTTTCGTATAGCTGCTCGTCTATCCTTTCTTGATGTCCACTGAAAATTTCAAGTTTCTGTGATTTTTGGTTTCGGAGATATGACCTTGTTTTTTAGGTCATGTCATGACCCAAATGGCCAATTCTCAACATCTTGCGTTTGCCATGGGCCTTGTGAGCTTTTGACACCCTGATTTCGGCCTTTTTTGCCAGTCTTACCTCCCACCTATCATGGAACATGTTGTTCGACGATGTACAGGGGTCAAGGTCAGGGTCAAGGTCAACCTAGGTCATCTAAGATAATTGCGTTTTAGGCAAGCTGAATTTACTTTTTGTGAAGTTTTTTGACTGCATTTTTGGTAAAAGCTTCTCAGATCATGATTTCATGTGATATGGACCCAAAAACAATCGGTGCACACATCAGTATACACACAGACACACACAGACATACAAACACATATAATTGACCTTGACCTAACTTGACCTGAAATGACCTCAGCAGCAAAATTCTGGTCGGATAGTGTGACAAAGAGGTTCTAGCTGGCTTGGCACCAGAAAACAGCATCGTCATCGGTATTTGATAAGCAGCGCCCTTGATATCCAACGGTGACCCAAAACAGCAACATTTTTTAGTTTGACCTGACCTGGAAGGTCAATGACTGACCTGAGAAGGTAAAACTGGGTATCATTGGATTCGTCTCTTCCCAAAGAATCTTTTTCGTCTTTACTGCTAAGCTCTATCTCCAACAGGAACGAAATGGCGCGGGGGGGTGGCAACCCCCCCCCCCCCCATGTGCGTTCTAGGATGGGAAAATGGCATGTGCGGGCGAGGGTTAAGGACCGGTGATCTGTGTCACGATGCGCGTTGCCTTGCTACCATGTTTCGTGACGTCAGCCGTGATCGTCCCCAGACCATGCAGCGGCTCGCTGATGCTCTACAGCCGGAAAAAGGTCCGCTACAGGCGCGACGGCTACTGCTGGAAAAAGCGCAAAGACGGCAAGACCACGCGCGAGGACCATATGAAGCTCAAGGTTCAGGGCATTGAGGTGAGCCAGAGAGAAATAGCGTGTCTGGTACAAATTCTTTCTTCTGGTGTATGCATAATTCTTTTGTGTTCGCCTAAGCTCTTTTTTACCTTCGTCGATAGTCCTTTCATTCACTCTAAATTTTCTTTTTCGTAAAGCATAAGATGCTATTCACGCTTCCACCGCCCACCAATTCTATCTCCAACGCCCGCTCATTTAAACACCAATCGTTAAAGTCATCCAGTCTGCGTGGATAACCGTGAAACGGTTGACGGTGCTCAGCCCTCCCCTCATTGGCTCGCTCTGACCTTCGTCCAGCGTGCCCGGCTTTTCTGTAAACTGTCATCGCCGCGCTGATTCGCCGGACGTGTTATGGTCCCTTACACGTCATGCCCCAATAAAGGGCCAATGGCGGGCGACCATTGCCGCCGCGGCTTTGTCTGACAGCCGTGGATCCATTTGTTCTCCGGGCCAACAATCGTTTCAGTTTTATTCGTAGTTTGTCGTAAAATGTCTGTGAATAGGCGGCCCGCGTAATTTACACGATAGTGTCGTTCACGTAAAGCAGAGAAAATGGCCATTGGCTAATGTTGGTTTGTTCTGTAATCAAAGCTTGGAAGAGCGTTTCTAGATATACCTACCTCATATCTGATTCAAAATGCTCAAGTGAGTGACACGAGATGGCCTTCAATCCTTACTTGAATATTTTTATACTTCTCTTTTTTGTCATTGTCTTTATTCAATATGTCTTTTTGAAGTAATTACTCTTACTCGCTTTTGTTTTGCTAAGGACCCAAAAATGTGGCTCAATATGCAGAGTTCCAAGTCTTTTCTCCATATATGTTTGTTTGCTCGGCTGCGTTGTCGTTGTTTTAATTTACTTCATGTATTGTCTGCAAATTTTCCCATTCGTAGCTGCATTATTACTCACTCACTCAGGTAGCAAGCAATCCACATACGACATTTAATCAAACATAAACTTGGCAACCTGTGATTTGTATCCAATTATCATTTGAGTACTGTCTGAAACAGTCTATGTTTACTTGAAAACTTTGGCGATCTGCACAACAAGCTGGCTTTGGTTTATGCTAATAGCTTTGTTTGTCCTGTAAACTTGTATGCAATGTGTAAAGCAGCATTTCCAGTGTGGGCATCGCTCAAGTACATTGCCATTTCTTGGATATGCTGTACCGTGACACATGTATACAATAAATGCAATGTAACTAAATGCTGTGCACCATGCTGACATTTTACTGTCGCTCCAACTAGGAGCGTTTTCAGGCGCAAATGCCATCCGTACTGCCCATTCGGTGGTTGTGTTGACCCGTGTCCCCTCCCTCACCATGTTTCAGTGCATTTACGGCTGCTACGTGCACTCGGCTATCCTGCCGACTTTCCATCGGCGCTGCTATTGGCTCCTTCAGGTGGGTTCGGGTCATCACCCGTGGAAGGGGGTGGGGACTAGATGGGTCTGAAGGGTTATGTCGCCTGCGTCTGGGTCAGTTCTGTGCGGCTTAGACGACGTTATTGCTATGGGCAGCTGTGTTTGTGACTGGGGGCTGTCATGTGCCCATTGTCTGAGGGTGCAGGTGCATTTGTGACTAGGATTTGTCAGAGGTCATTGGGTCCATCTGTACAGTGAAACAGTTGAACTGAGCCTCAGCTTGCCGTGTCTATTTTAAGAATCAAATAACAGTTCGCTTAAAAATAGAGACAATGCTCTTTTGTAAAAACTTGCTCTAAATGAAGCTGACGAGGAAAAATGAGCGAAACACGGGCATGCGAAGAGAAATGTTTTCGCTTATTGCTCTGCCATGAAGTTTGCTCGGACGATTGTAGTGCAGGCTCACGTAGCGCGGCAGCAAAGCGAGCCACTGCGTTTTGACTGAACGAGTGCACACTTAATCCGCCGGGCCAGCGGACAAAGCGGCCACTTCTGACGGCCGCCGCGGCACGCCGGGCGGTGCCATTTCATTCGGTCTGGCGCCGGCAGCCCCCGCCCGCGGCGATTTACATGTGAATGGTGTCCCGGCGTGGTCGGTACGACGGTCTGGCGGCCACGCGCCGTCACGTTGCTCGACACTTGGCCCTGGCCGCGTCCGACCGGAGGCTGGGACAGATCGGAACGTCATGCTGGGTGATTTTGGTGGGTCGGCGGAGCATCAAAACTGCTGGAATGGGTCAACAATATGCCGGAACATATAGTTAGACAAGAAATCATGAAAAGCTTTTTTATTATTTAAACACTCTTTTATTGACAAGTCAATAAGGCGTGTCCCCTAAGAAATAGTTACAGGAGTTAAACTATGCTGGATGATCCGTGATCAACTCGAATGGGTGGACCAAAGCCGTCCTCTCTCGGCGTCTCAGATGCGGCGCCTCTCCGTCAGTGTTCGTGCTCCGCGGTGCAGCATACGTTTCAGGCGCGCACGACTAGTGCCATCTATTGAGCGGACATGTTAACTGACTCCTTGGACAATCCTCACGCCTATTCTGCAGACGTGATTGCATGTAGGCGCCTTTCTGATAGCAGCGGCGGTGGTGGCGCGTTTCGGGAATGTGTCTCTCTGCCGCCGTGTTCTGATGAGGTGATTACGGGCCGGCATCTGACGTCCGATCTCTGCCTCTGCCCGCCGCTACAGCCCGCCCACTGCCGTCGATAGAGTTCCTCGAACCCGACCGTGTCGGTCGGCTCGGCACTAATAACGTCTCGGCAGAGAACAATTCCGGCGGCCGAGCCGGCGTCCGCCTGGTTAATCCTGTTCCTAGCGCACAGACGGGCATACAGACAGACACACAGACAGCCATACAGACAGAGACACTGCTGGACTGACAGACAGGCATGCATACAGACGCACTGCTGGGCCTGACAGACAAGCAGACAGACAGCCGCTCGAGTGGAGATAGTCATTGTGTGAAGGCTGCACTGAAGCTTACCGCTCCGACTTTGGCTTGTTCCGTTCAGTCACTTTCATCGTATTCACTCACATTCCGTTATATTGTGCTGTGGTGTCGTGTTGTACGCTTTACTTTAAATTTCAACTACAACAAACAAGCAATTTTCCTTCCTTCGCATTCATTCAATTTTGTTTCATTTTATTTCACAATATTCTGTCTTACTCCATCGAATCTCAATTTATTTAGTCCCATTCCACAAAATTGGCTTTCATCCTGTTCATTTAGCATTCACCCTAGCTCCATTTTATACCTCTGATATTGATTCTGGCTCATATCACTTCATTCATTTTTGTTACCCTTTTCATGCCTTTCCATTTTCAGCCAACCAATTCTGAACCATTTCACCCAGTCGCATCATATCCTGTCCCGTTAATGCCCATTGGTCGTGTGTTGTCTTTAATGTATGGGTTCATTTTGTTTACCCTGGCACTACACAATATTTACCTCCTAACTAAAAAGGCCAGGGCTTCTGCATAGTGCACACCACCCTATGAGAAGCAGCGTTCCCCCACATCCCGCCACATTGTGTCTCAGCGGCCGACGGCTCGGCCCGGGCTCTGCCGGTGCACACAGCGACTCATTGATCTAGGCGGGTCATCAGTCACCGGAACCAGGGCGGCCGTTGTTCCCTTCGCTAACTGTTTACTAAGCGCTGCGTCTGAGTTAGCGGCCGACCGCACCGCATTCCGCCGAACTGCGACACTGAGCCACGCTGTTAGAGCTGATACACAGGGATACGGCGAGACGCGGTGGGCGAAATGGGGTTTATGATTCCTGACGGCTGGAGTTGAGTTGCGGAATGTTTTGTTTTATAGGTATCTGATGGAAGTTATGTTAGTGAGATCCACCATCAGCTTGGCCAAATTCGCTGGGTCTCTTTGACACCCTCCAAAGCCCCTGTCGATAGTGTCTGAAACCATAAACTTGTCAGTATAGCCCTGCTGGAGCGCGTACCAATAAAACCTTACCCGAACTAATCTGCACGCTATCGTAAAAGTTAGTACATCGATGCTTATAAAAAATCCATCAGATATGTCGATAAGTTTTAACCCGCGCCCCGTTGGGCTCTGCCGAGCAACGCGCCCCGTTGGGGGGGGGCCATTTTGGCCCCCCCCTAAGATCTCGAGAACCACGCAACCTAGCGACAAGCCGCAAACGGTGTTGGATAGCCCTATCAGGGAACTACCTTGTGACCCAATTTTATTGACCTAGGTCAAACTGATGACGTCACAGGTCAGGTCAAAGGTCCAATTTTCACCGTTTACAGGCATTTCAAGAAATGCATTGTACAATCGAGTAAAATGCATTTCATTGAAAATCATCGATGGGGAAATGTTCTTCAAACACATATTTTGCTAGTTGAGGTCACTGATACCAGGTCAGGTCACAGAGGTCAGGTCACTGGGGGGTCACAATATGAAAGTGTCGTGTGATACGTGTTTTATGGTCCATTTTACATGACAAATGCGATTATGTGGGTCAGGCAGCCTTTGGGGCCAGCTTAGGTAACGTTTTGGTCAAGGTCAGGTCAAGGTCAGGTCAAGGTCAGGTCAAATTAGGTCAAATTTTAAAGTTGATATTTTTGCATAAAATGGGTATCGAATCGACGCAGCTCGTCACGGGGAGTTCAATGGTGGTCTTTGTTTTGCCGTACGAGGTCTAGAATCGCTAAAAATTGAGTTCAAAAATTTGACGTCATCATTTTTGAACAGTTTTTTCGCTATAACTTGGCCAAAAAACAAGATATCGATCTGAAATTTGGTATGTATATAGAAGAGCGCAGGGACTATCACATATATTCCGGTTTTTTCGAAATTCGGAAAAATTTTGGATTTTTTTTTAGTTTTTCTAAAAAAATCAATTTTTTGAATTTTTTTGGGTCAAAAACCCAAAATTTCGAAAATCCGAGATAGCAGTTTTGTAGCGCCGCTTTTTGTCTACTAGACCATATAAAGAACTTTGAAATTGCTTGATAACTGTAGATTTGGTGAGCGTTTAAAGATTGCATGTTTTTTGCTCATTTTTGCTCGAACATGACCTCAGTTTGACCTCAATAACTCCTGACCTAAGGTGACCTAAGACTTGAAATTTGGTGTGAAGGTGTCAAATTGATGCCCGGGAAGGTACTGAAAATTTGGCGGCGCTGCGCGCCGCCGTTTTCTTGATATTCAGGAAAAACCACAGGGGGGGGCCAAAATGGCCCCCCCCCCCAACGGGGCGAGGGTTAAACGAATAAAAGTGGTCTCCCAACTCGTCTGTGGCTCAAACGTGATGTGAAGTTCGTACAAACCTTATCATCGTATCCCCTGCTCCCCGTGTGATCTGAACTCGACACATCCTGACCCCGACACAACCTGACCTTATGCGCAACCTGACCCCGTGCGCGGCTGTGCTTGAGGATATGCGAACGGGAAGCCGTTCAGTGACCCTCTGGGCCAGGTCCGACCGGCTGTGTCCGGCTCTGAGTGTCCAGGGCATCCGTCCGGCCGGGCCCCGCTGACCGGGCCGTGCTGACCGGGCCGGCAGCACTGAGCCTCTATTTCGGGAGACGCCGCGTGTCGACTGCTGCTGGTGGTGGCTCCAGAGGGGCGCGGGACGACAGACGACCCGGTGGGGCTCTGGGACAGACGACAGACGGGCAAGCGGGGCGCTGGGACAGGCGACAGACGAGCAGGCGGGGTTACACATTATACAGACGACAGACGACCCGTTAGTTCTCTGGGACAGACGAGAGACGACCCGGCAGTGCTCTTGGACTGGCGACAGACGATCCAGCGGGGCTCTCGGACAGACGACAGACGAGCAGACGGGGTTACACAAACGACAGACGAGCAGGCTTGGCTACACGAGCGACTAGCGAACCAGTGGGGACTATGGGACACGGGAACAGACCACTGGCTAGACGAGCCTCAGGACTCTTGGTCAGAGGACATACAATATCCGGCATGAAATAGACAATAGATGACAAAGGAGCTAGTTTCGAGACAGACTCCAGGCGACCTGGCTGGGAGAGAATGAACCAGACGACATACGGTAGACGACCTTGAGGCTAAAACGTTCGATAAAACGTTCGAGTAAAAAGGACGAAGGCGGACACTTGGACGGAATAAGTCATCGCTTCTGTCGTGCCAATAACAGACTAACATCCCTATCATGACAGTGGGTTGTATGAGCGTGTGACACTGTTTACTGCCCGGAACGTCTTGGCGTGGGTCGGTGAGAGGAGTTACGAGCGGTTTATGACGTCCGGTCGGCGTTCTGTCGGAGCTTCTGTCGATGATGACCCGTCGGCCGTGACCAAGCTACGCCGCGTGGAGAGCGGTGGTCCGTGACAGTAGGACCGGCGCTGACTGGACATTCATGTCGTCGTCAGACGCGGCGGGATGGAAGCGATGCAGGATAGAGATATAAACCGTCAGAGGTAGCTATTAAATCAATTGTGCCAACTGTCTCCGGCTCTGCACCGTCACACGAAAGGACGCCGCTGCGAAGATAATCGAGAGAGATAGCTAACTAGTTTCTCATTTCCATTCAGACGAGTTTCTGAGCGGCGCAGCTGTTATTGAGTGTATCCCCTGAGTTCGCTGGCCGAGAGCCCGCCGGCCACGTCTGGAACTGCCGCAGCTGCGTGCACGCGTCGCCGGCGAGGTGCTGAGAGTGACGTCTGCGATTGAAGCCAGCCGCGAGCGCGGATCAATGGCCGCTCGACCCCATTGTCACACCGTGAGCGGCCCATCCGGCACGGCGAACAGAGCACGTGACCAGAGCGGAGACGGCGGACACACACACAGACAGACAGACAGACAGACAGACAGACAGACAGACAGACAGACAGACAGACAGACGAACACAACGGCCCATCCGCCACGAGGGCCAGAGCGCGTGACAGTCCAGCGCGGAGACGACTGCACACACACCCAGGAGGTTACGTGACCTCTGAGAGTGCCAGTGTCTGGCCGAGTGCCCGCGGTCTGATGGAGTTCGATCGCGCTGTCCAGTCCGTCTCTGGGCGGTCAGTGATGGGAGACACGACCACCGACCATCGCCGCCCAGATTAGGCTGGGAGGGAGGAGTGATGCTGATTGGAAACAGAAGAGAGAATGATAGAGATAGAAAGGAGGGCGTGAGAAAGTGCAGGAAAGGGAAAAGAGAGACGAATGAAGAAGCATTGGAGACTGTGGAGCTATGCTGAATAGCATCAAACATGCAGGAAGACCGAGTGAGCGCATCGCTCTGCGCTGTGGGCGGAACAACGCTCTGTTTAACCTTGACGGAGCGCTGAGCCGCTGCCGCGCGACATCCGAGACCGGTCACCGGAGAAGCCCTGGGGAAGCCGCTCACCCCCCCCCCCCCTCCCGGCGGGGAGGAAGTCGCGTGTGACGTCAGCGTCGATCGCTGGTCGGCTGTTTCGGACGGCCGTTTGGCCGCCGGAGGGCTGATTCAGATTCACGACAGCCATCAGTCTACTCGCGGACTCCGAGCGGCCTGCGAGTGCGACTAGCCTCGAACGGGATACCGAAAGAAACACGGACAGACCCCGGTCGGGGTCTGGACAGGGCACGGACCTACCCCGAACGGGCGCTACCAGGGCGCACTTTGAGCGATCGTCGAGCGTTCACTACATAGACGTATGGCCAGTTGAACGAGCGATCCCCAACCGGCATCCGGGATTGATTCCGGGGCAGCAAACAGTCTGGCTTCCCTTGACCCTGAGCGAGCTGCAAATACCCTGGATGGTCCATGATACCGAAGCGTGTCCCGAATGATATCCCTGGACCCTGGAACTACTAGAAATGCGGAAAAGGGAAACGGTGCTATCCGCCTTACGTAAACCGGATTTCTCTCGTCACTGGCCGATTGGTTACATGTTGGTTAATAATGATTAATAGAAAAAAGCGTTATTCGTACTTGTGAATTGTGATGCTCTGATGATGATTCGTGATACTTGTCGCCTTCAATGTGAATGCATGTTTAGAGCGTTTTCGACGGATGCAACTCTCATGGTTCATGTGCTTATTTATGTTCAGCGACTTACTTTCGTGACCCGTATTATGTTTGCGTTGAGCACTCGGGCTAAGTTCTCTTATCGTTGTGTCGTGTGGGCGGCCTCCGTGTCGCGCCGTGTAGACGCATTGAGTCGGGACCGCTGTGAGTAGAAGGAGCCAGCGGCGGCTTTTGTTGGCGCTATGCTAATGCGGCCCGTTCGTGCTGAGTGAACGCTAAGGGAGCGCCGCTGGAGCTGCAACGACCCGGTTATGGTTTGTCCGACCATAGAGCCGAGCTAATTTATAAGGCACGCCTGTCATGGGACCATTCTCAGCCGGGCGGATACACGTGTCGGTTCGTTAATCAGCCCACTAATGGACGGTAATTTCTCTGTCAGGCCGGCTGCTGTCAGATTCAAATTATTATCTTGATGACATTAATAGCTGTAGAACTGCCGTCATAAGGCATGGTTCCCTGGGACACACACGACCCAGCCAGTTGAGTCGTCTCTCCGTCTCCGTATACCGCCGCTAACCGTCTCCCTCCCTCCCCGGCAGAACCCGGACATTGTGCTGGTGCACTACCTGAACGTGCCGTACCCGGACGACAACAAGATGCTGCTGGCGCCCAGCCTGTCCCTGTGGACCGAGCGCAAGGAGTGGACGCATGACGAGCTCGTCTCCCAGCTGCGGCCCATGTGTGAGTTCCGATGCCGCGCCACGCACCGCCGGGCTAGCTATGTGTGTACTGTGCAGTGTCGATATCGCATGCTAGAATATTACAATACTCACATATTGCCAGAAGATTGAGATTCTTGGTAAACGCTGACGCATGCGGGGCTTCATCACACCGGCCTGCGTTGGAAACACACTTTGCAGTTTGCAGGTGCAGTCATGCAGATTGCGCAATTCGTGCTATGTTAACTGCGTGATATACCTAACTGCATCGTTTCGCGTGTTAGTCAGGACCGTTCGAGATATTGGCATTTGAAATCAGCACAACGGAGCCGTTATCTTACTCAAACAGCCTTGCCGGGAGCCAGTACGCAGGTGATCCAAGTAGCAAGAAGCACTCGACTGAGTTTCGAAATAAGAATGGTACTCAGCTTATGGGTGTATGGTGTCCTTCCTTTCTATCATTTGCAAAACCTACAATATGTATTGTAGCTACAAATGCGTTACTCTGCGTAGTCCCTAACCTCCGATTCTGATCTCGGAAACCCGTTCATTCAACAACAACGGGATGAAATTTCTGAAAAACACCTCACGAAACGTTCCTTCTTGAAACCCTCCTTGCCACAAGTCGTGTGTACCTACATACGTTGTCACTGACATTCAGTGTCCTGGTAACCAATCGGGTGCCGCGGGCGTGACGGTCCTCCCCGGCCGTCCCAGGACATGGCAGCTGATTGTCACCCCGGCTCGGTCGCTGGATGAGCCTGTCGCTCAGAGTTGACCTTCCGCGGAGTCACCCTTCGTCCGCTGTGACCCCCAGGGGTCTGTCCGGTCGGCGACAGTGCTCTCACGTCCAGACATGTGCTTGGATGCGGAAAATGGATCTGAGATCCGATCCCATGGATCCCGATCCGAGATCCATTCAGATCATAGATCCAACCCCTCAATTTTGTCGAGAGATCTACTGGGATCGTAGATCTGACCCTTCAATTTTGTCGCTAGATCCACTCGGATCATAGATCTGGCTCCCCAATTTTGTCGTGAGATCCATTGGGATCATAGCTCATAGGTGCTCAAAATGTTAAAGGAAAAGGGCCATCTTCGTGAAATATGAAGATATCGTTGTTTTTCATTTTGACATTATTATTTTTCATTTTCTTTTTAAAACTGGTGCCAGAAGTGCACAATTCGCGAAAAAGTATTTAAAACTATTTAACATATTGGTACTATGTTGATACTCTCTGCGGCACCTACTGTATGATGGCATAGCGATGACGTCACACTCAAGCCAATCATCGTTCAGAAGACAGACTCGTCGGGTTGTGTCAGATAAGCTGATTGGTTAAAGCTGAGCTGATTGGAGCTGATTGGTAAAAAACCAAAGCCTCGCCGCGGGTGGCTGTATTGTCGGATAAGAACGCATTCCTGGGATAAGGACGCATTCCTGGCATATTTTCTTTTAAAATTGCCGATAACTACGAATGGAGGCCGAAATCGGCCGTAAGGAGGTAGACAGATAGGTTTTCGGACACGGGCTACAAGATGGCTATCTCAGTTTCAATCCCCATGTTAAAGGTGGCCCTTTTCCTTTAACAACTTTCTTTCATAAGAAGTTATGAATACCAAAGTATGGTTAGAAACAAAAAAATCTTATACAAAGGCCATATTAGTAAAGGCATCCAGTTACATTATACAGAATACAAAATAAAGGAGGCTCATGACGGTCACAACTTGAGAGAATTGAGTGACATGAAGATTGTTCACAGTTCACATACCAACAGAAAAGTTTGCATTAACAATTAACATAGAGGTAAGTCAAAGTAATGACTAATGAACAATACATAACTGGGTACCTACCACATCACAATTCATGTTAGAATCTACATAATGATATTGATAAGAAAATCTTGCATTAGACAACCATGAGGCTTTCCAGTTCCCAGCTACCACAATTGATTGACAAACAATAAAAGATGATACTGACACATGTGGCTTGGTGAGGTAAAGGTTTTTCAATCTATTGAAATAAATATTTGATAAAATAAACTGAGATATAAACAAAAGTATAAAAAATATTCAACAGCCTGCAGAAGCGATGGGAAGCGAAATATCAATTGTAATGGCCTTGGATATTTACCGTAAAATGATTATTCAGTATCTAAATAGAACTCGTGACGTCATTTCAAATAACAAATGAGCTAGGCGTTCTACCTTCGAGTATAATGAAAATAAATAAAAAATCAAACTGGAAATTCAAAAATCTGGAGTTTTTTAAGAATGTTCATTTTTTCTGCCTCACATAATTTTACGATACGATTGTTTGTGAATATCATCTTTGTAGCGTTGAATTTTATGACGTAAACGTAAGCTGAAACGGTATTATATGGCCCTGAGCGGTGTGCGCCTTGCATCTTTATTTTATTCACTTTCCAAAAAATAACAATATCTTACGTCATTAGTTTAAAGGGCCTATTACGGGGACTCTTTTGGAATCATTACGGTTTTGGTAAAATTAAGATTTTTCATTGGTCAAACGATAATGACGTAATAAAACCATATTACCAAAACGTGAGCTGTGAATATCGTTTGCCTTTTTTTGGGAGGCTCGCTCATAACAAAAGCACAGCATGGCACCACACGTGGCACGATGCCAAAAGTAGGTAATCTGAAGAAGTTGATGCCATTTTTGAACTTGTAATTTTATTAGGAAAGTATTAGAGGTTGGTTGCTATTCTTACTAAATCGAAATTGTGTTGCACATACTAATAGCTCATACGAACATTCTGGATTGGGATTTCATACCTGGCAGAAGTGGATTGCTGGATTATTATTTTTAACAAAACTGACCTATTTGGCTTCCAGGTTTGATTTCCTAACATCTGTCCATAGACGGCAGAATAGGGGGGGGGGTGGCACCAGGGTACAGTGCCCCCCATAGATTTTGGCATTTTAACATTAGCCCTACTGGCGTTGCATGGAAAGAATGGGACCAAAATGAAAATCTGCAGTGCCCTGCTGCCACTGCATCTGTCTGTACTGTTTGTTCATTGAATTAAAGTGGCTGTAGCTTGTTGATAAGATTGTCATCAGTGCTGTCATGAAAAAGTTACAATTGGTCACAAAACGTAGCAATATGCATGTTCTTGGTTTATTTTAAATGTAGTACAAATGTTGTTTATTTAAATTCAAATTTAATGATGATACCTAATGATTACAAGTGGTCTTAACCAATAACCATGTCCACAAGTGATAATTCTCAATTGTATTGCACTGTAAGGTGTACAATTATGTAGGATAAGGGTTTCATTGGCTACATGTTGTCGTGAGATCCATACAGATCATAGGTCCTCCACAAATTTTTGCCCGCTGGATCCACAGAGATCATAGATCCGACCCCTAAATTTTGTCGAGAGATCCATTCAGATCATAGATCCAACCCCTGAATTTTGTCGAGAGATCCACTCGGATCATAGATCCAACCCCTCTATTTTGTCGAGAGATCCACTGAGATCATAGATCCAGCTCTCGGATCCAAGCACATGTCTGCTCACGTCACTGACGTCACTGGAACGGTGACGTCACTGGTCTGATAATGACGCGCCGTCAGACACGGCGCAGATTAGCGCGGCGAATCTCCTCCACGCGCCGGCGAGAGCTCTCGGCAAGGTTATGACGCTCCCATTACGGTCCTGAGAGGCCCGAGTCTTTGTCGTTGGCTCGGAATGGTGCGGCGAGTCGGCGGCGCAGCGCGAACTGGGCAGTAGCTCGCACCATTTGCCGAGCAGACCTCCATCCGACGTCCAAATGCGAGTTACGGCCGCGATAGTGTCCCTGCTGGCTAGTGCAGTGGACGGCGGACAACGGAGCCTTTCTAGGACGGGACCGAGCTCGCCGAGTGGACGACCGTCGGTAGTTATCATCGACTGTGTTTCTGAAGTACGGTGATGACGCCGCGAGGAACTTGCAGTGGACGGTAGGGTTGTTCAAAAAAACCGAATTTTGGAAAAGTATATGGGCTCATGGCTCATGTGGTGCGGTATTCTTTTCTGAGTCCAATGATGCCCTTTTTTCTGAAAAGTATTAACTGTTAGGGGCTCCTCAAACGGCTTAAAGAGGACCATGTCACGCCCGCCGACCGGCCGGTGTCAATAAGGGCGAGAACTCGACGCCGCGCGCCGGCGGCAGCGCCTTATCGGCACCGCGCGCCACGACATCTGCCGGGCGGCCGGCTGGGCGGTGGGAAGTTATAAGTGCGTGGTCTTATTGCACGCGATCGGGGTGAGCTATCCCATGTTTTCGGGGCGGAAAGTTACAGTGCAGCATCGGTGCGTCTGCCGCGGTGGTCTGTGTCGATGGTACAGAAAATAACTCAAGCAGAGCTAAGAAAAGACTGAATGATTCCGGGTAGTTGCCTCGAAGCAATCCGTTTTAAGAATACAGCTGCCTTCTTAACGTACCGTATCACTTGTTAATTCTTCAAAAAGCAAACTCTGAGCAATAACACACCTCTTTGCATTGCTGTTGACAATTTACGTTAGTTTTTGACGGTGGCTCGCACCCCCAATATGCTGCCGCGCAACTTTATTCCAACGGCGAAACGGCAACTTCGCGAGAATCGAAAATTCACGATATACGTACAGCAGGGGCTGGCAATGCAGTATGCATAAGGACAGAATATGGAGGAGACCTGACAGTCATCGGCCCAAGTTTGGGGGTGGCTTTGACGAGCATAGGCGTCACCAATGTCATTATTCAGATACGTTGATGTCAGATGCTGGGGCAACAGAATCGACGCCAGGTTTAACTTAGATTAGCGGGTCGAAAGAAAACATAACATGTCTGGGAATGACAGGGTGGCCACCCTGACAGTGTGACGAAGTGAGATATGAGTAGAGACATTAGCCGGAGTACCTACTCATATAAATCAAGCGCCGTTTATCCAATCCTTCGAGCATAAGCGACGCCGGCAGTCCGGCCGGGGCGGCCGTGCCCACCGATGCCGATCAAGACCCGAATCCAGACCCGGCATAGAACACAGCTCTGCCCTGACGTGACACATTACCCCGGTGTGTCACTCATGACGGATAGACCAATGCAGGAGCCTTGCCAGCTCCTGTTGTACCTACTTCGTTAAATTTTCGATTCTCGCTAAGTTGCCGTTTCGTCGTTGGAATAGAGTTACGCGGTAGCATATTGGGGGTGCGAGCCACCGTCCAAAAGCAACTTAAATTGTCAACAGCAATGCAAAGAAGTCTGTTATTGCTCAGAGCTTGCTTTTTGAAGAACTAAAAAGTGATACAGTACGTTAAGAAGGCAGCTGTATTCTTGAAACGGATTGTTTCGAGGCAACTACCCGGAATCATTCAGTCTTTTCTGAGCTCTGCTCGAGTTATTTTCTATACCATCGACACAGACCACCGTGGCAGACGCACCGATGCTGCACTGAAACTTTCCGCCCTTCTCGCCCTTATTGACACCGGCCGGTCGGCGGGCGTAACATGGTCCTCTTTAAGCCGTTTGAGCAGCGCCTAGCAGTAATACTTTTCGGAAAAAAGGGTATCATTGGACTCAGAAAAGAATACCGCACCACATGAGCCATGAGCCCATATACTTTTCCGAAATTCGGTTTTTTTGAACAACCCTAGTGGACGGGACGGAGGGAAGGAGTGCAAATGGAGGGGTTGATCTACGCCGACAGAGTTTGGACTGATGCGATTGATATCAGTAGTAAGAATGAGAAATACTATTTAAGTACATCTCTCGTTTATATTAGTCGTTAATAGAAATATTTCCCGTGTCGGTGTTCTGACCTTCCCGTATAAGCTGTTGCTCCCATCCAATGCAATTGACTGAAACGGTATCGGCTCTTTATAGTTAAGAATTGCTCGCGTTCTAACGTCACTCGGTTTCGACGGTTTTATCAAAGGTTTAAAGTCTTTTTTTCGGCGCAACGCACTATCGGTAAAGCCGACCCATTGCTGTTGCCAAAGGTGTACCGTCTTCGATCGCAGCCGCGCCTCGAAAACTGTTTGTCCGGCTCCCGTAATATGCGGACAAGCCTACGGAGGTCTGAGGTAATACCTGCTAGTAGTCCTGTCAATGCCAGACACAGTGGCGCGCTCCTCTGGGACGTATCCATTCTGCGCCCGAAAATATGTTTGTGGCGTATCACCTCTGCTCGGAGAGCCTTCTGGGACGGAAAAAGATGCACGCTTCTGGGACCTGCGCGGCGGTGGCCTCGTCGGGTTTCCCCGGTTCTCACCCCGCCCCTCGCTTTGCAAGCCCCCACCTCTCGCTCTGCTGATTCACCGTCCGGCAGCTGTGTTGTGGTGGCGCAGTTGAGGCGCCTGTGACGTCACAGATTCGGGAAGTCCTGGCGCACTGAGCGAATCAGTGACGCAATGGCCGGCGTGTGCAATAACCATAAGGTCGCCGCGTCGGAACGCCCACCCAGTCAGACGAACGTGTCGTGAATCTGCGCTATCGCAGCACACTGCGATAGTTGCAGTGTGTGTCGGCGGACGGCGGGCGGTTGGCAATCAGTTGTGCACGAGACTCGAGTGGAAGCGGAGCAGAGCAGACCGTTGACTGTGACGTGGGACGAACGGACGGTCTGTAAAGGAGCTATTCGGCAGCCATGGGGATCAAGAAGACGGAGCTGGTGTTTCAGACTCGCCAGGAGGGCACGCCGCTGGCGTTCTCACCTGGCGAGACGATGAGCGGTGCCGTGGTGCTCACCATCGACGGATCCAAGCCGCACAAACTGACCAGCGTGGTAGTGAAGGTGCGCGGCCGGGCGGAGACCGACTGGAAGACGGGCTCGGGTGACGACGAGTCGCGCCACAGGGACACGGAGGAGCTGCTGCGGCTGGACCTGACCGTGCTGGGGAATGCGGGCGGCCAGCCGACAGCGCTGCCGCCCGGCCGTCACCAGTTCCCATTCCAGTTCAGCCTGCCGCCGCGGCTGGCCTACTCACTCAAACACATGGACGGGAAAATCAGATACGAGTGTTCGGCGCGCGCCCGCAGCGACAGCTTCTGGTCGTTCGACGGGCGCGCGTGCGTGCCGTTCGAGGTGCTGGCGCGTCGCGACCTCTCCGCTGAGCCGCAGCTGGCACAGCCGCTTACCGTGTCCCGCGAGGCCCGATTCTCGCTGCTCGGCCGCGACCCGGGACCGTTCCGGCTGTATCTGACGCGACAGGGGTTCACCGCCGGAGAGGTGATTGATATCTCTCTTGAGGGACCCGGTGAGGCGTTCCAGGCGCTGGCGAAAGCCGACGGCACTGTCCAGCTGAAGACCAGGGTGGTGTTTCGCGCTGGTGTCAGCACCAGGCAGAAGAAGTGGGTGGCGGCGGCGGTGCGGCCGGGCAGCTCACCGGACGCCTGGCGGCATATCCGACTGACCGTGCCGGCCGGCGAGGTCACCCTGGACGACAGCAGCGGCTGCACTATCATCAGTGTCACCCACTACGTCAAGGTGCGTGACGTGCACCTGCCGGTGGTGCTGGGTACGACGCCGCTGCGGCCCAGCTGAGACGGTCACCGCTGGCGGTAGACGGTGACCGCCGATGGCAGACCTCTGACGGCCGGCCACCGGACGACAGCGGACTGTGCTCGACCTCTGTCTGTGACCTTGGGTGGACGCTCTGAGGTGCTGCTAACGATCTACTGCCGGCTGGTTGAACACTGTGGTGGAGTTCGAGGCCTCAAATATTTCTGCAGAATGGCTAGCGGATATGTCGACGGTGACCTCCTATGGTCGTTCTGATTGATTTCGAGAAGCCAAGCGTGATAGAGGAGAGGCTGTTTGACTTCACGGGTGGCGTGTCACGGATCATTACCAATGGTCTGACTGGGGCTGTCATTTCAGGACTGCCATTTTACACGTATTTTACTAGTCAGATCTGCCAGTATATTGCGTTAAAGATCTAGAACTACCGGTAATGTCAGCAGGTTGACGGAATCTGTATTCTCAGGAAGCGCTGAAGTTATTGGCATATTGCCAAAAACAGGTGTTTGCTGGCGTTGTGGCACGAAACTCGTCGGTGTTTGTTGACAGCCTGATTTGATCTGTCCCAGTTCATTTAGCGACCGAGCGTTCAGCACGTGCGGATCGCATGCGTGCAGATGTGCGATGTGTTTTATACATTTATACATATGTATGTATATACGGCGGATTTCGTCAACCAGTCGTTACGTACATATTTAAAGGGACTATCCCACCTTTAACATGGGGTTTGAGTTGAGATAGCCAAGTTTGCGGCGAGGTTCAGAAACCACTATCTATCTAGGTTGCAACCCCCGCGGCCTCTTGGTGTTGAAGAAATTCGTTCCCTTCGTTTGAAAATGGGCCTTGTACAAGGCCCTATCTTCAACATGGAGCGACCGTTAGTGTGACGTCACCTCGTTTAGTCATTCTGATTTAAATGGGTTTGTTCGTTGAAAAATCGCTTAAAACTTGGTCTGAACTTTGTTGTGGTGCCTACAGAGTAAAAAGAATCAGCTTTATGACAGTAATGAGGCCTGGGGAAGGAGGTAATTTTGGGCTGTGACGTCACATATTTGAAAGTTTGTGTTGGGAATATGGGAAGCCTAAGATGTTTAATGAAAAATAAATGCCAGAACCGTGTTCCTGGTCATCCAATCTATAAAGTCAGGCACAATTTAACTGGTTTTTACAACATTTTAGAAGGTGGGATAGTCCCTTTAATGTCGCTTCATTGTATAAATAGATACGGCTTTCAAACCAACCTCAAATGTGCTCGTATTTTTTTAATACATTTTAGATCAATAAACTTCACCGTTTTTCGATTGACTGGCGTATTGGCAAATGGCATGTCGCATTGAAAGGCTTGTTTCTTCGTTTTCTCTTCATGCGCTATGGTCGCTACATCGTGGATCACGTTTGTTCTCTGCGTAGGAAAAGCTCACAAGGACGCTCACACAGTGTCGACTGCGTGTCCCTCAATACCTACATATATACCTACCTACATTTAGACGATTATTCCGAGCAATTGGGCTGATTCTGCCTCTGAAGCTGAACACTGAGCTAAGCAATTATGGTAAGTAGCTAAACTATAAATTGCGATCAATCACTTTCAAACACTACACCACCAACAATTGTCGTGTATTTTTATCAGCACAACGTCCGCTACACATCAACGGCTAGCACAACTGCGGCGGCCGTGGCGGTCCCTATACCCGGCTCGTGTGTCCGCCCGGGGACCAGACGCTCCTCTAGCGGCCCGATTCCTCCCGATGGCGATGGCCGTGTTGATGATACGGAAGATCCCGAGGGACTGGCTGATACCATGAGGAATCGATGATGCGCGCTGTACCTAATGAGGGAATTATGATCGTTTTCTCTCGAATAACTTGAGTGATTATGTACTTTGCAAATGTGACCATAAATGGTTGTGATCACTAATCAAACAGCAAGAAATGTTTCGTCACCAGGGTCTGCGCTTACGTTTTACATTTGCCGCGGGCTCCCCCCCCCCTCCCTCGTCCCGTCTCCCTCGACCTACTCACGTCACTTCCGACTGGACGTCCCTCTACAGCATCGCCCGTGGCAAACTGCGTACTACGTCCCCCCCCCCCCCCTCGGCCCCTCCCCATTGCGTAGTGGCACACACCAGCTCGTCCTTGGAACGGAAATACGATGAGACACGTGTTTACCGGTGACGTCACTTCTGTGTAGGGGAAGTTGGGGCAATGCCGGAGTTGGGGCAAAGCCGAAATTCGAGATATTTCGAAAACCGTAAGACATGGATGCCACCTGTCAGTGATGCTCTGAAGCTTAAGTGACTACAATTATCGCATGTTTGTTACGAGTCGTCATTCGGAATACTTCGACTGTGAGGGCGCCAAGAGCGTTTTCAAGGTACGTTTTCCTTGTACTACATGCGCCTTTGAAGCTGCATTTCTTACTCATTATGCTACCGTTTGTCTGGCCAATTCGGTCAAGTAATCTTTAGCATGTCTTTGCATAAGTGTGCTGCCTATTTGAAATTTATACAGCACGTTGAAAAGTTATGGGCCTGCAAATGAAAGTATGGCAGGCTGGGGTAATGCCGAAAACGTGCGATTACGCACGTGTTAAAAGCACGCTACGTGGACTTTACTGCTGTAGAATAGCAACGCGTATTTTTAGTCACACAAATTACACTTTCAACCGACACAACGGCCTGTTACCTATAAGGAATGATTTACCTGGCATGTTCTTATTATATCACACAATTATAACTTCCAGTGTGCACCGCGTCCTCAAGCTCTTAAAACGCGTGTCAGCTTTGATCAATTCTGGATAAAGTTTGAGATAAAATGACAAAACATCAATGTCGGCATTCCCCGTAGATCATTTCTCCCATTTTCGGCTTTCCCCGCAGTCCGGGGCAACGCCGAAAAAGTCACTTCTTTGATATTTTTAGTTTGTGCGCTTAACGGTATGCGAATTCATCAAATGCGCCTGGTATGTTTGAAAGGCAAAAGCCTGGCCTCTCGAATGACGCCAACAAGAATAGCTTATGTTGTCTACCTTGCGTGCTACGGGCGTCCGAAAAAAAGTCTTCGGCGTTCCCCCAACTTCCCCTACCGGTGACGTCAGCGGTGTTTGTCAGCTGGGCTCACGGACAGGAGAGGTGGCGACAGCTGCTTCCGTGAGCAGCAGGGTGTGAATGGCCTCTGCACAGTCTGACTGACGGCTAGATTGGCGTGATCTGATTGGACCATTTCCTCGCGTGGACACTCGTCGAACATATTATTCCATCGCTATGAATGAAATACATTGCACATTCACACGCCCGACTGGCACATCACGTTATCCTAACTTTGTGATGTTACAATCCTTTTTGATGTTGCTTTTTCTCTGCTTGGACTGTTAGCGCCTTGTATCATTTGGATGTGAACGGGTAGAAGACATTGGACTGATTCGACGACACAATTGGTGAGCTGCAGCGGCTGATCCTGCCCACTCCCTTTTGGACAAGCATGCTTCGGTGGTACAGGTCACCCAGCCGCACAAATGTTTTTTTTTCTCGATTTTTTGGAGGAATAATTGTTTGTATATGCATAATGAGATAATTTAGGGATAGTTGGATATTGTACAAGCGTGTATAAGCGTATAAGCTGTATAAGCGTGTCTGTGTAAAATGTTTGTTTCTGTTGTTTGTGTTTCAGTTTCGAGCCTTCAGGGTGACACCGACCACCTGGATAACACCCTGGACAGCTCGGTGAGTGTTCAACGAACGTTCTCCTCCTCCTCCTCCTCCTCCTCCTCCTCCTCCTCCTCCTCCTCCTCCTCCTCCTCCTCCTCCTCCTCCTCCTCCTCCTCCTCCTCCTCCTCCTCCTCCTCCTCCTCCTCCTCCTCCTCCTCCTCCTCCTCCTCCTCCTCCTCGTTTTCCCGCCGGACGATATCGGCCAGGCGTGTCGCCCGCGCTCGTGACCGTTTCCGAGTATTGGCCGGCCTGCCTGTGCTGCCTCAGCGGAACGTGCCCTCCGCTCCACGACGGCGAATATGCAGGCCGGGACGCACGCCTGCTGATAGCAGGCACTGTGCTAGGCATAGACGCATTGGTTTTACGTGTAGGTATCTGGTTCGGCGATTGTTGTTTTACTGGGTAAATGCAACAGCACTGACATGAATTTTCCAACTTTCTTCGTTAAATTAGTTTAGTGATTGGGACTTCATTTTTCTTCCATTACTATTTATTGTATACTGCGCACGAAAAGAGATAGCTGAGGAGCAGAATATTGTGCTGGAAATTGTTATCCTTCTCGAACTTCTAGTGCTATTTTCAAGCGAAAGAACTGATTTGATCGGATTAAGTTGGTAATATGATTTCGTAGTTTTCCCTTGGATGCTGGATAAGCTTAATTCGCCAATTTTAGTTCGTTCAATTCTAAATTGCTCCTCTAAAACCGTATTTCAAGCCTTGAGTTGGGATTTAAAGCAACTGAACCACACTTTTTCACATGCATCTACATATTAGGCGTGCCGCTCTTCATCAATCTGTCGACGGTTTCCACGCGGAGCGGCCGGTCATATAGCCGCCAAGTGTGGCGCGGTCTCGTCGGCCGCTCGGCCCGTATCGCCGGCAGTGCCGCGCCGATCGAACTATGGCCATCACTACCTGAACGGATGGAGTTGGGCCGACATGGCCGACTCGGGCTATGGAGATGAATTGGAGCGGCTATCGACGGGGAGCGCCATCAGCCGCTGAGAGGCCGCGCCGCGGCGGCACTGACGTGCCATCGGGGCGGCCGTAAAAACCGTCCCCATGTCCGGCCAAATTACCCCGCCTCCTCCTAAAACCTACGTGTGCCATCAGAACTTTTAATCAGCCTGAAAGAAAACGCGTTGCCCTCCGCAGCGGAATTCAGATGTTCATCGATGAAGAAAGACGGTTCCAGACAGTCCTCGTAACGGTGAATTGATCAATCGTCTTGCCGTTATTGGACATCCGCTAAGGATTTGCCGTTTTATAGCCACTGCCTGAGGAAGTTTTCAGTCCGACTGTCGTGGCAGTTTCTCTAATGAGACTATTCCACCCTCGTGCGCTGCACTCAGCACTCGCCTAACTTACGGGCGCCGCTAACTTGGTGAGCGCCGTGAGTCGGGCACTTTCGGGCGGGTGAAAACGTGACGGCCACTTTGGCGACGAGCTGATGGTGCTTTTCGCCTTTCGGGTCCGTGGACGTCATCACGTTCTTTGTGCCACGAAATCTTGACGAGTTTCTTCTCATCTTCATTTTTTTCTTTGACTGAAATGAAAGATCCCTAATTGATGCATGTTTTGCACTTTCCGTTTCCATTTGGATATGGGAATCGGGTTTGTCTATACCTAAAGTGAGGTGTCGTTTTTCAGTTGTCGTTTTCCGCTACGATTGCCATACATTTTTAATTTGATGTTAAATTTGAGGTATTGTGAGCACACATTGCTATCCTTTTAAGTTGACGATAGCGCTTCCCGCTTGGTTTGTTATTTCGCGTCATTAGTCCCACAGTCCCACGGCGGCCGATTCCGAACGATCTCTTTCCAACCAGTCTGCTCCGTCTGCTGAGTGCCATGGCTGCGGTGCTAGCGTTACTACAGACGGCACTGCGGCGGACTGTCGGCCGTTCCAGTGCGGACGGTCACCGGAGATGACACCACGCTCCTGGGCAGACACCGTCGCGGTCGGCGAAATGACTCGGCCATTGGCGGCGGTTCATGTGCGGCGGACAGAGGAGGGAGAGCACGTACAGAGCAGAGCCGTGACGACCGACGACGACCGACGACCGTCGGCGGGGCAGATAAACGCGCCGACGACGACGGTGCGACGGTAGATCGACGTTAGATCGACGCACCGACGACGACGTGGGTTCGTCGAAGGGCTACCACGGCTCGTTTTGTTCGCAGCCTGTCCTTTGAATGGTGGGCGTTGCGAGTTCCCCGTTGGATGCAGTTCGTCGTATGTATTTTTACCGAGCTGCCGGACGTGGACGCGCATAAAAGATGACCGCCTGGACGAGGGATGGCGCGAACGTGCGGTGTTTTTAGTGCAGCTTATGCTGCGTCACGAGTCCAGTTTGATTGCTTTTGTTGCCAAACTATCATCAGCTGTATTGAGCTGACTGATACGTTCTTGTTTTTATGAAATTTGCTGAAGAATGTGCAACTGGGCTATCACTAGTTTTGACGACGGGAAACAGCGTAGCGGGATCAATTGTTTTTACGAAAGTTGTACGTACACACATCAATATTAATTTTTCACTGAGGTTCAAGAGACGTTGATTCCCTTTGTTCTTGATCAGTAGATATTTGCTGTCATGGTGTAGCTTTAGTGGCTTTATCACAGTATGTGAGGGGCATACCTTCCCCGCTGCAGTCAAGGCAGTGGCAACCGCCTGCTCTGAGCTGAGTCAGAGCCGAGCCCGGCCAGTCACTGGGGATCCAGCGCCGTCAGAAATTCGCCGCTCCGTATTGCCTGCTCCTCTGTCCGTGTATTAGGCGGCCCATGTCCGTCGGCGGGCTGCAGCTGCATCTTGCAGGAGGTCACCGCCGGCTCGCCCACGCGCTGCACCAGCGCTCGGGGCCACGGATCAGAGAGGCGTCCTCCTTGGGGGCTCAAGTGGATGGGTGCACTCGACCTTTTGCCATCTGCCGTGCGTCTCTCATCTATGTCTACACTCTAAATATATCTACCAACATTTATGCTTAGTGCCCACATCCATGATCCATGATTTATTCATCCTTTGGCTTTCCTCAGGTTTCATCAGATCTGTTTTGCTGACGCACGCCCAATTTACTTACGCTGCGTCGGAGTCTGAGTTTGTGGGCACCATCAGGGACAACAGTGCGCGGTAGAAACTTATTGTTTGTTTTGGGCGTTCTGACATGTCCACACGATTGATGTGCACATGTTGGTGGGGTATGCACATTGCATTTTCACGTTTTCCTGGGTTGTATGGGACGAATATCTTAGATGCAATTATTATTTATCACAGCTTTTCTACTAGGCACCAGGCAGTTGTTATACTCTTCTGCATCCGTCCTGGGCCGGACTCACCACCTCCTTTCTTCGCCCGGCCATCGCGGGTCGTATCGGAGACACCGGACGGCCGCCCGCCGAGTCGCTCGATGAAGTGACGCTGCTCGGTTTAGTCGATGCCCTCTGTTCTGTGATCGTGCCCTCAGGCGACATGGTCTGTAATTCTATACAACTCTGTGATCCGGGTCCGGTGTTACAGAGTCGAACTCAGACAGCGGCACGATGGCCTGTGCTATAGGCGTGACGGTATGGGTTGAAAAGAACGGGTAGCCTAAAATGAGACATGGCTGGCACGAGATATAAATATATGTGCAATATGTGCTCTGATATTGCCCGCTGCTCGCGGATGTGGAGACCAAATAGCTCCATCAAGAGCGGGGAGTTTTTGTGCAGGACGACGTTGAGGTAGGCTGGTCTAATTTGATAGGTAGGTAATTTGGTATAGAGTGCTGATGGATGGGATCCCCTGGCATTTACTTGAAGTCAGAGGGAAGGTAGGTAAATGGATAAGAAACGGCACAGTGAACTGACAGTCGCCCGCCCAAATACGGCGATGCCGAAATTCGTTGACAGACGATTGACATTTGACAAATTGACAGACTTTGACTGACGTTGTATGAGAACTGGTTTTCCATGGATGGAAATGACAGTTTTTTCCCTGAATGGTGGCCACCTCCTGGGGACTACGGGTCCGCCCTGATGGCTCGTCAGAGCGCCGATAATCGTCTTCCCCGCGCTAATCACCACCGCCGTGTTCTGGTCGATGATTGCCGTGTCTGCGCGCTCCGGGACAGTAGGGGACTGGAGTTACTCGGGTAGGACAATTGGGAGTCGGAGATACTGAGGGTGGGACTGTTGGGGGCCGGAGTTACTGAGGGTGGGACAGTTGGGGGCCGGAGTCACTGGGTGGGATAGTGGGGGACATGAGTTTCTCGACTGGGACAGTTGGGGACCGTCTCTGAATGTGTGTAAAATTCAGCTCTAGATCATCGTTTTCGAAGATCATCACTATCTTATTAGAAGTTCATAGCTATAGTTCGTTTTTCTTAAGTTTGCCCCTCACTGTAAACGTCTTTTTGAACATAGCACGAGAATTGCTGGCTGAATTACTGAGAAAACTGGTTGGCGCACATTGATTTGACCAGATTTCACAGACGGTCAATTTCATCAAATTTATTTACTATTTCACAGACTCTTAGCTTGTATTTGCCAATACCTACAGCCCCACAGGGATAGACGACTTCTCAGGAATTATGTCTGAGCTAATAAATAAATTGCACGGCGTTAACATAACGTTAAATCGTCGGTGTTCAAAACTTATTTTTGAAAATATTATTCATATCTACAATACAATGTGCGCTAACCAGTTTTCTCAGTAATTCAGCTAGCAATTCTCGTGTTGTGTTCAAAAAGACGTTTACAGTGAGGGGCAAACTTAAGAAAAACGAACTATACCTACCCAGTTGTCTGCGGACTGGCCCGTCCATGCCCGACCCGTAGTGTCCTTTGTTCAGCAAACCAAGCTGACAGTGAACCACCCACTGACACTGACGCTGACTGACCTGAATCTGCCCTGACCTCAGGTATCGAGCACGGTGCATCTGATCGTGAACCAGCTTCTGTCCTGACCTGGCGCTGCCCTAACCTGACCTCACACTTCCCTAACCTGACCTGACCTGACCTGCCGTGCCGCTGACGCTGCCCTGGCTCTGATCTGACCTCACACTGCCCTGACGGCTGACCTCAGGTGTCGACCACGGTGGAGCTGATCGTGGACCAGCTGCTGGAGCGGCAGCGGCAGGTGCGCAGCACACAGGCGGTGGCGCAGCTGCAGTGCGGCTGCTCGGAGACCAGCTGCTGCCCCGGCGGTGTCCACTGCGCCAACCCGGTGAGCTAGGCGCCTTGCCAACCCGGTGAGCTAGGCGCTGCGTCCACCTGGTAAGGGCTCAGGGCGCCCTGGCACCGGCGGCAGAGGGAAACGAGCTGCGAGGGAGGGAGAGTGGGATCCTGAGCAGGGAGTGTCTATGAAGCTCGCTAGAGGATATTTGGAATGAAATTATTACCACCTAGTTGAGCGGGTGGATGCTCTGAAATCCTTAGGATGATATCAGATGAGATAATCTTGCGGAGAAGATTGTGCCGGCTATTTTGCTCGTGGTGCATTGTGACTCAGTCCCCTGACCTGACCGGTGCCCCCAGCTGCGGCGGGTGACCACCTCGGTACCAGGCGTATTGTATGTATTGTATCCTGACCTGGCCGGTGCGCCCACCTTGCCCCCAGCTGCGGCGGGTGACCACCTCGGGCGCCGTGTCCACGGTGACGGTGTCGTCCAGCCGCGCGCCGCTGGCGGCCGAGCCGCCGTCCGGCGCCGGGCCGCCGCTCGTACTGAACCTGAAGGCGCTGCAGGGCGGCACCGGCTACCTGCTGGTGCCCAGCGGCGCCGCGGCCGCAGCCGCCGCCGGAGCCGCTGCTGTCGAGTGTGAGACAGTCGAGTCGCCGCTACCTCCGCCGGTGGAGGACACGCCTCCGCCGGCGACGGCGACCACCTCGTCAGCGACGGCCGACGGCCAGCCGTGGTCGCCCTCCGCAGACCAGGACCTGTTCAAGTGAGTCGTGCTGCTCCTTCTAACTCAACTAAAGGTGGCTCAGCAATGCAGAGGATCCTCCATATTCCATGCACCCATGTCTGCGTGCCATTGGAGACGAGGCACTATGTGCGCAGAGATATCTCGGCAGGCTTTCTATCATCGGCTCTGTGAATCGCAGCGCGTCTTAGTCGGTAGATGAAACACTTTATCACTGCGCCAGGTAGGCTGTCGGCGGGTGAGCAGTTTGCATGCTAATTTTCTGCGGGTCTGAGCCGAATTGATCCGGGCCAGATGGAATAACGGATCGGCAGCCGTTCTGCGCGACGCTGAGCGATCGTCGCCCGGAAGACGTCGCCATAAAGTCGTCGTCGTCGTTACTCTTCCTGGGACGGCCGGATCGAGCCCGCGCCCGGCTGGCGGTTTGAATAGAGGCCGGCATTTGCTGGGCGATTCTCGGATGGCTGAGAAGCTCACCGGTCATAATGCTTGTAGGATAGATTTGAGAATATTGTGTGTGAGTTGTTTCCATCGTATACCAGTGTTGTCGACACTAAATGAACCTCTGTGGATTGAATGCACTGATGAAATGTGCTTTTGAATATGTGAATGGCCTATTCATCTCTGCGCTTTGCCTCTCTTCCAGAGCTACGTTCGACCTATCGCTGGACGACATTCAGCGCACACTGTGTGCCAGCATGCCGTCTGACCTGGACATGTCCCAGCTGGAGTCCAGCGAGCGGCACGACCAGGCGGCGCTGCTGGACGCCCTCCACTGCCTGGACGACTTCGACTTTGACGGTCTGGAGGTGGGGCACGGTTCGTCCGAGTCGCCGGGCGGGCCGCCCGACCTCAAACTGCCGCGGGCCGACGGCGAGCAGCCGGCCGCGCCGCCGGCCGCCCAGACACCGCCGCCGGTCGGCGAGCCGCCCCCTGCGGCGCCCAGCCCGGCGGCCGCCCTGCAGCCCGAGGAGCGCCCGCGGCCGGGCTCGCGGCAGCCCAGCCGGCAACAGTCGCCGCACCCGCAGCCGGAGAGCGGCCCGCAGCCGCGGCTCGGCTCGCCGGCCGGCTCCGTCACCCTGGTGGCCGACCCGCCCGAGACCAGCCCCGTGAAGAGCGAGGTAGACAAGTCGTGTGTCAACATGGAGTACCGCGAGGGCACGGCCAACATCACCGACTTCAGCCCTGAGTGGGCCTACCCAGAGGTCAGTGCCGGTGCCGGGTGGCTGTGAGCTGGTCAGGGGCTAGTAGCAGTGAGAGAGGGTGGCTGTGACTTGTCAGTGTCTGGTCCAGAGGTCAGTACAACTATCTGGGAGGACAAGCCTTCACAGAGGTCAGTGTACGTGATCCCAAGATTACTTTCCTGATCCGACGTATTCAGTGGTCGGGGGTGACCTAAGCAGAGAAGCTAAACACATTTTGACATTCCTGTGAGTCTGTGACAGACCGATAAGTGCTCCGGTCTTCATCACTGTTCTAGAAAACCAAACGACAAAAACTGCTTATTAGTGGTATGAAATACCATCCGATTAATCGCTTGTCCTGGCATACGATGCGAGTAAATGCTTCATCATGATGGCGCATCAGTGTGTACAATTACAGTTTCCTAGAGCAGCCTAGCTGAGCCTATTACCTGCGCCTGAGCTGAGCAAAAACACTGCTGTCGTCCCCGAACGAGAGTCTCATAACCTCCCGGTCCCTCTCAAAAATCATCCGGCTAGATCCGGCGGGTGTTTTTCCTGACGTGAGGATCCTCCGCGAATGACATCGGCGCGGCAATCGGGGCGGTTTTTACACGCCAGCACGAGCCGGGTGGCATTGTGCGCTGCCGGCGGCGGTGTCCGACTCTCGTGTGATGAGAAATCGCCCCGCCCCCGGCCGGTGGCTGTAGACGAGTCGGTGGACGGGGCAGGGGTCCCGGCCGGGCCGGGTGGGAGCTCACAGCCCGCCCGCCGCGCTGCTCCACTCCGCACCCAGCGCCCGTCGCCACCACAACTCTTCTGTCTGTCGCTACTCTCCGCCGGCCGTCCCGTCCATTACAGAGGCGCCGAGTAAAAACAATCCCCTCTCCGCTAACGACACGACTGAAAGACGCCGCCACAAAAGAAGCTCGTGTCGCGGTCATTAGGAGCTTTCCGCCGCGGCATTTGTCCTCCTCTCAGCGCTGTGATGACGCTCGTGGCGCGGCCCAGCGCGCCGTTTCTCGTCGCTGGCCGGCCGGTATTGACGCCCGGGCCGTGCCGCGCCGGCCCTGCCCGGAAATGACCACTGGAGACGGCACGGGCGACCGGGCGGCGGCGACAGCGCCGGCCGGTCCTGGTAGCATAGTGCGGAGGGCGGCGCCTTTCCGGTGGTTTGTTTTAATGCTAAGTCCAATTATGTCCTGTTCCGACGATCATGTCTGACCAGAGGCATTTTCACTTACATTTTGTACGTCGTGAGTCCATCACTCTACGTGTCTTTCTTCATTTTAGTTCAGTTTCCATCCATGTCTCCGTTCTGTCTCTTTTCTTGTACCCATCTCCGTCGCTCTTTGTATCCTGCTCCGTTTGTCTGCGCCTCGTCCCCACTTCATTTCTTCTTTTGTTTGCTCTCCATCCCCCTCTATCCTGTTTTCGCTTCGTCTCCGTCTCTGTTTGCTAACGTCCACTCGCCGCCACTTAGCTCATCTTTTCGTTTACGATTGCTTCTACATGTCCGAGTGTCCAGTCGTCACTGTCCTCTCTTCTCCCGTCGCCGTCTCAGTCCCTGACTGTCTCTACCTCTGTCTCTGTTTCTGTCTCCGTCGCCTTCTCTGTCCCTGACTCCGTCTCTATCCCTTCCCCGTGCGTCCTGTCGCTGTCGACGCGGGTCGTTCCTTTGGCACCCGGTCCCCGCTCCGCTGGGCGGCTCAGCACGCTTCGTTAGCCAGAACAGGACGGAAATTCCCGGCCTTCGCCGCGTCACCAGCCCCGGCCGAGCTGGAAAACCGGGACGACGACGACCGTGGCACGCTCAGCCGCGCCGCCAACCGCCGATTTGGTAGCTTTGATGATGGAAGAGGTGTGAGATGGGTTTATGGCTTGAATGATCGCTTCTGTTTGTTCTTCAGCCTGCTGTAGAATGATCTATTCCATATAATAGGCCAGTATTGCACTGAAAGATTAGTTGATGCCAATTCAGAGAAGAAAACTCGACGTTTGGCTCATGCGCTGCAGTGAGATTCCGCAGATCCATTTCGGGAAGTGGTAAAGCTATTTTGTCAGACTTTCCATTTTGACTAGCCGTGTCCTGCTGACCTTTTGTGGTTTGAAAGCTGAAATCCGCGGCCCGTCGGCGATAAATCCACCGAGCACTGGTTTCGGCCGGCGGTTCAGAAGTTGGCCCGCGCTCTGCGGCGGCTCGCTGGCGGCTCAGGGCTCGTTACTCGGTGACCGTGCGGGTACGAGGACACAGCCGGGCGATCGCCTGTTACGGCGGGACAGCGAGACTGCAGGTACACAGGACGGAGAGCTGGTGGGACTGGGGTTAGGCCGATCTGGTGTCCATCTTGTAGCGGAGGCTGCCTGAGACTCGCAGAAATCAGTTGACGTGGTAGGCGGGAGACGGAGAGGGTCGGTGGGTACGACTGGTTCAGGGAGTACGGCCGGACACAGAGCTACTGGCGCCAGGGACAGCGGTCAGCGACAGCGGACAAACAACAGTGTCGCGATAGTTACGGTGACCGACTGGGCAGTTGACAGAGGCAGCAAACCGGAGCTGACCATAGTGTCGTGATGGCTATGTTATCCGACTGAGCAGCTAACAGGGGTAGCTGGAAGACGCAGCTGACCGGGGTGCCGTGATAGCTATGGTGTCCGAATAGTGAGTAACTAAGAAGGGTGGCTGCAAGAAGCAGCCGACAGGGACAGCGCCGTCCCGTTGACCAGTTGAGCAGCTGACATGGAAGCAGTGCCATGCCGAGTAGCTAAGTTGCTGCCTCGCCGCCTTCTGTTGGCTGGGATAAGACCACGCTGTCAGTGGTAAGCCCCAGCGCAGCAGCGGGCGCCTCGAAAATAAATCACTTGGGTCATCCATCAATGCGTGCTTCTGGTGGAAATAAATGACTTTGTATCGCCCTTAAGTTGGAAAACAGGCTGCAAAATGGTGCTAGCACCGTCCATCGCATAATGTTATGGTTCAGCCTTAACATTTGCAGATCTTCTGTTGTTTTGTTTCGGAAGTCATACAAATTAAACAGCGTCTTTTATACTTCGTCGCACTTGCCGAAGAAAACCCAGTCTCGCAGCTGTATTTAAATAACCTCTCCTAGCAACTGCTACTTGCGTAGGTGACGTAACTTGGATAGTACGCTTGGTGTCCAGTTTTATCTACTATCAAAACTGATAATACTATCGCTAAAACGCCGCTGATTGCTAATTCAGAACAATGGGAATGATCAGGATTTTATTGAATCATAAGATGTATAAGTTGTGTAAGATGTCGTAAAACAGTCGTCACAAGCAGTAGCCGCCTCCTTCGGGACGCGAATCATCCCACTGAAATCAAAATCACAGCTTGATAACCCATCAACTCTTCAAGATCATTTCCAATATTAATTTCATAGCTCGACATTGGAACCAGACCGTCTATCCGTCTTAACAATTTGTCTCTCGTCTGTATTTTACCGCCCATGGTGTGCGACTGTCAGGCAGTGTTGTCTGCTGGTGCCAGCGCTGCGTTGGACCGCGATGATGACCGGTGACGGCCGCTGTCTGTCCGCGTTGTCTGTTGTGTTAGTTAGTACCCGCCCCTGACCGGACTACGGCTGTATCCCTCACCATCGTCGTCCCGTGCCCCCAGGGCGGTATCAAGGTGCTGGTGACGGGTCCGTGGTACGCCACCTCGTCCCCGTACTCGGTACTATTTGACGGCGTCTCGGTACCCACCCAGCTGGTTCAGAGCGGTGTGCTGCGCTGCTTCTGCCCAGGTCAGTTGACTACTGTCTGCTACTGCCCACGCCAGTTACCGCCACTGTCCAGGTCAGTCACTGCTAATGTCCAGGTCAGTTGGATAATACCGCTGTCTGCTATTGTCCAGGTCAGTCACCGCTACTGTCCAGTTCAGTGACCGCAACTGTCCCGGTAGATTACCGCTACTGTCCAGGCCAGTTGGATAATACATACCACTGTGTGCTTCTGCCAGGTCAGTTACCGCTACTGTTATAAGTTGGACAATATTGTCAAAATTGTCTGCTACTATTTTGGTCAGTTGGTCAGTGAATGTTGACTTTTACATCACATTTTTCTGATCGCGCCATTTTGAAAGTAGAGACGCTTTAAAGCACAAGCATTGCCTCCCATCACTGTGCGTTGGCATCACAATTCGAAACCCATTGCGTATCGCCTGTAATAATTAATCCCGTCTACTGCCAGCCAATACGTCCTCACTAATTACCCTCTAAGCCCTCCCCTCCCCTCCCCTCTCTCCCCGACCTGACCTGACCTGACCTGACCTGACTTGACCCCCTCGGCAGCGCACGACGTGGGTTCTATGCCATTGATAAACAACTGACTTGACCCGACCTGACCTGACCTCCCCACGGCAGCACACGACGTTGGTCCGCTGCCACTGACCTGACCCTCCCTTCTCCAGCCCACGACGTGGGTCCAGTACCACTAACCTGACCTGACCTGACCTCCCTTCTACAGCGCACGACGTGGGTCCGGTACCGCTCCAGGTGGCCTGCGAGGGGTTCATCATCTCCAACGCGTGCCTGTTCGAGTACAAGAGCCGTCCGAGCGAGCAGGGTCCGGCGGCGTACCCGGTGTCGGCGCCGTTCCCCAGTCAGGACGACACGCTGGTCAAGGTGACCCTAATGCAGCGCGTTCAGCTGATCGAGTCCCGAACGGAGGGCGCCGCCAGCGGACAGGTGAGAGGGAGAGAGAGTGAGAGAGAGAGAGAGAGAGAGAGAGGGGAGAGAGAGGGAGAACTGCTAGAGGTGGAGAGAGCGGGGAAGTAGCGGTGAGGAAGGTGGACATTGAGAGGACGAGTGAGGGATAACCTCGGGGAGGGAGACAAGTGAAGTTGTCAAGAGAAGTCAGAACCTTGTTGTAAAGGCTTAAGGGCTGGAAAAGGTCAGAAAATAAGAAAGAAGGAAGCAGTTAGATGGAACTCGGCTGGATGTTCTGATTATTTCATTTACTGGTGTAAAAACCGAAATTGCAATGAAACTCCACCCACGAAATCGCCTTGATTGAAATTAAATTGGAAATTAATCACGACAAATTAGTGCATTCACTGTACCGCCACGAAATGGGCGGGTATGGGTCCTGCGGCACAGTACAACTCACAGACGATCTGCTCTGGCGCCACCTAGTAACTGCAGTTTGTCCCCATTCGTTTGGTGTCCGCGATCCCTAGCCGTGCGGCGCAGTATACCGTCCAGGCGCCGACTCGTGGTGCCATCTAGCGACAGAACTGTAACTAACCGAGAACTCTCCCAGTGACTGAATAATTCCTCACCTTTCGAGCCCTGCTGGGATTTAGTATCCCCATATAGTCCCATATTAATCACAGGTGGCCCAATGAGCTCTCTAAGCCACGTGCTTTCCTCACACGGCGCATTAATGAGCCCCACGAGCCGGCGTCGGCCCGAGCCAGACTCCCGGCCATCAGTCGTGCTGTGTTTATCTAAATTAAGGCGCTACTTTGTGCGTTATTAAGCCGGCCGGTTGATGTAGGGCGTCGGAGCGGGCCGAGCAGCTCCATTGTAGCGGCTTATTGTGCCATATAGGACGGTTAGCGGGGCTCGGTGTGTCAGCCGGACGACTTATGGGGACGGCCGGGGTTGGTAAGTACGGCCCTGATGGAGACGGTGGAACGGGCTGTGCACGGTCGAATTGGACGGCTGGTGTGTCTTTTGGTGGTGTGGACGGTGGAACTACTTCCGTACCGGCTGATACGGACGGTGGAAATGGACGGCTGAGGTGAAATGTGGAAGGCCTCGATGGACGGAAACGGCTCTAGGAGCGCTGCTGGTCCGTGCGTCACAATTTAACGAGGTGTTATTTTCGCACTGAGCTGTACTTGACTTGTAATGAAAAACGGATCGACTTTCATCGAACGTAAAGGAGTTTCTGCGGTCGGCATTGTTTTCAATTTGTCCGCTGGTTATTTCCCGATAGACCTTAATTCGGTACTTCTGAACTAAAGTTCAATGGGCTACAACAGCTTCAGTGTTTTCCAATTCCGAATGCCTGCAATGTTTGCACCCATTTCTACGTCTGTCATCCATCAGAATGGCAAACTTTCGCTTGATTGAACTATGGGACTTTATTTAGTTTCATTTGGTTCTCATTTTGCTGTCTGACAATGCGCCAACCAGCCATCCTATATACAGGAGCAGAGCAGGCATGCGTCACCGTCGCTGAACAATACTGTCGCTTCATATGGAAAACAGATTGCATCGGAAACAAAAGGCTATTCAGCCGTTAGTAAAAATAGGGTCATTGCCCTGACCCGTTCATTGTACTGCATAATCATGTTCCTCGTGTGTCTTTTGTCGCGTCGGTCTATACAGACATTCCCACTACCTGACGCCTCCTCTCTCCCCCTTCCTCGCAATAGAGCAGTTCGCTGTGCGGCCTGTGGTCGGAAATAACTAGTGTTGTACCCTCCCCTCCGACCTCACCTCTCCCTTTCAGCAGGAAATGACCCCCCACTTTCCTCCCCTCTCCCTCAGTCGAGAAGTCTGCTGGCGCCCGAGTCAAGCAGTCTTCAGATGATATGACCCCCCCCCCCGCCCCCAGTCGACCAGTCCTCTGGCTGCGCTCTGCGGCTGACCTGACCCCTCCCTCTTCCCGCAGTCGAGCAGTCCCCTGGCTGCTCTGTGCGGCCCGCAGCTGACCTGTCCCCTCCCCCCCCCCCCACAGTCGAGCAGTCCCCTGGCTGCGCTCTGCGGCTGACCTGCCCCTCTCTTCCCTATCTCCCAGTCGAGCAGTCCCCTGGCTGCGCTCTGCGGCTGACCCCTCCCCCTCCTCCCCCGCAGTCGAGCAGCCCCCTGGCTGCTCTCTGCGGCCCGCAGCTGGAGGAGCTGCTGATCGCCTACTGCCAGGACCTGATGACGCGGCCGTGGCTGAGCGACCTCTCCATCTGTGAGGACGCCGTACAGAGCGGCGCACCGTCCCTGCTGCACCTGGCCGCCCTGCTCGGCTACAGCAGGTGAGTACAACTACAGGGGGGGGGGGGGGGGCAACTGGTTGTACAGCAGGTGAGGAAGGGGAGGGACTGGGTGCTCGGGTACAGGAAGTAAGGACGGGAAGGGACTGGCTGCTTGGGTACAGCAGATGGAGGATGGGGACCGACTGCGTTTGGTTGCCATGCTCGTCTACGGTAGATTAGAACAGAAGGAGGGACTGGGGCAGGTTAGGGATAGTGATAGGGATATCATGATAGGGGCTGTATCATGACAATTGACAGGGATAGGACAGGAATAGACCTTAGGAGCCGATGCCCGCTGCATGGGTCATTATTCGATATTCATTTGATGATTTAACAGACGATATTCCGTACGCCCGCCCATTTGATACCTGCGTTTGAGTTTCGGATTTCGTTGCGGTGTACACAATGCACTGCAGGCATGCGGCGGCGTTGATGACCGTTGTTGTGGCCAAGATTCTTACAGATAGTTGTGGCTTCATTCTATGCGTGTTCTGCCGGCCCCTACCGTTTGCAATGCTTTCTGACTACAAGTTACAACTGGCTCTGGAATGTTGCCAAACGAAACTGCCATCTCAAAGTGACGTATTGCGGGTGACGTCAACACAGGCTTTGTATGAGGCAGATGTCATTCACTCGGTGACCATTCATGCTGATATATTCGGATGACGTCATCTTATATGCAGTGTAACTCTATTGTGTCTTATGTAACGATGCCAGCGTTTGATGTGTTATCAAAGACCCGTCATACGCGCTGTACCGGGCGCTGTACCTTAGACTCAGACTGTTGACCTGTCTAAAGCGGACGTCTGCTAGCGGTCGTTAATAGTTCATCAGTCAGTGTAGCGACAGGGTGGGTCGTTAATTTCTGGAAGGTCAGACAAGTGACCGGTCAGCCTGCCAATAGGTATCCGACAGGTCCGGGATCATAAGTGTCTCGACACATGAACCTCTGCAGAGGTTCATGAGTCGAGACACTTATCATGATGTCGAGACACTTTCCACTGGCTCATGAGCCAGTGGAAGCCATAGACACCTATCCTACTCAGATATTCTCAGGCGAGTTCCCGCCGCTAACTTCTAAGACCTCACCCCGCCACCGATCCGATCTAGAACCGTAAGTTAGCCACCAATTCGCTGGCTGACTTTTCCCTGTCGTCCTCTGGCTTCTGAAGTCCAGTTTGTGACTTCTGGTGGCTCCTTTTGAGCTCTGTTTGGCGAGATCTCCGGCCGCGGTGGCTCCCGTGTCGGCGTCATCCCGTTAGGTGCGACTCGGGAAGCCTCTCAGTTTCCGGCCTGTCCCCGTCCACATCGGTCACAAAAATGACCGCCGACCGGTGAGCGTCGATCGACCGGGGCGGGGAGAGGTCACAGAAAGGGAGGGTGGAGGTCAGGGACAAAAGAGGATAGAGATGAAGGACAGAGGAGGCGAAGTCAGGGTTAGAACGGGTATAGATTAGGTTTTGAGAGAGGGAGAGGTCAGACTTCAGTGATCAAGAACGAAGGTAAGAGATCCTACATTGTCTTTTCTGTCTTTTTTTCCCCCAGTCGTTTCGCTCCTATATCACATGACAGATGCTTTGAATCAGCCAGTGATATCTCTGCGTCTGCTCGCACTCAGTATAATATCCCACCACCTGATCATATGGTCAGCTCTCTCCGGCGGTTTTTGACGGCTCTCGCTCTCTCCCCGCGGCAGGCTGGTGTGCTCGCTGCTGCACTGGCGGGCCGAGAACCCGTCCCTGTACCTGGAGTCTGAGGTGGACGCCGTGCGGACAGACCAGAACGGGGACACGCCGCTGGGTCTGACCTGTCAGCGGGGTCACACTGAGACGGCGCGCCTGCTCTACCAGTGGAACCACACCGCCATCAGGTCAGAACAGAACCACACCACAATCAGGTCAGGATCAGGGAAACTACACCTTTTTCAAATAGTATCACGACAAAACCAAAACGGCAACTGGTCTCCCCTTACAACCGTGCTACAGCATTTGCTGGTTCGCGTCAGACCGTCCTAACAATAATTGATCCCAGCAATCGTCTTCCCTAATAATCTATCCAACGAAAACGCTAGCATACAGCTTTGATCTTTTTTCTCTCTAAATAGCATTGCAATTTCATTTGTCTTTGCGGCGACCGATCAGCGTTCTTTTATAGAAGCCATTACCGCTGATCCGGGCAAATATTACCCATCTAACCCTCTGACCGTCTGTATCTGTCCAGGATGCGAAACTCATGTGGCCAGACGCCCCTCGACCTGGCGCGGGAGGCGGGCCACACGCAGCTGGCCGATGAGTTGGAGCGGATTGACACGATCCGTCAGAGAGCTCGCGAGCTGGACCGCAGTGAGAGGGTGTTCGCCCGGCCCGGCACCAAGTACAGGTCCGTGGAGAGGGACGGGGCGCTAAAGGACATGGGAAGGAATGGGGCAAGGTGACAGAGGAGTGAGGTGGAGAATAGGCAATAGGATAAGTACTGGATTGGTAGGTGTAAGTTAGAGGGTTGAATGTAAGGGACTGGTGGCTTTTGCCATCTTCGCTGCAACTACGTATTCATCATTATCTGAACAAGTCTCCAGGTGGGGTTCAACCTTGAATGATAGACGCCCGACTTCATATACAGGTCAGATCCAATTTCATACCAAACAGTTCAGCACCCCCCTGAAGCGTCCCGCTATGTGCGCTGACCGCCGCCCCGGCCCCGTTCCCCAGGTCCGAGCTGTGGCGACAGCGCAACTTCAGCCTGGACCTGCCGTCCGGCTCGCCGCAGGACTCGTCGGCGGCGCGCCAGCTGCGCTCGTCAACCCCCAGTCCCCAGCGGGCGGCGGCGGCGCGGCGGGCGGGAGTCGACAGCGCGCGCAGCAGCATCGACTCGGGCCTGGACACACTGCGGGGGGAGCGGAGCGCCTCTCTGCCAGTCACATCGCCGGCCTGCAGCTCACGGTGCAGCGCGGCAGACATCAGGGACTGGCCGTCGCCCATGATCTGTGAGTCACGGGGACTCGGGGACTGGTTATCGTGTGTGTGATCTGTGAGTGGTGGACTGGGATGAACCTAGGGAGTGACCTTCACACATCATCCGAAAGTGTGGACTGTGGAGCGATAGTGACACTGACGCTCGCCGCCCATGATCTCTGTGTGAGGGTCCGAGGGACCGGGACCTGGGAAAAACAGTGATCTTTGAGTGTGGAAACATGAGGGACTGGACGTCACTTTTCCCCTTTGAAACAACTGTATTGATGTCGATCTTTCAGGCGAGAGTTCCCCGTCAGCCGACATCAGTCAGACGTCGGAGCCGTCGGACCAGCACGTGCTGACGTTGGCCGAACACATCATCGCCGCTATGCCGGAGAGGATTAAGGTGGGTCCCGGACTCCCGAGTACCGACATCATGAGCCGGCACAGCCACGATTCACCTTGCTTCATCAACTGCTGATGACTGAATTGTTCGTGCCCTGTCACAGTCCGCTCACAGCCCGTCGACAGCCCCTCCGCCCCTCTTTTCCGTCAGTTCGAGAGCATACCAGTGTAAGTGTCTGCTGGCGGCTGTATTGTCTCTCTCCTGTCACAGCCCTCTGACAACTTCTCCGCGTCCCTGTTTTCTGTCAGATCGAGAGTGACGGCCAGTGGGAGGGCCTGCTGCATTGTCCCTGTTCTGTCACACTTCTGAACAACTTCTTCGTCCCTTGTTTACCGTTAGATCAAGAGTATACCAGTGGGAACATGTGCTGATGGCTGTATTATCCCTCCCCGTCTCAGTCTTGACTACTTCTTTGTACTCTGTTTTCCGTCAGATCGAGAGTGACGGCCGGAAGGCTGTATTGTCCCTGCCCTGTGACAGCACGCTCATAGGCTTTCCGTCCCTGCTTATTGTCAGATAGAAAGTGACTGCTAATGAGGGCGTCCGTTGGTGGCTATGTTGTCCCTGCCCTGTCAGTCCTCTGACAGTGGTTCCGTCTCCGTTTTCCGTCAGATCGAGAGTGACGGCCAGTGGGAGCGCACCTCCTCTCCGGCCTCGGACCTGGCGTCGCTGCGCTCCGAGGCCATGGAGGACGCCATCGAACTGGCGGACATCTCCGACACCAACTACCGGTGGGTGGACTACCGGTGGGTGGACTACCGATGGGTGGGTTGACTGGAAACTACCGGTGGATGGACTACTGGTGGGTGGTGGACTACCGGTGGGTGGACACCGGTGGGTTACTATCGGTGAGTGGATGGACCGGTGGGTGAATTATCGGTGGGTGGACACTGCGACACTCCGGCGCACCGCTGTCTTCTGGATCATCAACTATCCCGACTGGTTAATGACAGGGTCACCAATCACCATGTCATCGGCTGAGCCCAAAGTCGGTCATATCGTTATCAAACGAGCCTACTTTAGGTAGGTGGCTGGCGGTGATAAGTGAGCCTCAGACAGCCTGTGATTGTGGCACGGCGGCGTGCGACTGCCCCCATCAACCCCACCCCTTTTCTCCACTGCTACCTTTCTCGTTATCTAAGCGTCACCCATCATCGGGCCGAGTCCGGCCGACGGTCGCACCCGGCACACGGCATGTAGCGCTGATTGGGTTCCGTCATCCTCCAACGCTGCAATACAGACACGGCAGTCGAGCGGTAATTGAAACCCGCCCGCCGCCACGGCCCGGCGCCCGCCCCGGCACTATATCCTGTCCCAGACGTGTCATTTCTCGCCGGTATAAATCGGGGTAATTTCCACGTAAGGCCGCTCCTGGGAAGTCACGCTGGGCAGTTTATGTGCGCACGTGATTATCACCTGGCGTGAACTGCCTGGGACTTCTGGTTAGGCTGTTACGCATGGGTCGTTAATTTGTCCGGTTGACAGTGAGGTCTGCTCGCTGTCAAGCGGCTGAAGATGTACTTGTACTCCACGCCGCGGTGTTCCATCAGGAGTTTTCATCGCGCCGTAATTGTGTTGGCGGTGCGGCTGATGTGTGGTCGGGTTAGTGGCCTCAGAGGAGTGCTCAGTGACCCCGGGCCGACACACGGTGGGGCGGTAGAGTAAGTGGTGGATGGCTACGGTAGGTGTCGTGATGAGAATAGTTGTGTACACATAGCGGTGGGTTAATCGTAAACTACCACTACCTCCCGTCACCGCATATTTACAGAAATGCATACGAGTCGTTCACATGATCCTTGCCAATATTGTGATAATGCGCGTGTGTCATTGCATTTTCTGAGCAACGATGCTATTATTTCATAGTTAAGTAAGAAAACGAGAGACGGACTTTTAGATGGTTAGTCAGCCTTGTAATCTAGGGATCAACGCTGTGCATGATGCTCCGAGTCGTGAACAGGTACCGATGTGCACAAAAGGACCTTATCTCATAATTTTTTTAATGAACGCCGCTGGGTAAAATGTCAAACAGTGCAGTTCTGTGGCGCTGGCCGTCCCGCTGCTCGGGTAGTGTTTATGTAGCGTGTCTCTCCGTTCACCTCTTCACCCCCTCTGCCGTCCACAGGTACTGCGAGGCGAGCACGCCGCAGTCGTCAGCCTCGCCGGCCTCCTCCTGTCTGCCGTCGCCTTGCTCGTTCTCCGTCCTGGACTCGTCACCGTCGCCGCCGCCCTCGGCCGCCGATCTGGGGCAGTACTTCAAGGCGGGCCGGCGCGACTTTGCGCTCGACTTCTCCAGCCTGACGCTCTCGGACCGGGAGCAGCGCGAGCTCTACGAGGCGGCCAAGGTGATCCAGAAGGCGTACCGCAGCTACAAGGGCCGAAAACGGGCCGAGGAGCAGGACCGCGAGAAACAGGCGGCCATCGTCATACAGAACTGCTACCGAAGGTACAAACAGGTGAGTTCAACGCCAAACTAGAGAAGGGAATGCACGTAGGTGAGAAATGCACAAAACCGCTGACGTACAAAATGCGAAGGGGTCATACACTCTAGGAATTTCAAAGAGGCGACTCGTATAGAACTACCACTTTAGGACAGAAGCGAGTCTTTGTGTGAACAGAGTGTCAATGAAAGGACAAATTTAGAATCGAGACGGGCAAGGAGGCCACTTGTATTCACCAGCGGCGGCTCGTGAGCTACAATGGCCACATTTATGACCAATCAAAGTCACAAACAGCTTCTCGGGATGTTGCTATTAAAAGAGCGGACTTCCTCCGCATACAAACTCCCGTGTCTGACGTCTGTTCCCGTCCCGTTCCAGTACTTTTACTACACTCAGATGACTCGCGCAGCGCTAGTGATCCAGAGCCGCTACCGCACCTACTGCGAGCACAAGCGGTTCAAAAAGTCGCAGGAAGCGGCCGTATGCATCCAGAACTACTACCGTCAGTACAAGGAGCAGGAGCGCCAGCGGCACGGCAGGGAGGGCACGCCCGGGTCGCTCAAGTGAGTTATCCGTGGTGGATCGTGATGTATGTACAGGACGTGGCTAGGGTTTGACGACACGCTGAGGAGTGAGGAGTGCTCTCATACTCCTACTGGCTGGAATGAAATGGTTTATGATGGCTTTCACCTCAATTTTTATTGTATGTATTTATGTCTTTTTTAAGTTATTTGGTCCTTTGATACCTTGCGGCATTCCTTTTCTGGAACCAATATGCGAACTGGTGTCAATGATAATGTTACACTGTTTTTTTTTTTGCGATGGGCTCTGACGCGTTTGGTCTCGCATTACAGGCGAACCTACTCCCAGAGGCGACAGCACCAAGCCGCCATGAAGATCCAGAACTTCATGCGGCAGTCGAAAAATAAGTACGTGTTTTTCTGGGTGACTGGTACCTTATTCTGCATAGAGCTGTATAATGTGTATACGTTGCATATTTATCCGCTGGCTAAGGCTTCGTTTTACGATATAAAGCTATAATGAAATACAGTGTTCAGTTAGTGGGTGTACCTTTAGTACAAAGCAATCAACACGATGACTAATGCACAGTTCACAGTTCACAAAAAAAAGATATTGTTCAAAGGTGCTTACGCTCCTCGGCATGGAAAACTAACGAAGCCCATCTGCTTTACTAACACATGATACTGCGTCATCAATCTCTGTGATGATTCTGGCGACACCTTCCTGTGTCTATGTGTGGTCCCAAACTAACGGTGTGTGTCGCCGCGCGCATGGCAGCCAATGGGAGATGTGGTTTGAAGACGTGGTGAGTGCCTATAACCTCAGCGGCCGAGTGTGGTACCCCGGGCGGCCTTCCCCCCCCCCGTCCCCCCGTCCCCACTGTCTGTGAGCGGTAGCAGGCGGCGTCAGGTCTCTCCCGTGCTGTGCAGGGCCGGCTCTGTCCGTCTCTGAGGTGTGCATGCTCTCCCCGACCTCGGAGCACTCGCTGACGTCACTTCACGTGCACGGTAACCATGGAAACGGAGACGGCCCAGCTTCAACTGACGGGCATGAGGTCAGACGAGGTGTCATTTCGGGAACCTAAATCTAATCCGGTTTAACTAACTTAGGCTTGTTGGATGAAGATCGATGACTTAATTTTTGCTCTTTGATTTCATTTACATCTTTTGTTGTTCCATTATGATGGGTCTTTAGCATCCCCTACAACCCTCTACAGTTCGCAGGTATTCCCCTTTCTCCTTCTTCCAGAGCTCTGTACCACCGTCTGTAATTGTATATCGACTCTTGTGGAGACCCTCCCAGCTCATCAACTGTCCCAGACCGTGCCAGTACCAGGTCAGCAATATGTCCATCCCACCGGTCCACTTCCATCAAATAACCCGCTGACCGCCAGCCGCTCGTCTGTCGGTCATGGCCGTATATCGATTGCCCTCATCCGCCGCCGCTGTCACCCGCCGCCCGGCCCGTGTCCCTGCCTCTCATGACGTCACACCGGTCCGCTGACGTCACACACCGGTCCGGCAGATTGCAGAGAGAGCGCGAGCTGGAAGCCGGAAGCGCGAGGCCCCCGGACCGGCCGGAGCCAGTATGTGCCCCGCCAAAGTTCCCGCCCCCGCCTCCCGATGCCAGCCGCTGAGCTCACCCTCCACCAGCTCTCTGCACAGTAGGAAGGTGAGGATCTCTCAGATAGGGGGGCGCAGACGTCTGGAGTTGGACTGAATTGACGTATTGAAACCCGGCCCTGATAATTGTTTTGTTGTGAGAAAACAGGAAGGAATGACGTATTGTTTCGAACTAATGTCTCAATATGATATTGAATTGCGTGCCTTATCGTAGGGCGTCATGTCAGGTCGCTTATGGCTGTCTGCATTGAATTGCGGTCACCGTGTGACTGATTTAGCCATATGTCCCATTTTGCGTTGCCATCTAACCCTCCCTCCGCCCTGCCCCGTTTTCTCCGACAGTGCTGACACGAGCTGCTCGGCCGGCCGCCGCCGCCTCGCGGTCCGTCGCGGAGGCTCTCGTTCCGCCAGCTGCCGGCAGATGGCTTCCGCGTGCCGGCCGCGCCGCCCGTCTACCGGCGGGCGCTCAGCTTCGAGAGCTCGACGGTAGTGACGCACGAGACGGTGCTGCGGCGCGGCCGAGTGGGCGGCGTGGCGGGCGCCGCGCCGGAGCCGACGGGACGACCTGGACGGTCGGCCGGTCCGCAGTGACCTCCCCCGGGCTAGGACGGGGCATCAGGGCGGCCGACGCCGCAGCTCGAGGGCTATCTCCATAGTCGGCGCACGCCGGGCCGGCGGGGACAGTCGCCGGCCGGGCCTCCCGCCATCGGCACGCAATCAAAACACGGTACTCCTCGCCGGTTGGAGGCGACCGGGGGCGTCAATCCTCCCTTCTGGAGCCATTTTGGGCCGTTTCTCTCGTATGACGGTCGTGTTACACTGTTGAACGCTAGCCGGCAGTCCTGTTATGTAGTGTTCGTTATGAGAGCTGTTTACTGAGTCGTGTTAAGTGAGTGCGCCGTACCGAGTTACCTGCAGTCGTGTTACGGAGAGTGGAGCGGCCAGTTTCGCCGAGAGTTCAGAGTAGAGTTAGTCGGCGGGAGTTGGACCCGGTCAGGTCCGGCGCCGCCGCCGCTCCGCGACTCCGCGCCGTGTTATTGTTGCTCACTCTTATCTTGTTGCCATCATTGTTGCGCTCAAGTCCTCATCTTTCTCGCTCTTCGTCATCTTACTATTCGATTACCTCGTTGCTGGCGTGCTGTTTACGTAGGTGTAGTGAGAGCGAATGGAAGGCGGACGTGTCTTCGATGGAGTCCGATGAGGGAAGATGCAGTCCCGGACGGGGTCTGTCTGGTCAGTCGGCGTAGTGGAGACAAAGCTGCCCTGCCAAGGTCCATGTGGATCGGTACTATCTATCACAGATTCTGAGAGACATGTTCTGTCCCATCAGGGCCTCTTGGGAGGCAGAGTTAATCCTTTTGGGGTCTCTAGGAGGCAGAATATGTTTATCAGGGTCTCTGAAGGGCAGTCGGTCTATCAGGGCCTCTGCAGTCTGCAAGCACCTAACGGGCCGGCTGCCGGCGCTGCCGTGCACCAGCCCTCCTCGGCGATCACCTGTGACCCGTGATCAGCACCCATGACCTGTGACCTGATGAGCGCGGCCGTAGTGACCTGTCGCCCAGCCCCGGCTCCGGGCCGAATCCCAACCGAGCACGTCCGCCCGTGGCGACTGTGATGCCTCTTGTTGCCGTATTGTAGTGCGTAGTGTTGAGAGCAGACATCGGATTCCTTGTTTATTCTTTTACAATGCTGTATTTGGGCGTCTTTCACAAATTGGTCGGTAGGAATGCCTAGAGCCTGGTGCCGCTGGCCGGCCGACGGGTGCCCTGTCAGTTGGACAGGGTCCGGTCTAGAAGAGTAGCTCGGCCGGCCCCGTCAGCTCTCCAAGTTCTCATGTTCTCACGTAGCTGTAAGACCCGCCCAGGTGCGTCTTGTCTCGATTGCCTTCGTCTTTGAGCAGCATGCTGAATCTGCTGACCGTCCTCTCGGCAGCAGGTCCATATTTTATCTCTGGCCCCGGGCCGCCAGCCGCGGCGCGGGAGCTCCATCTTTCTCTCGATAGCCGCTTTAAGCTCCCGTACATTCCAGTTTCTTGCTCTCTAAGCCCGGTGCCGGCCGCTCGGGCGTCCCAGGGCGAGCCACGCGCGTTTGAGGCGGCTGAGTGCCCGTAGATTCTGAAGAAGTGCGAGCCCTACCAGCCAGGGGCAGGTTGGAGCGGCAGTCGCCTGCGCCCCTTCCCGTCCTCCCCCTGGGCAGAAGTCGACTTTGACAGCCCTGTCTATTGCCCCGCTCCATTTCATCTCCTTCTGAACTCCAGCCGTATCAGCAGATTTCTCTCGCGGTAATCGTTGGCAGAATGCCGCCGAGAGCAAGTTTGATCGTGGATTGCCGGTATCGGATTGGGTCTGACCGCCGCGTCAGCTGACGTCCATGGTGGAATGATGTGTGATGTGGCGTCAGACTGACTTGAGCAGGCGCGTGACGGGTGTCAGGGACGCGTGCGATGAGCATAAACCCACCTTACCTCTTGTCGAATACAATTATCACTCATTCATCCATGTGGTTTTTGAAGCTGTAATCAGCAAGCTGACTTTAGTGGGAGGAGGCTGAAGACACACGACGCCATACAGAAGCTAATGAATAAAAGTAAAGTAAATGCTTAAATATTCAATCATTATTCAAGCTGACTTGTGATTTTAGAGTTCCCGAACTGCAGATCATCGGAGCCAATAAGGAAACTGACGCCTTCGCACTTGTAGAAGGGTGGGAGGGGGGGGGGGGGGTCCCCTGGAAGGGCCTCCTCGGTTTTCTCATGACACGCGTAAAATGGCGAATCACGTCATGCTGCTTACGTGGCTGGGTGGACGAGTGTGGTGAACTCTCAATGAGCTTTAGCTCCAGCACCCCCTACACGATACGAATTCGCGTTTTCTTTTTCTCGTCACTTATGCCTGTCTGTCGCTTATGCCCGCCCTCACCCCCTCCAGTAGAGTTGTATGTAGCGGACAGAATAAACGGGTTTACCGTAAACTCGAACATCGTATAGTCTTCCTCACGCCACCTGCTTGTGGGCCTGGCATGGCCTGTAAACATGACAGCGCGTCACACCTTCCTCAGTTTCCCAGCCGCCCCAAATAGCACGCAGTCTGAATTCTGACGTTCCGTCACCCGCCCATACCCAATCTACTCCCAGCCACCTCAGACAGACCGGCAGTGCGGTACAAAATATGTATTTAGGTGTCGAGCCGCACGATCGGCAGTTTGATACACGATGGATGTTGATGGCTGGTCGGCACCGCGTCGGTCGGCGGGCGGCGCCGGGCCCGGGCGAGCAGGCCTGCCGTGATATAACCGCCCGGGACCGGGGCCGGCCGCCGACCCGCGCGCCGAGCTCACACGCACACAGCACTGGCCCGCGCAGAGCACACATGGTCATGAGACAATATACACCGTAACAACTCTACGAAAAAATGCCGCTATAAGGCAGACTCGAACGACTGCTTCCACTGACTTGCTGAACTCCACACTGCGCCCGTCGCCGTGCTCACGCGCACTCACTCGTTCACTGGTGTCCCCATTGCACGTGAGTATACCGGGCGCCGTGACGCCGCACTGGACTGCCGTCCCATTCACACTTCTTGGATTACTTTCCGGGACCGGCACTAGGCACGGTCAGACACGAATTAACGAGATATACACTGGTACAGGTACCACCCGTGGGTGTACCGGGCGCCGTGACGTGGCACTGGCGCCCTCCCATTCACACTTACTGACGTATTTCCGGAGACCGGCACTAGGCACGGTCAGACACAAATAACAATATACACTGGTGCAGAGGCCGCCAAACACGTGTGTTACAGTTACCCATAAATCGTCAAGAAAATGTTTCATTCAGACTGTTACTCTGTATGCGGCGCAAAAACTTGGGAAGTACAAGACAACCAACGTGGCAAAACGGCTTATACAAACACTTTGCACACACTATATGCAAAATCAAGATGGGAGCGGAGGTCCTGGCGTCGCCCACTGCCCGATGGTCTCACGAACCCTATCACATGGCTACAGTCGATAAGCGGCACTTTCCAATGACAGATGAGATATCAAAGAGCGACTGGCGTGTGCTTTTACATGCCCATGCCGCCCATTCCACCCATGCCGCCCATACCTCCCATGCCACCCATTCCGCCGCCCATGGCGTCGGCCTTGTCTTCCTTGGGCACCTCGCAGACGACCGCCTCGGCGGTGGTGAGGAGCGAGGCCACACCGGCGGCGTCCGTCAGCGCGGTCCGCACCACCTGAACAACAGACACCGGAAGAGGTCAGAGACTCGTCCACCGGGGTCAGTAGACACATGGAGAGGAGGTACAAATCCGCAGGCGAACGGCTGAAGACGAATTAGGAATGAACATGTGTACGATGACACGGAAGAGCGGAGGACACTCGAGAAATGATAATGTAAAGGCTGATCATGGAAACTAAATCAGAGGGAAATACACAGAGAATCAGAATAAATCGTCAATGACGATGCGATTGTCGTGGCCGGCCCCGTCGACCGGTGACCGCAATACCAGCCGCCGGTCGGGGGGTCGCCACAGCTGTGATCTATCTCCCCTTTCACCGGCCGGCTCAGGGAGCAGAGCGGCAGGGGCGTCGGGGAGAACACGGGCTCGGCAAGCCACAACATTGAGACATTAGCTTATGCTCACAACAAAATTCTTACACATATTCGCCGGAAACATTGCACAAAAACTTGGGCATTTGTTGAAGAGTGGATACCAGCGCACGAAATATTTACATGTTCATATTTTCATATTCAGATCTTTTTTACACACGATCAAAACCCAACTCAGAACCCAATAGCTGATGATGTCCCTACCATCACCCCCCCCCCCCCCCCAGCCCCCGATTCGTGTGCTCCCGCTGACCTTGGTGGGATCGATGATGCCGCGCTCCATCATGTTGACCATCTCGTCGTTAAGCGCGTCGTAGCCGATCTCCGGCTGGGCATCCTGCACGCGCGCCACCACCACGGCTGCGTCTACGCCGGCGTTAGCTGCGATCGTCTGCAGAGGCATGCGCAGTGCCCGGCGCACGATCTCCACACCTGGGGGCACAGAAAGGGAGGGTTACGGGACGAATCGAATGATGCAGGTATAGGTGAGATGAGATGAATTGATTTGTTCAGGCGAAATCCAACAGCGGCCAGAGATCTGACGACAGATAAAAGTTGTAACGAAAACAAAACCAATCAAATTTAACAATCATTCGAAACGCCTTAATTTCAGTCCAAGCTAACACTAACGATCAGACCTGGAAAGGTAAGCCCAACCGACAATGTCGTGGCCGGCCCCGTCGACCGGTGACCGCAATAACAGTCGCCGGTCGGGGGGCCGCCACAGCTGTTTTCTATCTCCCCTTTCACCTGCCGGCTCAGGGAGCAGAGCGGCAGGGGCGTCGGGGAGAACACGGGTACACAGACCGGGTCGGGGCCACTCACCGGTCTTCTGGTCCTCGTTGGTCGGCTGGAGGGCGCTCAGCGCGGTCGCCGAGCGCAGCAGGGCCACGCCGCCGCCGGGCACGATACCCTCCTCGACGGCGGCGCGGGTGGCGTTCAGCGCGTCCGTCACGCGGTCCTTCTTCTCGTTCACCTCCACCTGACACAGGCAGAAGGGGGTTAGAGTACGGCGGACATAGAAAAAATGGGCAGCCTGACGTGACAGCGTCGCTAAATAAACTAGTTATATGAATTCTCGAAACCTCTAAGATCAACATCATGGAATTTAAAAAATGATGACGTGTCATGCATGGTCCGCATAACAGCTTTGTTACCGGTACCGGCGAAATATTGGCTTATAGCCCATCAGATGTCGTTCTCGTTATCCCAGGCCACAGGCTACCTACAATCGCCGAGCGGCCGATCCTGAGAACTCTGTTGCTGTTTCTCCCGCGTTCACCCCGCCGGCGGCTGGTCGGACCGGCGAGAGCGTTAGGGAGACCCTCCCCCTCCTCCCAATGGTCCTGTGTCAGACGTACCTCGCTGGATCCGCCGACCTTGAGCACACCGACGCCCGAGGCGAGGCGCGCCAGTCGCTCCTGCAGCTTCTCCTTCTCGTACTCGGAGTTGGTCTCCTCGATCTGGTCCTTGAGCTGGACGCAGCGCTGCTCGATATCGGTCTTGTTGCCGCGGCCCTGTGTCGGAAGACGGACGGTTGGTTAGGCCACGGCGACACAAGGGAGGCAGGGCAGTGAAGATAATTAAATAAGACGATAGTTACACAATGCATAATACACAAAGCAAAACTAAAACTAGAGCCATTAACACGCGCACTGCAGCGGGTCTGAGCCGAACACGAACTGCAGGGGGGGGGGGTTGAAAACAACCCCCCCTGAGATCTCGAAAACGGCGCAACGTAGCGACAAGCGGTAAACGGCGTTGGATAGGTTGAGATGAGATCTACAAGAAATACTAAGATCATTTTTGGGTCAGGTCAAAAACGAGGTCACCAGAGGTCACCGAAGACAAAATGTTACGATTTTCTTAACAGGAATTTCGCGGTAGTTTTTCTTGAATAACTTGTCTTGCACACAAGACAGAGGATCGATTCGAACGCCATCGTTCTTAGCTCGTCAAGGCGCATCGAATGATATATAATATGACCTCGAAAGGTCAAGTTGAAAAATTGACCTCAGGTCAAGGTCATGACCTGACCGAAATAGGTCATGTTGCATATCATTCGATCCGCATTGACGAGAAAAACACGATGAACGTCGAACGGAGTCTCTATCTCTATTCAATCACAAGTTATTGAAGAAAAACCGCTGGTGATCTCAGGTGACCTAAGATGACCTGGAGATCACCTTCCAAAGGTCATAAGTGATATGTTTCGGTGAAATCACCAACAGGGACCTGTAATACTATGATCCTGAGCGTATTGAAGTCATAGGATGGCATTCAGAGTAAGTTGAAATTTCTCCCATTGACTTATAATGGGCCGGTCGCAAAAATGACCTGACCTTAGGTCATCGATATAAAAATTCCGAGATATACAAGTTGTAGCTCGTGATGACTTTACTATTTCCTGTGGGTTTCAAGATCATATCTCAACAACTGTGGGCTTGGTGGGATTGCAAACTTCGAAATTTACGTTTCGAGGTAGGGTCACTTGACCTGACCTGGTGACCTGACCATAGGTCACCTGGGGTCAAAATTTTTACTCAAGGTGTGCAAAAGTTGGGAGAACAGGTATGCAAAATTTGGCGGCGCTACGCGCCGCCGTTTTCTCGCGATTTGCGAAAAACCACAGGGGGGGGGGGTTGAAAACAACCCCCCCCCCTGCAGTGCGCGTGTTAAAATATTAGGCAGAGCCCATCAACATCACAAGCCAATCTAGCTACTGTATCATTCTTAAATTTGTCGGTGAACCCGTCGAGCTACAACATTAAACCACGCCGCAGCTCTCTGGGACAATTACCACCGGTTCTGTACCTCCACGTCCAACCGACGCTGCCGTGGGTCGCAGCGCCGGTGAATATGGGAGGATCGCATCCCCACCCCACCCCAGAACTGCGTCCTTACCTTCAGCATGAGCGTGTCGTCCTTGGTGATCTGCACCTCGCCGATCTGACCCAGGTCAGACAGCTGCACGTCCTCCAGCTTGATGGTGGAGGCCTCGTCGCCGAAGACGATGCTGCCCGTGGCGATGGCCATGTCCTGCAGCGTGTTCTTGCGGTTGTCGCCGAAGCCGGGAGCCTTCACGGCCACCACCTACAGACACGGGAAGGGCGTCACAATTTGGATCGCAAATACAGCAGTGATATCAGACACCCGCGTATCGAAAAGGTTCAGCAGTTTGGAACGTCAATTTGATAAAATAAAGAAGAGCCGACATTAAATGCAAAGCGATGGCACCTAACATATTGTCGTCCTCGTTATCCCAGGCCACAGGCTACCTATAATCGCCGAGCGACCGATCCTGAGAACTCTGTTGCTGTTTCTCCCGCGTTCACCCCGCCGGCGGCTGGTCGGACCGGCGAGAGCGTTAGGGAGACCCCGGTCCGTCCCTTCCCGTCTCCACACGCACCTGGAGGCCGATCTTGAGCCGGTTGACCACCAGGGTGGTGAGCGCCTCTCCGTCCACGTCCTCGGCGATAATGACCAGCGGCTTGCGCGCCGTGTTGGCCAGCTCCAGTGTGGGGATGATCTGCTGGATGTTGGAGATCTTCTTCTCACAGAGCAGCACCAGCGCGTCCTGGTACTCCACCTTGGCGCCTGCCGGGACAGCGCAGGGGTCAGATATTGCCCCGGGCGCACCAGGGGCAGGGATGATTGCTAAATTGAACTGCAGTACAAACAAAACAATAGTCGTGTTAAAACACAATCACCTGACTGACTGAAATAGATCGGCAAACAAAAGATCAATTGTCGGCGCACCTCAGGGAGGACCCGGCCGAGGAGCTAGGCCGGACTCTCCAAGGTAAGTGACACCCGATACTCTACCTCCACTCGACAACCGACACCGCCACGGGACGCGACGCTAGTTCATTGTGAAGGGATACGCTTGCAAGAGCCAAAACAAAACACATGAAGCACAACTATCCGCGACCAAAAAAGTCAAAATGTCGGCGTTTTTCGGCTCGCCTACCCTTGCTGGAGTTGATGAAGTATGGCGAGATGTAGCCGCGGTCGAACTTCATGCCCTCGATCACCTCCAGCTCGTCGTGCAGCGTCTTGCCGTCCTTGACGGTGATGACGCCGTCACGGCCCACCTGCAGGGGAGGAACAGCGTCACGTCACGATACACTGCCGTCACGACAGGGTGACGGTATCGGCGATCATCTGACTGTCTGTGGGCGGCGCTCAGGAAGGCGCGGCGCACGGTGCCGCCGCGCCCTCCAAGGTCCGCGTCCGCCGTTCCTGTGCCTCCGCCGTCCGACCGACGCTGCCGCCGGACGCAGCGCCGGTGTACCCGGGAGGAAAACATATACAAACACACGCAGAAAAAATACACGATTTACTGCTCACGTAAACGATAATCAAATACGATAAACACAAAAGCTGCCTTCTCAAAATGTAAAAAAGCACAAAACGTCGAGAACCACGGCAATTCGAGACGACAAAGCATAAAATCTGAGCTGAGGCCTCTTGCACCAAAATCCTCTTGCACCAATGCTTGGATTATTTTGCATCGTATACCCAGTCCAAGTCTCAAATGTAACAATTTGCGTGCAAAATTTAGCAAACACATGTAGGATTATGTATTGGGCTACTGCAAACAAATTTACCACCGTTAGATAAGCTTATTCTGAAACCGGTTTTTCGATTTTACCTAGCTAGGTAGTTTGGTGCAAGAGGCCTCTGGTGGCTCACCTTCTTCATGGCGCTGGAGATGAGATCTCCAATGGTCTTATCTCCGTTGGCGGAGATGGAGGCCACCTGGGCGATCTCCTCGGGCGTGGTCACCGCCTTCGACATGTTCTTCAGGTTGGCGACCACCGCCTGGACCGCCAGCATCACGCCTGCGGGATGAACGACTCGGTCAGACGCCGGAGACCATCCGAGAATTACGACACTTGAGGCTGGTACATGGACCCAGGCTGCCCCTAAACGTATATAGCGCAAATCGCAAGATGACGTAGGACATTTGCTCTACCTCAGCTATTATCAGTGGGCATCCAGCTGGATCAATTGGTCCCCAATTATAGGCACTGACTGTTTGAGCGACGTAGTTAAGCCCAATCACGTCCAATACGCCTGGCCTGCCCACCACTTCAATCACAGGTATTTGAGCCCATCTTCCCTATCCGACAGCCATCATATCATTGTTTATGGCCACGCAACCGCGCCACGGTAATAATCTACAATGTTTCGTCTAAGTCCACCGAGGACTGTCACGGAAAGATCAAATGTCGGCGCACCTCAGGGAGGACCCGGCCGAGGAGCTAGGCCGGACTCTCCAAGGTAAGTGACACCCGATGTTCTACCTCCACTCGACAACCGACGCCGCCACGGGACGCGACGCTAGTTCATTGTGAAGGACTGAGTAGCAGACTCGTGTACCAAATAAACAAAACAACCCGAGGTTACGCACAACTAGCCATCCGTGTATAATTGCCAAACACCGTCACCTGTCCGCCACTGACGCACCTTTGCGGACCTCGGTGGGGTTGGCGCCCTTGCTGATCTTCTCGAAGCCCTCCTTGGCGATGGCGCGCGCCAGCACGGTGGCCGTCGTGGTGCCGTCGCCCGCCTCGTCGTTGGTGTTATTGGCCACGTCCTGCACCAGCTTGGCGCCAATGTTCTGGAACTTGTCCTTGAGCTCGATGGCCTTCGCCACCGTGACACCGTCCTTGGTGATTTTCGGAGAGCCCCACGACTGCTCCAGAATCACGTTGCGGCCCTGAGACGACGGGTGACAAACGTCAGACGGCTGTTACGTAACAGGGCGTAAATAGAACATGAACCGAGTCACAGGTTGGCAACAGTACAATATCCAAAATACCGACATATCTGAGAAGATTGCTGAAACACCAGCTTTCATTACGCTCATTGTAACATCTTCCCAAGGTGACTCAAACAGCATGAAAGTCAACGTAAAGGTTTGACTCGCTCTGACATGGTGCGGCCTCGCACACCCGGGTTCCACCCGAGACGCCTACCTTGGGTCCCATGGTGACGGCCACGGCGTCGGCCAGAACGTCGACGCCCTGCAGCATCGAGGCGCGCACATCGCCGCCGAAGCGGACGTCCTTGGCGAAGCAGCGGGTGAGTTGCCGGGCGGCCGGGCCGCGCAGCAGGCCGGGAATGCGGTACATTCTGCGGGTCAGACCAACGGCCAGGTCAGCGGGACGGCGATGGCAAGACGACTAGCTCAGTTCGTGCGGGCTGAACACGTAGTCAAGTTTTAGTGATACGGGGGGACTAGACCTACATAAAGCATCCACGATGTGTCGGTGCCTCGCTAGGCCCGAGCACGAGACTGGTGCACGTTCCTTTCAGTGAGTTACATCTGTTTCTGTACCTCCACGTCCAACCGACGCCGCCGAGGGACGCGGCGCCGGTGAATATGGGAGGATAGCTCACGATTCCACCGCAGCAGCATCGCCAACTCTTTTTTTTTTGTCACATTTACATGTTCCTGCATACAGCGTATGTTTTCGGATGTTTTCGGCCAGGCTATCGACAAAGTTGCAACAAAACTGACGGCAGCGGTTCAAAGCTCTTCCAATTACGTAAGGGTAAGCAGTATGGTGAACTGTGGACGATACAATGGCTCCACCGCTTTGTGTGAGGGGGGGAGGGGGCCTCCGCCGCAAACACCGTCGGCGTCTGTTAGCCGCCCCAACTCCCCTACCCTCCCCTCCCAGACAGGGATCGGATGACCAGAAACAGACCGTCCCTCCCCTACCCCGGATCCTCTTTCACAGGAAAGAGCAATGACAGCAGTTACGCTGTGCATAACCTCGGTAACTCTTCCACGCGTCACAAGGACAAAACAGATGTGGCATATGAATGATGATCCGAACAAGTCAGCACAATCTCGCAGTCAATCAGAACCTAGGTTTAGTTCTCGTGACGGAATGTCACACAGGGGCCGGCTAGCAGTTTCCACTTTCAGCAATAGAACGCGCCATCTACCGACCCCTATCAAACAGCTCAACCCTCGTGGACATCTAGTCTGGTCAGCCTTTTAATCTTGTTTGCAGTCTCATAATTTCGCCTAGCTAACTGGTAATTGAGATGGTTCTTGCATTTATTTCATTTCCCCAATAAAATCAATCATTAGGTGTGCCAATAATCCAATATTCATTCAAAGCAGTTTTCCCAGAAAAAAGATGTTCACATTCAGGAAACAAATAAACATTCAATAATTTTCATGATCTGGCTTTAAAAGCCTTAATTAACCCGCGCCGGGCCGGGGAGGGGGTGTTTGAACAACCCCCCCCCCTGCGGTTTTTCGCAGATATCTCAAAAACGTTTGGCACACCTGCTCGTGCATCTTTTCCGTACATGTGAAAATTTCAGACCCAGGTCGCCTTAGGTCAGGTCACCAGGTCACGCCAAGTGACCTCACCTCAAAAAATAAGAATGCTCGTCATAGCTACACGGACTGAACGATTGCCTTGAATCTTTCAGCGATTGATTAGAGCAATATTATCTATAAAATGTATATCTCGGAATTTTGATATCGGTGACCTAAGGTCAGGTCAATTTTGCGGCCTCTCCATTATAAGTCAATGGGAGAAAATTGAATTTTTTTTGTCTGTCTGTTTTGCACGAACGCTATTCTAGACACTCTCAAACATCGAGATGTAGGTAAAATTGACACACTGAACCGGAAAATGGCAACTGTGAACCATCGTTATGTCCCCGAGGTCATCTCAGGTCACGAACAGAATCTGACAGTTTTTCACTGATAACTTCTGATAGAGGTGTGCTAGAGCGATGAAAACGCCTTAGATGTGTTCGGCTCGACGTTGCAGATCGACTGATATGCAACATGACCTTTTCCGGTCAGGTCATGACCTTGACCTGAGGTCAAATTTTAAGTTGACCTTTCAAGGTCAAATTATAGTTCATTCGACGCGTCTCGACGAAAGGAACACGATGCAATACACGATGTCATGGCTGTCTTTTGAGTCAAAAGTTATTGCCGAAAAAACACTTAGTAAAAACAGCTATTTTTGGAGTTTTTGCCCTCTGGAGGCTAAACCGTTGACCTGAAGTCAAATCTGAGAACAATACCCAGAAAGGTCTGTAAAAGGGCTATCGAATGCGCTTTTCCGCGGCGCTGTAGCTCTATCGTCGAATGCGCTTTTCCGCGGCGCTGTAGCTCTATCGGTTCCCGAGATAGCCGTCAGCAGTTTCCAAAATGTTGAAATAGTAAACATTTTACCTTAATTGGTGACCTCTGGTGATCTGACACAAAAAATGACCGAAGTGTTTTCATCCTTATTTTGGACGTTCTTTCTATTGCCGCTTACCGCGTGTTGCTACATGGCCCAGGAGCCGAGTTAGAAGGGGGTGTTCAGGCACCCCCCCCCCCCGAGATATACTAAGCACAACAGAACACACATCCATTAACCCTCGCCGGCCGAGGGGGGGGGGCGGGTGCCGCCCCCCCCCCCCCCCCATAGGGTTTTTTTCGCGATAGCTCCGAACACGTTGGCGATAGAGCTGAAACTTGGCATACCTGACCTTTGATTCAAGCCGGATCTTTTGACACCAACCGCATTTTCAGGTCAGGTCAGGTCACTGACCTATGACGTCATAAGTGAACCTCTGCACGGTCTTCAGATGTCGCAACTTCGCAACGCCCTCACTGCCAGAGGAGATGTCACAGGGAAATGAAACTTGCAGGATCTAGTATCCATTATGAGTCTCACAACTTGTATATTTCGGATTTTTCCTAAAGGTCATATGAGGTCAGGTCATTTTCGTGACATCACCATTATAAGTCAATGGGGAAAAATTAAAACTGCTATTCTGACGCCGGGAACGATCTCCAAGTATCTCAAGCAAACAGAATCGTGATTTGATGCACTCCTTGCAAGGTTAGATAAGTCACTTTTGCAATGTTTACCTTGCGTGACGTCATTTATGACGTCATCAAGGTCATATTAGTTTTTCGTCAATAACTCTTGATCAAATTGAGCTAGCGAGTCGGGAAAGCCACCAATGGACTCAGGAAGACCTTCCGAATCGAATGATATGCGACGTGACCTCTTTCAACCAACTTCGTGACCTGGGGGTGCTGACCTGACCTTGACCTGAGGTCAACACCCCAAGTTGACCTGACCCGAACAAAAAGTATATCATTCGACGCGCCTGAGCGAGGCGAACACGATGCTGCCCAAATCGGCGCTCTGCGGCCGTTTTTTGCGAAGTTATTCACCAAAAACTGAACCGTACCCTGGGGCACTTGACCTGACCTCAGAGGTCACCGGTTAAACTAGGACCTTAAAATCGGGTACCAATCTCTGCGTCTCGTAACGGCACAAACGCTCGTTTTTTCCGCGACGCGCTAGCTCCACCAGGGGCGAAACGGCGAGGGGGGGTCGTACCCGCCCCCCCCCCTCGGCCGGCGCGTATGTAGAAAACCAATAGGTCCGGCGAGGGTTAAGTCAATTCTGTCATTCATGACCATGCAGGTGCCAGGTATCATCAAATTTCGCTTCACATTAACATTTTCTTGCTCTGGATGTCAGTGGAACTAATATTCTTACTTGGGCCTAGGGTTAAGTAGAAGATGGACATTTTGGTGTAGGTAATGGAAAAGTAAAACATGAAACTGTCTTTCCATAGCAATTAAATAAAGCACAGCTTCATTAATCCTAGCACCTGTGCATGTGGAGTAAGCAACAAATGAAAAGCATGCCCAAAAGCTCAAGGTGAATAATTGGTGAATAATTAACATCACTGAATTAAAGATATGGGCAGGGAAATTAGAGCAAAATAAAAAAGGGGTCTAGGACATTCAAGGCCTGTAAGTGCCACTCTGCACTCAAACCTTCCACTTCGATTACTTAATTGTGCAGATGCAAATGATTCTGAAATGCAGTTGCACTGATGAATTATGTATATTATCATCCCTGCCCCTTTCTCCCACACACAAATAAGATAGTAACTATACTTGGCATCTAACAGGCAAATACCAATAGCAGTTCCTCTGTAAGTGAGGTCCAGACTGGAAAACATCCATACACTACGCCGGACGCCCGTGAGACCCTCTTGCGCCGAAATTCGCCGCAAGCGATTTTGCGCCAAAAATTAGGTGCCTATTTGTGCGAAAATTAAGCCCTTTTTAAATAAGGCACATGTGCACATCTACCGATCAAGGCTATATGAACCCGACAGAGTGTTCCAGGGCCTTGTATGCTCTCCCGTGTTTGAGCGTCCCAATGAATTTTTCATTTCTACAGAAACCTATACCTCAATAGTCTTAGCGCACTCTAGCTTCATGCCGTGAAACAAAGCTGGAGCCATGAGTTCCGGGGCCACAAATTTGTGCCGATGTTAAAGGTAGACTGCCACCTTTTTTCCACAAAACGGTTTTCACTAGAGCTGAGCCACCTATGTCCCAGACTGAAGTCGGTTTTCCGAAATTCGAACCCGTTTGCGAGAAATCGGAGACCAAAGTTCAGTTTGATGCCATTTTTTTAGTCCAAGAAAACCGACATCTCTACTGTTTATCGATAACTTTGAAACATGAATTTTCTTATCTTTTGGTAAATATATGTCAAAACTTTGATTGTTTCGAGATCAGAGAAGAATTTTGGAGTGTCAAAATAAAAGTTAAACTTATATATTCAGTAGTTCATTTTTTCCAAAAAAGTGTGGGAAATGGGGTTTAACATGGGCCAGACCCATTCCAAATGAGCCATGATTTTTTTAATGTTTTACGAACTTAAATGCAAAATAAATTAAACATGGCCAATTTCTCATGAAATCATATATTAGTAAATCATAAAATACCTTACTTTTTCAAATAAAATGTAATAATCTTATGACCTTGAAGTCTAGTGATGTGTAAACATTGTCGCTAGACATTAACCGATTGATAATTGTATGAAAATCGACAATTTTTTCGCGATTCACGTCATGATACTTTGTCGGGTGAATTCTAAAATTTTGTTTTGTCCAGGGAATAAATCATAGGCCGATCTGAGAAAACTTTTTGAAGGTGGCAGTCTTCCTTTAATATCGGCAGAGCAGTGTGTTCGAGGCTGGTGGGAGTGGCAGCGAGGGCCGGGCAGCCAAGCAGCATGTGCTCCGGCACATCACACTCTTCTCGGCACACGGCGCAGAGTGCCGCGGGGCACCGCTTGTCTGGGCACTGCTGGCACGCCGCGGAGTGGAGACAGCCGATTCGGTGCCGTATTGGAGCCAGCGGCCCCAGTGGCCCGCCCTCATCTGGTGCACCGAAACGGCATCCTCTCGGTTCGCTCCGGGGATAGGGAGCGGCGACGTGCTCCCGAGGAGTGGCTTGAATAGTGACTGAGCAGTTGTCGCGCCATTGATGCGAGGCCGCACAGTGAACCGCCCTTGTCAGTGATTGGGCGTTTGAGGGCAGGGCGGCCGCCTGTTTTGCCAGGTCGTCCGCGCTCTCATTCCCCTCGATACCGCAGTGGGCAGGAACCCACTGCAGTATTGCTTAACGACGCTTGGCGATGTTCAACAAGGTCTTCCATACCTATCTCCACGCCGAGGGTTGAGGCCTCACCTGGGCAGCCGCTTCTCCGCTGAGTTCGAGCGGCTCACCAGTTCACCAGTTCGAGCACGCGACGACCAGGGCGGGGAGGTCTAGTCCCGAAACCTCTCCAGAGCCGCCCGCGGGGCGAATCTGCTGCTAGATTGACCAGCGTACCGCATAAATTCAGTGAGTCTTTCGCCAAAAAATTATGCGACCGCCCTGCGCCGAAAAATTCGTCCGCCGCCATGCGCTGAATTAGGCGCATGTGAAGTTACGCCGGACGTGCACTAAAATTTTCGGCACAATCCCGCCACTACGCCGGACATATTCGGCATAACGTGTACTATTTCCAGTCTGGTGAAGTGGTCTAAAGGCAAAAAATTCCAGCAGGCGGCTTTTTCTGTTGGTAAAACTGGCTTCAGGAGTTTAAAGTTTTGACACAGGAAGTGAGTTAAGAATGAATGCGAGGGAAACAACATGCAAAAAGAAATCCAGGAGATCCAACAAAGAAGTAATCAAAGCATGACACAGGCATCTATCTCAACTTAGGATCAAGAAATGGTCATGCTAGTCCGGCTCAATGATGTTAATTGGCATGCATTATGCAACAACATTCAGTTTAGGGTGCTGCAGGCTATTCATATTGTGGAAACAGTATTTTGTCCCAGCACCTTTCCAAATCTATTGCATTTCGCAGTAAGCATTTAGTAAGGACGCCATTTAATTGCGTCCCAGAAAAGCTATTTCTGGCACCTAAAAGCTGACTCGCCCCAAAATTGGTCCTCAGCACCTATTTGGTGGATACCAGCACCAATCAGGGAAAATGACCTTAATTAGCTGTTTCTGGCACCTATTCATCGGTACGCCTTACTCTTTTTTTCTGAATCTGGCACCTAAATGCTGAGCGTAGCACCAATCTAGTAGAAAAATGAACTACTGGCTGGTAGAATCATGTTGTTCTGGTATAATGACCCCTGGAGTCTAGCCTAAAGGTTGCCAGTGCAGCTACACTCTAAGACAGCCCCGTAGTGATCTCAGCATTGTATATGACGTTTAAGTAAGCAAATAATATTGATTTGTTTGAAAAAAAAACAATGTCATTTAAATATTTAAAAGTATTTATTTGTAATGCTTAAAGGGAAACATTTTTGTGAGTAATTGTCTCGATTTTGACCATTAAAACGGGTATTGTATTTTTTGACGTCATCAAATAGCTCCAAAAAAGAAATGTAATGTTTTCATTCCGTTCAAGGCCGCTGAAGAAACGCGGGATCTTGCGTGGGACATTGTCCGTTGTTAGCCGCGCAAAGTTGTGCCGTGGTTGTGCCTTTTTCATCCATTTCTTACTTGTCATATGTGTGCATGAAGCTTTGATTTTGTTTTTGGTTATTGTGTGGCCGGTCAGTCAAACGCCCCTGTAGAAACCGGATGCTGCGTTTGATCGAGATGGAGTCAGACGATGATTGCAGAAAGCTAATAATATTGAAAAGAGGGCCGGTTGCGTGGCATGTCTGTTCAGAGTTGACATTTTGCTTTACTCCAGTTTATGACCTGAGAGCCTGGCTGGAAGTGACGGATCCAAACTTTTCACGTTAAAATGGCTGAGGGTGCAATAATCTCTAGTCTCTTCTCTACATAGCGGGCTGGTATAGGAGCGTCTTGCTATGCTGCACCATAGCTGGCTAGTGATTTTCTTTTGGCTAGAAATGGCATTAATCATTATCTCCACTGGCGAAAATGGCACTTGACATCACCGAATGCAACGTTCATGTTGTTAGGATACATAAAATCAGGAAGATTACGCGAATTAGGTAAGCAAACGTGGAATAAAATAGGTGCTGGGTGTTTTGGTTTTGGTGCTGAATCAGCAAAAAGCAAATACGGAGTTCAACTAGACGATCTGGCAACTTTAGGCTGTGTGGAAGCATTTAGGTGCCAGATTCAGATATTAGGGTCGAATAAGCATTTTGGGGCTGATCAGCAATTAGGTGCCAGAAACAGCTTTTTAGGGACCAGAAACAAATATTCCCCATTTAGTAATAGCATTCATTATCGATTTCACCGAGATCCGATTTCCGGCGCAGGCAGCCTATTCTCACCCAGCGAGAACGATCCAGCAAGTTAGTAGTATTGACACCATAGACAACAAACCTTTTATTATGTGATGAAGCGACGAAAATGAATTTTCCAGCGGATCTGTCGACGGTTAGTGCCGCCGCTGACCCACGTCCCACGGAAAAGAACACCGGCTCGTCGTCGGGAGTTTTCCGGAAAGACGGTAGAGAAGGGAAAAGCTGTACTTTATCAGGGTGGGTACTGCTTCACCGAAAAAAGCAAAGCGCAAGAAAGCAAAGCACATCGAAAAAGGTTTTAATTTAAATAAATCTCTAAAATTAGTAACATCAATGGTTTTTATCAAGTTAAGACAAAGGCAGTGCCGAATTTTTTGTCGAAAACTAGTATTTGTTATACTTTTTTACCATTTGTATTTGCAGTCCAACTCTAGGCCTTTTCCTCTCTTTTTTCATCCGTGATGAACTTCGAGAGAATTCGTATGACGTAATACTATTCATTTTAATTTTAAATTTCTTGTGTTTTACTTTAATTTTATGATATATATTCAAACTTGCCAAAAAATTGATCTCAAATAAAGAATTGTTGTTCAAAAGAGCTAGTTTTTTATTTAAATACAATATATACGTCATGATATACATATAAAATACATTTATGACGCATGTGATACGCTGCGCACGCCGTTGTAAATTTTCTACTCGCCCGTGGTGACTGAGGAATCGCATTTTCTATTTTTCGGGCTATTGTCGCCGTTTGAAGTTCGACTGAAATATCCGTAAACCCCCCTAAAATGGTAAGTAATCTTAGAGTTATCTTTTTAGACCTCGATTTAATGCCATTACAGTCTGCTGAAGGGTTTGAAGTGAGGCTTGAACCCTGAGCATCATTTGCATGAACTTGTCCAATTCAAATAATCATTATCTCCCTTCTAACTCTGCTCATGGGCCACGTAGCGATACGCGGAAGGCGGTGTTCGAAACAGCGCCAAAAATAAGGACGAAAACATCTCGGTCACTCTTTGGTTAGGTCAAAGGTTAGGTCACCGGAGGTCATTGGGTATCAGTAACCCTGGCGTCACCGGTAGCGGTTTCGTTCAGGGTTAAGGTTTCCTGTATTAGGCTGCCGTGCCAGGCCAAAGCATGTTGTGACGTCACTGGGTAAGAGAAGATAACTTAAGGAACGACTCAGGCAGACTCAAACCGACTCAGGGGGACTTAAATTGACTCGACAGACTCAGATCGAGTCAGAACGACTCAAACTGACCCAGAACGACAACCGACTCAAATCGTTCCAATGGACTCAGACAGACTCAGGCAGACTCAAACCAACTCAGGCAGACCCAAACTGACTCAGGCAGACTCAGACTGACTCAGATAGACTCAGAATGACTCAAACTGACTCAGACCAACTCAACAGACTCAAATCGATTCCAATCGACTCAGACAGATTCAGAATGACTCAGATACTGAGGCAGACTCCAACTGGCTCAGGCAGACTCAAACCGATTCAGATCGACTCAGATAGACTCAGAACGACTCAAACTGACTTAACAGACTCAAATTGATTCCGATTTCCGATCTACTCAGACAGCCTCAGGCAGACTCAAACCGACTCAGGCACACTCAAACTGACTCGACCGACTCAAACTGATGGGTCTGTCTGAGTCAGTCTAAATCGGCTTGAGTCGGCTTGAGTCTGCCTGAGTCTGTCTGAGTCGATCGGAATCAATTTGAGTCGGTTGATTCGGTCTGAGTCAGTTTGAGTCGTTCTGAGTCTAGCTGAGTCAGTCTGAGTCGATCTGAATCGGTTTGAGTCGGTCGAGTCAGTTTGAGTCAGCCTGAGTCTGTTTGAGTCGGTTGAGTCTATCTGAGTCGGTCTGAGTCGATCTGAATCGGTTTGAGTCGCTCGAGTCAATTTGAGTCTGCCTGAGTCGGTTTGAGTCGTTCTGAGTCTGTCTGAGTCGATCGGAATCGATTTGAGTCGGTTGAGTCGGTCTGAGCCAGTCTTAGTCGATCTGAATCGGTCTGAGTCTGCCTGAGTCGGTTTGAGTCTGCCTGAGTCTCGATTTGAGTCGGTTGAGTCGGTCTGAGTCGTTCTGAATCGGTTTGAGTCGGTCTAGTGAGCTTGAGTCGACTTGAGTCGGTTTGAGTCTGCCTGAGTCGTTCTGAGTCTGTCCGAGTCGATCAGAACAGATTTAAGTCGGTGAGTCAGTCTGAGTCGGTTTAATTCGTTCTGAGTCGGTCTAAGTCGATCTGAATCGGTTTGAGTCGGTCGAGTCAGTTTGAGTCTGCCTGAGTCAGTCTGAGTCTATCTGAGTCTCAGTCGATACTGATAGCGTGGTACGTTATCTTCTCTTCCAGTGACGTCATGGCATGCTACGGCCTGGCACGGCGGCCTAAAACAGGAAATTGAACGAAAACATTACCGGTGACGCCAGGGTCACCGATACCGGTCATTGATGGCATAATTTTGCCAAGTTTCAGGTCTAACTAATGTGGACAATTTCCAAGAAGCCAACGCATAACACGGGAACCAATAGAGCTAAAGGGCTGTGGCTAAGTGCATAACCCTTTTACCGCTCTTTCTGAGCATTATTCTCGGATTTGAACTAGCGTCAGCGGTTTTGCCTGCAGGGATCAAAAACTGCCAAAACAGTTTTTGACAAGCAAACAGTTCTTTCTCTCAGGTATCCTAAACAACTTAGGTACCGACTTGAATCGTTAAACTCACAAATATGTCGTCCGTTTCGCAAGGCGACCGCCGAGCGTCTCTTCCGTGGCCGGTCAGACGGGCCTAGCGCCGGGTCTGCGCGTCGATAAGGGTCATTTCACGCTTTTGTGTGGCTTACTTTGATCCATCATGACACTGAGCTGTGTAATTGCACCTTGTTGCCGGCTGTGAGAGACTCATATTAATATTTGAAAATATTTTTGCTACATATCGTTCTATAGAGGATTCTTCATGGCTCCGAGTGGAAGATAAGGATATCTTCCAAGCGGGTTACTGAAAAACCGAGCGACGAAGGAGCGAGGTTTTTCTGTAACACGCGAGGAAAAGATATCCTATCTTCCACGAGTGAGCCATGAGGAATCCTATATCTTTCTATGTTGAGGTTTATTCTTGATTAATAAAATATTATATTTAAATGTATTCATCCATGTAAAAATAGATTCAGAGTAGCTTGTTCTTATTTCATAAGTTTCATCCATAAACAACCATTAAAAATGTCGTTCGGTTATTGGCCCATCATCACTTGAACTCTTGATTTTTCGCTATGAACCCTCGAGACCTTATCTTTACAACTCAGAGGGATGCAGAGATTACAATTTCTTATCTCTGCAATCTGCATCTCAGAGTAGTGCGAGATAGAAATATCCCTGCACTGTAGACCCAATGGCAAATAAACCTCAACTAGAAAGATTTTGGCATTCAGCTTTCACTGGAAAACGAAAAACATGCCTATGATTTTAACAATGTCCTGGACAGCTCGTTGAATTAAAAATTATGACGTTTTTACAAAAACGCAATTTCTTAAAAAGGCCATCGAAAGATTTCGGTAAAAAAAAAAAAACATTTTTGGAATCAGCTCACAGTCGCCTTTCGAATGGTATATTTCGTTTCTTTTGTGGATGAAATGACTTTCCGACGAACCGTGCAGGCTGCGAATATCAGTTTTGATTTTCGGGGATATGTGCCTACCCGGTTGACCTGACCTTGACCCTGACCTATGCTTGACTTACCCCTACATGGAGCTGACACTTGTAAACCTTACATGAAGGATTGTGCACCGTTTTGACAGAGTTTATGACGAGAGGCGCCAATTGCGAAGTTCTGAAGTCCATGCTACTGAAAGCCCGATTTCAGGTGTTTGACCTGACCTTGACCCGACCTGTGACCTCAAAATTCAACTTGGAAGTACTCATCTGAAGCGTCTCGTCGCGTTCTTTCTTTTGCCGCCTTGTGCGTTTCGCTGCGCCTATTGGTTCTCGAGTTATCGGTTATCGGCTGGGGGCGTTTAACGCCCCCCCCCCCCCCCAGCAAACGGCGGGTGGCGAAATACCCTAGCAACTGCCGGTCCAAGTTAGAAGAGTACCTACAAAAACATTTGAGAATGAGAAATGAAGAATATACTCAATGTCTAGGCCGCAGTTACAGCCATAAGAACAGTATCAGTGTTTCATGTGATAACTAATGTGTTTTCATTCCAGTCTGGTGCTGTGAAGAGGTTCATCCCGATGTTTGATCGCGTGCTGCTGCAGCGAGCAGAGGCCATCTCCAAGACTAAGGGTGGTATCATGATTCCTGAGAAAGCGCAACAGAAGGTCTCAGAAGCGACAGTGGTGGCTGTAGGGCCAGGCTTCAGGACAGAGGTAAGAAATCTTATGGAAACTGCATTAGGCTGTCATCATTTATCTGTTGTTTTTCACTCTCAGTATGTCCAAAATTGTAATGTTGCGGGGAAATCCACCCATAATCAAAAGTAAAATGACGTCCTAAAATATAAACCAGTAAAACGCCTTTTGGGCGAAGAACGAGAACCGAGATAGTGAGCCCTGCACGTGCGGAAGGGCGAGAGGGTGCTTCCAACGGGCTTGCGCAAAGCACCCTTCTAACTGGTCGCTAGCGGTGTGCCAAATTTGAACGCAATCGGCCCAGCCGTTCCTGAGATCAGGAAGCGGCTTTCTGCACGTGCGCACGTGCAAACGGGGTCCAAAATGACTTTTGCACGGCACCCTACTAACTGGTCCCCAACCGTGTACCAAATTTGAGCGCAATCGGCCCAGCCGTTCTCGAGATCTGGAAACGCCCCCTGCACGTGCGCACGTGCAGTAGCACCCTAACCGCAACACATGGGAATGCATTGCCTGGTGGGTGCCTACCTGTATACCAAGTTTCAGCGAAATCGCCCCAGTAATTACCGAGTTACTGAAATGGGAACAAATTTGGCACCTCTTATTGTTGTATTTTGCACGTGCACTGGGGATGACCCACATGCATCGAGAGTATCCTATTTTGGGTAGAAGGGATGCTGCTACCCTATAAAAATTACCGCAAGTCAATCGCCCAAGCGGCTGCTGAGATATGAGCCTCTCAAAATCACTACTTTTGCAAAACAGCTTGAACACCCTTGACTTTTCACGTGGCACGTGCCACGACGGTCACTGAGATGTATCATAAGTAGTCAATTACGGGGTAGAAGGGATGGGGCTACCCAACAAAAAAGACCGCAGGCCAATCGGTCTAGCGGTTGCTGAGATATAAGCCTCTCAAAAGCGTTACAGGCCGGGCCGGGCCGGGCCGGGCCGGGCCGCTCATACTGAGATTTTTCCGTTATATTGAAAAGACTCACTTCGCTCGCTGCGCTCGCTCGCTCGTAATAATAACATCCTTACGACTTAAAACAACAATGCTCTGAGCCAAAATGTTCAAATATATGACCAGGCTTTAACAGTTCGTCTTTATCATCCCGATTCCCAAACATCAGAAAGCTTTTAAAGTTTTATCGGTGTTTACTACGTCTTTTTCTAGTTATAACTGTAAAAACCACCTAAAATGCCACGATAGTCAAGTTTTGTGAAAATAATGACATCATCTACTGGCTCTTTTCTACATCCTCCCTCCTAACGCAAAATGAATTTAGCCACACTGTTCACTCTTTCACTTCCTGGTGACTGCAAGAATGTTTGATGACTGATGAGATTGTTTTGTTTTCAGGAGGGCAAGACGGTGCCGTTGGGTGTGACTGTCGGCGACAAAGTGCTGCTGCCCGAGTTTGGCGGTACCAAGGTGACCCTGGACGACACCGACTACGTGTTGATGCGCGACACAGACCTGCTGGGCAAGTTCACCGAGTGACCGACCCGCCCCGCCGATACTCACCCCCGTGTATGAGTGGGCGCCGGCCCGCCGCCGCCGCCCGCTAGCCGGGCCACTGTCGGGGCGCGCGCGCGGCGGGCTGGCCAGTCATCTGCGTGCGGTCGGCGGCTCGGGCGGCGCCCCGACCCGCCGACCGCACGTGTCACCGTCAACGGCGGAGTCTCATCATGTTATACTGTAGCCGGCCGCCGCTGAGCCGGAACGCTGTGCAGAGCCGTTGTTTATGACCAGTCATGGCGGATCGCCTGTATTGCCACAGTCTGTGCGATCCGCAATGTTTTTGTAATAAATATATACAATGTATGAGGGAGAACGGTATTTTCTGACAGGCAGCGTGCGGATGACTAGTCAGAGACCGGTTAACTACAGCCGATGGCGAGTCTTTTTTTTTTTCTTTTTTTCTACACCGCCACCCATGAACAGGTGACCAGGAGTGCCCCCTCCCTCTATCCCAGCGACACACAGAACCTTACGTTAACACCAGTGAACTTAAAATGATAAGTCGCGGCACTCCCAGCTAAGAGTAAGGAAAAAAACAAAAAAAAAGCAAAAAACGAGAGTAATATCAATGGAGAATGCATGCTGTTAATATAGTTGCTTAAGAGAAGCAAAGTAGTCACAACTGAAAACAGTTGGTGACTGCCCTTCTACGCCAGGAACACCCACTGATGCACACTTACACAGGGTATTGTTAGTGGGAGGAAGGGATTAGAGGGAGCACTCATACATACATGGTGGATGGTCGTAGGTAACATTTCTGGTCAAATTCAAGCAAGGTCATTCACTGAGCCTCTGTAAAGCTGTCCAACTAAGCAGAGCTTGTCGTCAGACAGCCCACAGAGGCCAGTTCCGAGGTGGCTGGAGTAGAAAATAATGCAATATAACGAAAATGAGAGGTAACATCAACGAGAGAGGAAAAAGACGGAAAGGAATACAGTTGGGAAGGAGAGACGGGCAAGAGAACTACTATCCTACAGTAAGTTGTAATGTTTGACGGCCAGGCGGGCCGCGAGCCCCCGCCCGCACCCCCGGAAAAACATCTTTCCCGAGGGTGCCCCCTAACCACCGCCCGGGCGAGGGGAGCGCCGACCCGACCCGACAGGCCGGCGCCCCGCCCGCCCGGACGGCCGACCGGTCCCTTTCAAGTGGGACCGGTACCCAGGTTGGCCCGGATGGGTCATAGGGGCGGGGGCCCAATGCTTGGCAACGCAGGGCTCCGCCACAGGCCGGCGGAGCCCGCTTTTACGTTAATTAGCTTACGCAGTTACCCTGTATGCGTGCATTCATTCCTTCGTAAGTCGTTCACAGCATCCTGTCCACATCCCAATAGACCTATAATTGCTATGGAGTTAGTATTCAGCTATCATAAGCTGCTTCGATGTTTCTTTTATTGTTCTTTTTGATACAGGTTCAGCTCTAATGGATGGGAAATGCGTTGCAATCATTGAGTTCCAAATTCGCGGACCAATCCAGGCTAACGTCTGGGTGCGGTATAATTTGCTTGTAAATGGCTCCATAAAATGTTTTGTGTTTCTGCTTTCTCTATTACCGGGTTGGGCTGGCTGGAAGAGGGAAATGATGGGTAATGGTGATCTCAGATGGATTATATTATACATGAGTGATATGGTTTGCTGTTGGGCAATGTCTTCTAGTTTGAGTAGCTTTAGTTTGGCAAAAATTGGACTACTGTGAGCCAGCCTGGGCTGGTCATCAATAATTCTGATAATCTTTGATGGATATGGTCGAAATGATGCGGTTTTCTGTTTCCTTGGACGGCTGTTGGCTGCGCCTTGCGGTGGTCGGTTAGGCGTAGAATTGTCAGGATATGGGCTGGGAGACGCGCACTTCATCGTTGGTAATTTACTACGTGATATCTGGCTTGGTTTACTAAGCAATGTTTGTGATTGGCTTTAATGTCAGCAGCATAACGAACGATATTTTAAATTTGACGAGCCTTTGCTTCGCTTCATGAAAAAGCATATCCATGTAACTTGTAAGTACCTACTTGTTTGTAACGTTTCTGGTCAACCGGTACAGACGGAGCGGTAGAATGTGTAACAAACTGGCATCCCGACGATCGCGACTATCCCTGCCCCGCGTTCGATGTCTCTCGGACGACAAAGATTCTACGTCGTCCGGCCAATCACGTTCCATAACCGCAGCCGAACCCCCGCTGGGCGCTGACCTTGAACGGGATTGGCCGGACGATGTAGAATCTTTGTCGTCCGTAAATGTGGCCGGCTAGGCGTTACGTGGTGTGCCTCATGGCCGCCATGAGGGCACACCACGGGCACATGAGGGCACACCACGAGCACACCATGAGGGCCGGCTCCAGCCTCCAAATATGCTTGTTGAAAACCTCGACACCGAAGTTGGCAGTCACGACATAGGAGGCCTTCTTCAAATATTTTAAGACTAAGTCTTTGCCGTTTTTGTAATTCATCTTTCAGGAATACTTACCTACGGCGCACCATGATGCTCTCTTTATGCTATTAGGCTGTGGGGTGTGCCGCAGGACTGGTGGATGGCGCCACGGCCGTACTTGATGGGTTGGTTGTTGCTGGTCCCTGCCCCCTGTTAATGGTCGCATTGTTCAGGCTTCGGAGAGAGACCTTTGAAATGAATACCAAAGCAGCGGGAAGTTACACCTACTGTCTACTGACTGATCGGTAGAGACCGTACTTGACATTACATTGGCCATTCTCTCTTGAAATGCTCTCCTGAAAATACCCGTAAAATCTTCCTATTTCGCTTGTTAGCCAATCAGAGTGCTACGGAAGGGGCCGATCCCCGTTGTGCCCCCCCCCCCCTCCCCTTTGATACTCCAGTGGAAAACCCATGGTCTATACATTCGATCTTGGCTTGATTAGCAAAGTTTCGCAACTGTCCGGAGCCTGAATCAAACTTAATAGGCCGATGCTGAATACTGCTGCAGTTTAGGCCCGGCATTCGAGCCACGTAAAGAGCGTAGTGATGATTTTGATATTTTGGACTCCAAGACACTTCGTTAGCACGTTTTAGGCAATAATTTTCGCATTTAGCTGAGCTTTCCGTTAAGTTTCTTAATGAAGAAAATTAAACGAATTTTTCGCTACTACTTGTTTGCTTTTTTAGTGTTATTCATTCTTGTTTTAGGCAACTCAAAGAAGATAACTTTCGACTCATGTTGAGAGGAACAGTGAACCTCTATAAACCTGACAAGCTGGCTTGAGTGCGCCGGATATGTAGAAAATTTGTTTTGTTGCATCATGCATGTTGCTGAATGAAATTGTTTATGCCGGTGGTTGTACAAGACACTTTTCAACATTTTAGGGAGTTCAGCACTGGATGAGCCACATATTGTGCTGTTGTAATTGTTTGAGAAGGGGGAAGACTTAAAAGAGATTGGCATCACTGGCATTGGACACGTCTAGCACCTGCTTTTCGCCTTAAAAATGGTAAGGGAAATCAAAATAAGCATGCTGATGAAATCAATGCATGAATCTGACGAATGAGATCAAGATTAAATCAATAAATGCGAATGGGTAGGCGTGTATCAGATACTCTGCTACTGATTGCTACATCTTTTCAAGTACGCATCAGTTAGATGTTAAAGAAGTCAGCAGTATTAAGTTCAAATAATAATAAAAATAGGCGCCGATGACCACTGTAGTCCGGGCGCCCAAAAACCCCAATTCATCATCATCATCAAATAAAAAATGAGTTGTAAAATCTCATTTTAAAACATCAATATTGCAATATTCACAGTTTCTCATTCATTCCCAGCTATTGTGTTGGCTCATATCAGTTGGGGAAACTACGAGGCGAATGTCAAAAAATGGATTGGTCAATAAATGGACTTTTGATGACCATATATGGGTATAAATGCAGCCCCCGCTACTAAGGGTGAAAAACGGTATAACAAGCCGGTACTTGCGGTATCGCGTCCACTTATTGGAGAGAAAAGGCTTCCATTTATCACTAGGAATTAGTGTGATTTGATTAAATTCGGCGAATTGACTCGAAAATGGCGATAGGAAAATGGCTTTTCTGCAGGTTCTGGGCATCACAATCAGCTGTCCATTCAATAAATGGATTGGTTTTATTAAAGAAAATTGTTAAAAGATTTAATTTAATTACAATTAACAAAAATATTTAATTCTAAAATAACAACTTAACTACAAATAGAAAAACCATAAACAAAATAATAAAAATAATGACATTTTTAAACCACGGTACTGCTTACATTTCTTGGCGCGTCTGTTTCAATCCGCCATATTTGCCAATCACAGTTTGACCTTGCGTTGGAACTCTGCGATTTAGAGCCGCCAGTTAATTATGCACCGGGTGAGTGTAGGTCTTGTGTGGTTAAAAAACATTCTTATGCCTTATTTTTTCATTTGAATGCTAAAATTCATTGGAAAGATGAAGTTGTCTGATTTTATGACCATATATGGTCATCGCCCCGCCCACTCCAGCCGCTGATTGGCTAATCCAATTTTGTTTGGCTCCTCGTAGTTTCCCCAACTGATATGGTGTTGATGTTCTACTCTTTATGTATACCTTCTGAGATCTTTGGATGTTTTCTTATAATAGGTATATTCTGCATTAGTCTGATGAGTAGTGATAGCGACATACCCATAGCAATAGTGATGTCATTTGGCAGATTTGGCAGCTGCTGAAGTGATATATTTTGGGCAGCTCTGACCACGTGTTGTTGCTGGCATCTGGGGGGGGGGGGACTATGCAAGTTCATTGGATGTTTTCAGGAGCTGCTGCCTGATGTGGAGCTGCACTCTCATGAAGAGAATATGCTTTGAAAGCAGATACTTTGAAGGGCCCTGGCAAACCATTAACACCTAAATGACACTACACAATAGATTTATATGATAAAAGTTTGGAAACAGGTTTTTATATTAATATGATATCATTTGGTATCAAGGTATATTTTTAAGTATTTTTATGGCAACAAATGCATAATGCTTTGGGTTTTCAGTTTTGCAGATTAGGGAAGCATTTTTGTTTTTGTTTTATAAGTAGGTGATTACCTATAGTGTGCTGTCCTGTAAAACTGTTAACCCTATTTGGCTAGGCATTTATCCTAAACATGGGGGGTAGTGTTTTCACAAGCCTAGATTCCAGAATTGGTATAACAATGATAATGAAAAGTTCATACACTCATATGGTGTGTGTGGTTTCTAAATTAGCTACTCAGATGACATTTATATTAAATACTATAGGTGCATCATATTGTACCTTTACTTTTCAACACATTGACCAAACATCATGATGCATACATATAGGCATTGACACTGATCATGTGAACTCTATATGCTGTCTAAAATGTCCCATTTGTTCATGTAGTCTGCACAGTAAATACCCTAGTTTGCACATGCTGGTTGACTAAATCACCATCATTGCATGTTGAACCCACCAGTATTATATTCATTTCAATGAACTAACTCCATTTATTTGTCATTTATCTGGTACTTATGGAAAATGATAGTTTATAATGATGGAGTCTTTGTTCACACAATCTTTCACAAGTTCTGTGTTCTGATATGTTGGCCTGAAATGTTTGGTAAATTATATGTGTTTGCCTTTGGCTATCAATTCTTATGTGATCAGTTTTATAGAGCATTGTTTTTCTCACATAGGTACCTATCTGCCTTTCACATCTTTCTTTGTATGTTCTAAGACCTCGATATATAAGCACTGTATGCAGTATGCATTTTCAGGGGTGTATGGCTTGTCATAACAATACTTAGTGAATAAGTAGTGTTCTAACACAGCCGGCCTGCTCGTCGCCGCGCTGTGAGATCTACCCGTCTCCGCGCGTGCTTGGCTATAGCCTGGTACTTCTGTGTCGTTCCTGAGTTGCTTCACTGTGGGCGCCTGTACTGCTCCGATCGGTTCGCACTCCGGTCTACCTGCGGCCCGGTCCGCACATGCCGTCCGTGATGAGGAACTCGTCCGGCGGTCGGGCCACCGCCTCCAGCGGCTCGGTGATGTCCTCCAGAAAGTCGGCCAGCAGCGCGCGCATGATGCCGTACAGGCCGCGGCTGAGGCGGCTCTGCACGGCCGGGGAGAGCGCCGGCGCGTCGGCGGTGCCGCCGGCCGCCGGCGCCGGTCCGCTGCCGCCCTCCTGTACCGACTCGCCGCCCGACACACTGTGGCTGGAGTCTGTGGCGGCCACGCCCGGTGAGTGGCTGCGTCCGCCCGCCGCCGTCGTCGACGTCTTCTTGCTGGATCCGCGCTTTTTGCCGCTGCGCCGGTCGGTGTTGGAGCGCGAGGTGCGCTTGGAGCCGGCGCTGGACTGCTGCGGCGAGCCGGCGGCGGGCGGCTCGGCCGGCTCGGCGGCGGCGGTGACGGCGCCGGCGCCGCGGTTCACGCCCAGCCGCAGCTCCAGGTCGCAGGCGGCGTCGCAGAACCGCTGGATGACGGCCACCAGGCCGGTGCGGACCAGGGTGGCGGCGGAGGTGGGCGCCGGCCACTGCTGCGGCCGCCACAGCCGCTCCACCAGAGCGTATAGCCGCGACAGCAGCATCTGCTGCGCCGGCCCGCCCTCCAGCGACAGGATCGACCGCTTCAGGCTGTCGCAGCTGAGGTCCCACGGCGGCGGCGGGGGTGGGGCCGCACTGCGAGCGCGGGCGCGCGCACGGGCCCGACCGCGGCCCACCGGCTTTCGTATCTCGGGCGGGTCGCGCGCGATGGCGACATCATGATGCAGCTGGTCGAGCTGATGGACCACGTCCACGTCAAACTGGAGTCCGACGTTGGCGGAGCGGAACCGGGTCTCGAGCGTGTTGGCCGGCTGCGGCGCCGGCGGCACCTCCTCGCTCAGCGTGGCGCGCCGCACCAGCACGGCCAGTACGTACTCGGCGGCGGCGCGCGCCACGCCTTGCTCCAGCTGACGCTGCAGCAGTCGCCGGTCCGGTCCGTACGGGTCCTGAAGGCCAGCCAGGCCGTACAGCAGCAGCCGCAGCGGCGCGCCGCCCTCCAGCCGCGGTCGCGTCACCAGGTCCCAGGCGGCCGAATAGAGGCCCGACGTGGGCGCGCAAAATACCACCGGCAGGTGGGTGACGGCGCCTGGAAGCAGCACGCCCGCGCCCGGGTCGAAAAAGAACACGGGCGGCGCCGACCGGCCGGTGAACGAGGCCCGGTGGCTGTCCACCGAGCGCCAGCTGTAGTGGATGGCAGTGCTGCCGGCGGCTGCCAGCGGCACGTAGCGCCGGCACAGGCGGCCCGGCGCCGCCGACAGGCTGACCGCCGCGCGCACAGCCGGCGCGGTGCGCGCGGAGGCCGTCCGCCGGAACACGGCCTCGTGACCGGCCAGCAGCAGGCGCGGTCCGTCGGCAGCTGTGGCCGACTGGCAGCTCTCTGTCTCCGACTGGGCCTCCGGGGAGGTGGCGCGCGAGTCGTCCGCCGGCGCCGGGCCGTCCCCCTCTCGCGGTACGGTGCGTCCCAGCACCACCAGGTCGGCTGGCTCCGGCGGCTCGGCCGGCCGGCACTGGCGGTGGTAGCGGCCGGCGCGTGCCGACGTCTCGGCGCCGGTCAGCGGCTCTGTGCCGCGCTCAGCGCGGATCACAGACGCCACGTGCAGCTGCTCGTCGGCGCGCGGCCGCTGACGGCACCGGTCCTCGGTCAGCGTCTCCAGCAGGCCGTGCAGCTCGCCGCCAAACCGGCTGGGCAGCCGCCAGAAGGCGGTGCCGGGCGGCCGCGCCGCCGCCGGCCCGTGCGGCAGGGAGCGGCGCAGCTGGCGCGCGCACCGCTGCTGAAAGTCGCCGCCGCTGTGCATGACCAGCTGCTGCGGCGGCCGCTGCGTGCGGCCGGCGAGCGCGCGCTCCTGGCGGCGCCGGTCGAGCAGGGTGCGCTGCCAGGCGGCCAGCGCGCGATCGCCCTCCACCGGCGGGTCGTCCGGCTCGCTGTGCCAGTATTCGGAGGGCGATACGGGCCGCAGCAGAGTCTCGGCTGGCGGCGCGGCGGCCGGCGGCGTCAGGCCGGGGAACTGGCCCAGCTGGCGCCGCTCGGCCTCGGCGTACAGCTGGGCGGGCGTGCCCAGGATCTGGTGCGGCTGCACGGCGCTCAGCTCGCGCACAGGCAGGAACAGCATCGACTCGGACTCGGTCATGGAGGCGAGCGGCTCGGGCTCGGGCCGGCGCACCCAGTACGGCAGCGAGTCGCATGAGTCCGACTCGGTCAGGTTTGTCAGCAGGAAGTCGGTGGCGGCCGCGGCAGCAGTGTCGGCCATGGTGGATCTTTGAGGTCTTGCTTTACTCGAGCGTCACCCGATCCGTGTGGCGTGCCTTTGGATTCTTGAAGCGCATACACGCAAAACCTTTCAACGGTGTTCCATGTCAGTAGCAATATGGAACAAAGCTTTCACTGGCAAATGTTAAATTTGCTTCATGTTGTGGATGCAGTTACGAGCGGCGCATTATGAGAAATCATAGGTTATATGTACTCACTCCGGCAATGATTACACTTCAATTGAAGTCTGACTTATCGGAACCAGAAATAAGGTACCGGCATCTGTGTGAAAACGACTTTGTTTTTATTGGCTTTCACGGACGGTAAACTCACCACTGTCGCGCTGAACTCAGCTGATCGGTGGTTTGCATCGTGGCATGAGTTTGTGCCGGCGTTGAAACAGAAACGTGCGGCCTATCGGTGGGATCTCCCGCTTGTCGTTTTTTTTTTTCACTGGATGCACATTACTCACGAATTCAATTAACGCCGTATATGGTGCACGTCTTTTTTCATGTCTCCCCTTGTCTCACGTAACATTGCGCGCCTGTTCCCTCACTTAAATCCCGTTTCTCCTGCCATTTTCAGCCGCTGCGGCTTGATATTAAGCGGAAGCTGACAGCGCGCTCGGACCGCGTCAAATGCGTGGACATTCACCCCTCAGAGCCATGGATGCTGGCTTCGCTCTACAACGGCAACGTCCATGTCTGGAACCACGAGACGTCGCAGCTGATCAAGTCGTTCGAGGTAAGAGCGGTGTCGCCGGCCGCCTGATTTGCAGTTTCGATGTTTTCGTGTTCCAGTGATATCATGTCAGCGGTCAATATGTGGTGTCACGACTCGCGTGCTACTGGTAATGCTGTCGATTAATATGAGTCATGGCTTGCACGGTTGCAAGCTTGCAAAAACAGGATTTGGTGTAGGTGTATTTATTTTTGCGCCAGGCGCGATCCGCCTGATATCTAGACTAATGGGATACCCAAGTCGCGCTGTAGCACCTCTGAACGGAAACTGAATCCCGTCTGACCGTCTGACCCGCCCACTCCCCCCCCCCCCGCCTTTCCCCAGGTCTGCGACCTACCGGTACGCGTGTGCAAGTTCGTGCCGCGGAAAAACTGGATCATCACGGGCTCGGACGACATGCAGGTGCGGGTGTTCAACTACAACACCCTGGAGCGGACGCACATGTTTGACGCGCACTCGGACTACATCCGCTGCATCGCCGTCCACCCGACGCAGCCCTTCATACTGACCAGCAGCGGTACGGAGTGGAGAGGGGGGAGGAGGGATGGGTGGTGGGAGAGTGGAGCGAGGGGAAGGGCAGGAGCGCGGCAGTGCCATTCAAAAGTGACATGTACTTAAATTGAACTAAAACACGTCATGATGAGATCGATGAAATTCGATCCATACGCCAAATCCATGCGTTTGTGTTAGATTATCGAAGTTTCGTTAGTTATGTTGTCTTCATGACTAAACTGTGTTGGCGGGATGACCTGCATCGGGATATAGTTTATGGTAATTGCCTGTCGGTGGTTGGTTTTATAATGCAAGGGCAAAAGGGCTGGTGTTGATAAGGGCATATTAAAACTGAAATCTTATTCACAGTAATAGGCTCAGTTTTGCGCTCTTTGAAGAATTGAGAGTCTACTGTATATTTTTTTTTTCTGTTCGCCTCGTAATGCTCTGACCGTGGGGTTCTCTGTTTCCTCAGACGACATGATGATCAAGCTGTGGAACTGGGACAAGCTGTGGGCGTGCCAGCAGGTGTTTGAGGGCCACACCCACTACGTGATGCAGATCGTCATCAACCCCAAGGACAACAACACGTTCGCCAGTGCCTCGCTCGACAGGACCATCAAGGTGCGGTCTGGGTGGGAGGACGCTGTGTTATGGTGGTGGTGGTGGGGGGGGGGATGAGAGTGCCGGGTGTTGGGGAGTGGGAAACTGCAGAAGGAGAAGCTGACAGCGTTGGGTTAGGGTATTCGAAGGTCATCTGGTTGAGTGAGAGCTATTTGTGACAGTGTGTTCTAAATTTGACGCTCTTACCTAACTTATTGCTTACGTACTGGAACAGAGCACACAATGGATATATCAATGACTGCCTCTCTTTCCCGTGTATCAGATGAATTTGTTATCACTCACCAAACATCCAACGCATATTCGCTCAATTAATCATGTAATCCGACTCGCAACACTGAACACACTGACCGCTCTCTTCCCTTTCCGACCAGGTGTGGCAGCTGGGCTCGGCCACGCCCAACTTCACCCTGGAGGGCCACGACAAGGGCGTCAACTGCGTCGACTACTATCACGGCGGCGACAAGCCCTACCTCATCTCGGGTGCCGACGATCGGCTGGCCAAGATCTGGGACTACCAGAACAAGACGTGCGTGCAGACGCTCGAGGGACACGCCCAGAACGTGTCGGCAGGTCAGTACGGGGGAGGGAGAGGAGGAGTGGGTACACACGGGGAGGGCACAGTAGGGAGGGTGCTGCTGCTGAGGTCTGTGGTGCTGTTTAGTGGATATGTGTGATGTTTCTTTTCGGCTTCATGAATTCAGGAATTCTGTATTTTTCGTTGAATACTCTTCATCAGATTGTACTCGCGAAGATTTTGAACCACAATCAGGATTCAGGACAGTGATCCAGCCGATTTTGTACGAAAATGCGATACCTTCGCAAGTGAAGTGAAGTCCTTGAATGTGTTTCTGTAAGCATTTCAACCCCACGAATCTCTCCTGCACCGCTCGTACGCTGACCTCGCTCCCACCTGCCCGCTGAACAGTGTGCTTCCACCCGGAGCTCCCTATAATCATGACTGGCTCGGAGGATGGCACCGTCCGCATCTGGCACGCCAACACCTACCGGCTCGAGTCGACACTCAACTACGGCCTGGAGCGCGTGTGGACCATCAACGCTACGCGAGCCACCAACAACGTGGCCATCGGATACGACGAGGGCAGCATCATGATCAAGGTGATGAACGGATCAGGGTTCGGGGCTGGGGATGGCGACATGATGTGTGGGAACCAGCCTGAGGCTAGGTGTTTTTCGTCGGTTTTCTGGTCTAAGTAATGTGTTCCACAATGTTCGCTTGTGTCACGCCGTTCTAAGGATCTGTTCTAAGGGGAACGTCAAACGTTACCTGTGTTAGTACGGACGTGCTGTAGCTGCAGTTACGCAGCTCCAGTCCGTGGCTCGCGCGCCAGTGTTTTACGCTCCGTACTGACCCCTCCCCTCCCCGCTGCCCTGCCGCCTACAGGTCGGCCGTGAGGAGCCAGCCATGTCGATGGACTCGAGCGGCAAGATCATCTGGGCCAAACACTCGGAGATCCAGCAGGCCAACCTGAAGGCGATCGGTGACAGCGAGCTGCCGGACGGCGAGCGGCTGCCGCTGGCCGTCAAAGACATGGGCAGCTGCGAGATCTACCCGCAGACCATCGCGCACAACCCCAACGGAAGGTGAGCTTTGAGCGAGGACGGAAGGTGAGCTGGTATGGTGATATCTGCGCACAATTCATCCGGATGTATGTAGAGGGCTGCAGTCGTCATTATTTTTTGTTTTTCGGCTTGTTGTTTTCGGACCACTCAGATTCAGCTGTTCGCCAAAAAGATGACCTACACTGATTTCGGAGTTCCGTGGGACGGTTTATTGGGCGTCAGACCGAAATAAGAGTCGTGTGTCGTGTATATCGACTTCCGTTCCTGTTTGCGAAAAATATAGAAATTGTGGTTTGTCCTTTTATTTGGCTCTCCATGTCTTGCAGTTTCCATGTTTCTGGTCGCTCTTGGTGTTGTTCCCTCGTCCTCTGCAATGTTCTAATCCCCCCCCCCCCCCCCCCGTGCGCTTACTCTCAGGTTCGTGGTGGTCTGCGGCGACGGCGAGTACATCATCTACACGGCCATGGCACTGCGCAACAAGGCGTTCGGCTCGGCGCAGGAGTTTGTCTGGGCGCTCGACTCGTCCGAGTACGCCGTCCGAGAAAACTCCACCACCATCAAACTGTTCAAAAACTTCAAGGAGAAGAAGGCCTTCAAACCGGACTTTGGCTGTGATGGTGAGCCGGCAAACATTGTGGTGTTGAGCTAATTTTCTTTTTTAGCTGATTGGTTACGTTTTGCATGATATAATTGACAAACGGAGCCTTTTGAATGGAACTTCTTTGCTGATAACGAGGTAAGGCTGGGGAGGGCAACACATGTCTTATCCATTTTGTCTTTTGCAAATTTTAACATCCTTTTCATTCAACTTGAATACTATACGTACTTGTTTGGCGCCATTTTTGCAATTCATGCGATTCACCTCTAATTTTCATTTTATGTATGCGATTTCCATGCTCCAATCACATGATTCCCTTATAGCTGGTATTCTGCCAGTGTCATATTTGTCTGCTCTCTCACACCTGCCGGTTTTTTTTTTTCAGGTATTTTCGGCGGCCAGCTGCTGGGAGTGCGTTCCGTCTCCGGCCTGGCCTTCTACGACTGGGAGAGTCTGGAGCTGGTCCGGCGTATCGAGATCACTCCCAAGCACGTCTACTGGTCCGAGGGCGGCACCCTGGTCAGTCCGGGCGGCGGGGCGAATCTGGCCGGGGATGGTCACTGGGCGGGGTGAGACGGTTGAAATGCTCCTTTCTCATGAAGTCTCTTCAAATACTCGTAAAAAATACGTGCATGATTGAGAAGACGATGCTTCCAGCAGCGATTTCATGTAGTGCGACATATTTTCTCATTTGTTTGATGGCTGTAATAGAATTTATAAGTGAATCGTACAGTAATTTATGCACCTTCATTGGCTCCAATGTCATTCAAATCTACTTTGGATATTCTACTCGACTGTATGATACCATAGCACCTGCCTTGCTACAGGGGTGTGCCCGTAATATATCGTCCGTCTGCCCCTCACGCTCCTCTATCGCCCGCTACAGGTGTGTATTGCCACCGAGGAGAGCTACTTCATCCTCAAGTACTCACCCGAGGAGGTGGCCAAGGCGCAGGAGACCAAGGAAGGTGTCACCGAGGACGGCATTGAAGACGCCTTCGACGTGAGTGACATGTCCACGACTCGAAGGGAGAGATGGATCAGCGTTGGGGCGGATTTTCAATATGGCGTTGTATACTGGAGACACAGTAGATGATCAGCAAGCATCAGTGATGGACATGTAAGGGACACAGATTGACATCGGTACTTAATCAACGTGACTTTTAGGACGACACTCGACACGAGTCGAAGGGTAGAACAGCTTTGTGTGTTATGTCTGCCCTCGATCCATTGGCGAGTTGTGTTATGTGTACTTAGCGACGTGACGGAACAGCCGTTCAATGCTACTACTAGCCTATGAAGTTTAAGTGGTTTTGAGTCTATTAGCTGCGACGTTTCAGAGTAGCCTGCTGTTCCATCTGAGCGATGCTAACCTGTAACTTGCGCTGTCACCTGGCCTGCCGCTGTCACAGGTGCTGGGTGAGGTCCAGGAGACGGTGAAGACGGGGATCTGGGTTGGCGACTGCTTCATCTACACCAACGGCGTCAACCGGCTCAACTACTACGTCGGCGGAGAGATCGTCACCGTCGCACACTTGGACAGGTATGACATGCTGTTAGGCGCGGGACACTAAGTTCACATGGCTGAGAGCTGTCTGGGTAATCAGTCTGAACTATAAGTAGTGATAAAAGCTCCTGAAATGGCCACGGCTCCACCCTCCGTATTTTTAACTTTGTATTTGAATAATAAGGTTGTAACGGTTCGAACGTTTCCTATTCTTCTTCGTTGCCTCTTTCGAAACATGTCAGCAATTCGGTCGGCTTGTTTGCTTGTCTCCCCACGTGACTAATGTCCGCGCTCGGGCAGGACGATGTACCTGCTCGGCTACCTGCCCAAGGACAACGCGCTCTACCTGGGCGACAAAGAGCTGAACGTGGTGGCCTTCTCGCTACTGCTCTCGGTGCTCGAGTACCAGACAGCCGTGATGCGCCAGGACTTCGCCACGGCCGACCGCGTGCTACCCACCATCCCCAAGGAGCAGCGCGCGCGCGTGGCGCACTTCCTCGAGAAGCAGGGCTTCAAGCAGCAGGCGCTGGCTGTCTCCACGGATCCGGAGCATCGGTTTGAGCTGGCGCTCCAGCTGGGAGAGCTGAAGGTGGCCTACGAGCTGGCGCTCGAGCAGCAGAGCGAGGCCAAGTGGAAGCAGCTGGCCGATCTGGCCACCAGCAAGGGCCAGCTTGGTCTGGCGCAGGAGTGTCTGCACAAGGCCAATGACTACGGCGGCCTGCTGCTGCTGGCCACCGCCGCAGGTCAGAAAACGGGGCAGGTTCGGGTTGGGGTCAGACTGACGGGGAGTGTCTGGATGGGGTCAGAGATGGAGGTATGTCGTACTGAGGACGGTCACGCGAGAAGTACGGGAGACTGCAGCGGTAACCGGAATTATTTCTATACCCACCGATTTAACAATCAGAGCCCGATCTTTGAACACAGAACTTGAAGCAAGGAACAAAGCAATCTCCTGCAGTTTTATTTTAAGTGCTTTTCATTCAGTGTTTGTCATTCCCCTATTATTTCGACTTAATTGGTCCTGCTTACGATTTGAGCGCGTAGAATAACTCATCTAACGATACCGGTCTGCGCAGGTAACGCGCCGATGGTGGCTAAGCTGGGCGAGTCGGCGGCCACCGGCGGCAAAAACAACGTGGCCTTCCTGTCCTACTTCATCACCGGCCACCTGGAGCAGTGCCTGGACGTGCTGATCCAGAGCAAGCGGCTGCCAGAGGCCGCCTTCTTCGCCAGGTACGAGCTCCTGGAGGGCTGAGGGCGGATGGTGGGTTATAGTCAGAAGGTATCGGGGTTGGAGGAGAACTAAATTTATTGCTCTTTGTAGAGTCTGCTGTTGCAACTGATTGGTAGGCTGATTTTTGAACTGTTAGTAGTTTTATTCGTGGGAGGTTTTCTGAAATGTTTATGGAAACCACGTTAGCTTGAGTAAAGTTTAGTGAACGTGTCGTTGATGCACCTACGAAGTTGAATTTTCACACTATGAATTTTCACTTTTGAATTTTCACATACGTTTACCCCCGCGTTGGCTCGCCATCCGTGCTTTGCCTCTGTCGACAGCAGGGGCCCTTCTGCTGCTCCCTCGATAAACCCTGTGTCTGATGTGTTCGTTTGTGCCGGTGCGCCGCAGGACCTACCTGCCCTCTGAGGTATCGCGCGTGGTCGCCCTCTGGAAGGAGTCGCTCAGCCAGACCAGCGAGAAGGCGGCCCGGTCTCTGGCCGACCCGGCTGAGTATGACAACCTGTTCCCGGAGCGGCCGGCCACGCTGCGGGCGGAGCAGTTCGCGGCGCAGCAGCGCGCCCGGCCCGTGCCGGCGCAGGCGGCTGCGTCACTGCCGGTCAGTAGCCGCTCTGACGCCGCTCTGAGGGAACTCCGCTGAGAGATATGGGAGTCGGGTGCCCCGATAATAGTTTCAAGCTGTTTTCGTCCCGAAACAGCTTGTATTATTCTCTTCTGATGTTGATGTAAGGCAATGGCTTACTGTAGTAAAGGCTCAGTATCGAGTCTCATTTTTCGTTTCGGTTAGTAGGTGACGCCCCTGACATCATCAACCTCATCTCTGACATTGCGTCTCCACTCAGCGACTAGGGTGAAGTCGTATAAGAGTACGCACTTAGTGGATTTCTTGCTCTCATTTGTTTAATATTTGAAGGAAAGAAATCGCAAATAGGGAATATTAAAGTTCATTGAATTAGCCATCAACCCATGGGGCAACGATCCTTCAGCGTAAATGGAAGCGGTCTAAAACTGACATTTTCTGAACCGCTGCAGTTGCGTACTCTTACCATATGGGGTGTGTAGGAGTACGCACGCCAGGCGGGTGGAGTATGCAAGCATATGAACACACGCCTATGCAGCTTGTACTGTCCAAATGCTTAACTTCAAACTCAGAAGGCATCTAAGTTAATTCTAGTATCCAAAAAGAAAAACATAAAATAAATCTTTCAAGTCTATAAATCAGGAAATAATCATGTCGTGTGTTTCTTTATAAAAATGCACAATCAAAAGACAGAATAACTCGTATTTGGAAGAATTTCGGGTACCCATCTGCATCACAGTGCTCCATTGATGATATACCTACAAAACAAACGTCATTGAGCGATAGATTAATAATCTTATATTTCTGTATATTCGATTTAATGTATAATTCTGCGTACTCTTACCCTCCTGAACAGTGCGTCCTCTTACCGTACATGCAATTCGCGCACAAAACAACCCCGAAACGTTGTGCAAAACTTCGCAAACAGAATATTGCACTGCACATTATTTCCCCAGATAACCTCGCAAGTTTCCCACAACAATCACGGAAATGTACCTTGTCTCAACTGCCAAGTATCAAAATTATTGTACCATACCATAATAATATCATAACGCTCGAAAATAATATTCATCGCCTTAAACTCAACAGCGTCGCCGCTCAACGCACACATTCCGTTGGTGACAAGCACGCACTGGCGGCTTCATGTCACTTCATGAACTCGACAAACCCGCGTTGCTAAGCAACCGAAACAGCTGATGCGTACTCTTATCGCCCGCGTACTCTTACCCGCCCTTACCCTACTGGTTTGTGAATTAGACTGCCCCCGCCCGACACGCTAGTCTCAGGGCGCATCCTACTAACCATCACCGGAGCTTGCCGTTCCCGCAAAGGTTGTCGCTGGCTCTGTGCGCTCTGTAGCTCTCTGATAACTCTGTACCCCCGTTGCAGCCCAACTGGGAACGGGACCTGCTGGCGGAGACGGCGGCGGCCACAGAGGCTGGCAAGTTCACCTACCGGCCACCAGAGGCGCCACAGGAGAACGGCGACATCTCAGACCCCGACTCCGGTGAGCAGCCCGATGCGTAATTAGAGACTCCTGGCGTTGTATGTACATTATGTGTCCGCAGCATAATGCTGATGAAAGATGGACATATTATTTATTGGTATTGTTATCTGGTATTGTTACTGTTATATTGTTAGTTCGTGAACGAAGCTTGATAAATTAAACATTTAACAGCCCTCAATCACCAATTATTGAACATATTAGTTATGATTATTTTTATGTAATTTTTAGGTATTTTATTTGAAGAATAATTTGACTCCTATTCGTGGCATTGAAACTCTTGCAGCTACTTTTTCGCCACGACTCCCTTTCTAACGTGTTTGTTTTCTTGCCTGTCCACCAGCTGCGGCGGCGGCGGCTCCGGCAGCCTCCTCGTCAGCGCGGCCCCTGGTGACGGACACCAGTGAACCCCCGGCAGCCCGAGTACCCGCCGAGCCGCCCGCCCCCGCTCCCGCTACCGCCCCCGCTGCAGCCGCCCCCGCCCCCGCCCCAGCACCGGCCGCCTCTGCCCCGGCTCCGCCTGGGGCGGCCGGCAAGGCGGCTCCCTCTAAAATGGAGCGGGATCTGGACTTGGACCTGGATCTAGACGACATGAACCTAGGAGATGACGACGATATCGACGTAGGGGTGAGTACCCGTTACAGGCCGGCTGACGCGGCCCGGTGCTGGGGTAAATTTGTGTGAATGCATTCGGTCTGTGTCTAATCGATGAGGGATGATGAATCCAGATTCCAGGTTCTGTGCTTTGTGAAGCATGAATGTCCAGTCTGATCGTTCTGTTGTGTCGGCTGCGACGGGAGTGTTCTACATTATTTGAGTGTTCGGTTTCCCCGGGGATGAGTTTCATGTCGCCAGATCTCAGAAAGTCTGATTGACTCACAGGTCTGACGGGTCTGTCAGAAGGGCTTGTTTCCAAAACAACCGTTGTCTGTCAGTATTCCCTACTACGGGAAATGGCTAAGCCATCAGCGCCTGCTCCCACCCTGGTACGAATTCTCACGTCTCCGTCGGCAATATTCCCGTGCCGTTGCCTCCGACAATTACCACATGTTGGGCGGTCCATCACCTTCTGACGTTCCGTGATCCCGTCTGCGCGGCGGCCGCCGGCGGGCCGCTGCCGCCGTGCCTACCCCCGTGCCGGCCGGCTCCGGCGCCGACCGCGTTTGTCCGTGTGTGAGATACGGCGGCCATTAGCGTGTTTTCGGCGGCGCGGCGGCCGATTTATGCGGCCAGGTGGGGCGGCGCCTGTTTTGTTTGGATGTGCCGGTAAATAGCCGCATCAATTAGACCTGTTTGAAAATAAGCCAGCTGTAATGGCGGCGACGGTACTGCGGTGGCGGACGGGAGGCGCGCCCTGCCGAGGTGTGAGGATCCGCCGGTTCCGGGGTGGATACCGGTACCTGCTCCTTACGGCACGGTCCCCGAGGTGGCGACCGACCCGCCGCCGGCGAGTTGTGACACCCCAGAGAGCAATGAGGCCATTACAGTTAGCGCTGGCATACCGCGCTTAGTTTTACGGCTGTGGTGACAACATCAGGGTGTCACCAGTTCCTCTTAGCTCTGGGCGAATGATCTCATTGAATTCTGAAGATTTTAAAGGACGCAAGTAACCGCGCCCGCTATTGCCGAGTAGCTTGTTATTGCTGTATTTTGTAATAGTCCTAATCTGGGAAGGAGTTTGTTTTAATCTGGTTTATAGGTGCAGTTCGTCCAATCGTTTTCACCCGGGGGAGAGTGATGCCGTATCCCTTGATTAGGACGTCTCCCCGGGGTTCAGTCGGAGATGCGACCGTGCCGGTGACCGCCAGGAGGAAGGCCTCTCTCGCCACTGCTGTTTGTTGTGTCAGCGGCGCCGTCATTCATCATGTCTCGCGCCGGGGGACGGCACCATTTGCTCGCCGTAAATCGCGCGCCAATTAACGGCTGCCACCCCTCGCCTGCCCCTTCCGTCAGGCCGCCCGCCCCGCCCCGCCCCCGGCCCTCCCCTTCCGTCAGTCTGTGACCGCCGGTCCCGTTTCTCCCAGCGCTGCCGTCCCTATCTCCCTCGCTCCCCATGGGGACCGACGCGCTGACTGACGGCAGCACTGGCGGACGTCTGTTCTGTCACGGTCTAATCGGAGAGATTGGCCGCCGCTGATCGCTAGAGCTCAGTGTTTATTTAAAATACGCTCGGCTGTTGTCTTAGCGCCGTTTTGTGTGTCTATAATCAGGGCTGGAGCGACGGCGTACGTGAGAAAACACGCTGAACGCCCCGGTTTCCGCTGCTGCTGCCGCGATACGGATGACGTGTTTGGATAGAGAGAGTGGTACAGTTGTGCCGGGGATGGCCTGGAGGCTGGGGAGGGGGCTCAAGTTGGTAGTACTGACGAACGGGACGCATGTATGCCGTTAGCTTGCCGTTTGCTACTTAAAACTCATCCATCGCCTTACCGTTGAGTGTTCCTCTTTAGCTTATGATCAACAGCTTATGGTCATTTGGTACTTTATTATAATTTCTGGGACTCTCCACTGAAATTCTCCTGTCCATCTCGCCGGCACCAGTCGCGTCGGGCGCCGCTGTCGCCACCGTGCGGCCCCGCGGGCGGAAGGAGGCCGTTTCCTGCTCGGCCCGGCGCGGCTGGTGGCCACCGGTGTGAGCGCACCGCCGCCTGGGACGTGTCCTTACGTCGGTGGCTGGTCCAGTCGGTGATAAACGCCCTCATCGGACTGGCAGCGGGACAGAGCGTCCGTGTTTCTGCGCGTCAGACCGTGTCCGGTGTCACCCGCGCGGCGCCGGAGAGGCCGGGATACGGCCTTGGCTCGGCGACGATTCGACGGACGACGGGCGCCGTTAGACCTACCAGCCGGCCGGCGCCGGGTCCTCAGAGCCTCCGTGTCTGTCCCCCGCCGACATATGCGTCACGGAAACAGTGAGAGGGCCTGTCCATAAGGCGGTGATCTGCCCTGGTTATCGTCTAAGCACCGTGGCGAGAGGGAGGGCGCTCGAAGAAGTTGAGACAGGCAGAAGTCCGGAGTTGGTGTCACATTTCCTCGGACGAACTGGATCGAATTACTTACGGCGACTTGGCTCCGGCCGGAGTGGATGTCTTCTAGGACACATCTGGGGACAGACTCGCTCGGTGCCGCGGGTGGTCAGGAGACCGGCTGGGCGGTGGGGAGCGAGGCTGGGGAGCGGGGTCGGGTCGGGCCGGTCGGGCTGCTGCAGCTCCCTGCCGGAAATGCAGGTGCCTGCTGTGTCAGCTCCGTCAGCGGGCCGGGGCCATTGTGTGCGACCAGGTGCCTGCGGCTCCGGTGGCCGGTCGGCCGGCAGACCGCCTGGTCAGCAGCCGCCACTGGGTCGGCGCTCACCGGCCGCCCCCGCCCCCGCCCGGCGACCCCAGCTGTCGGAGAGTGTCGACGACTGACGGCGGAGGGTGACGGTGACATGAGGACTGTCGGAATGACGACTCGACACAGAAAGCCGGCCAAGTTGGAAGCTCTCTGAAAGATGACGAGGGAAACCACTACCAGGGAGGTGGTGGAGTGCTAGCACTGGTCTTGTCCCTCGCTGGCACAGCCAGACCAGGGAGTAGCGAGCTGTGTTCGCGGACCGAGCTTTCCGTCAATGTCAGAACAGAACACACACAACCCCGTCCTCGCACCTCTGCGTTGGCAGCGGTGGTGATAATAAACGAGCCTTCATTTCGCCGTCGCCACCCCCGCCGGTTCTGTGTCAAACTGACCAGACCGCTGCGCTCTCGGTGCCACTCTGCCCCTTCGTCCAGCCATTTCTCTGTGGCGCGGCCTCCCCGCTCCTGGCACCTGTGTGCCTCTGTTGCGGTAAGTGGCCGCCCGGGCGGTGACATGTCGCCGGAGGGGGCGGCACGGGACGGCTGTGAGCGGCGGCACAGGTGCGCCCTTGTCGCCTGTCGCCCCGTGTCGCGGTCGCGCGGACCGGCCTCTCGTGGCCGCGCGCCACCGTCTGCGGGTCACTGCCAGATAGAGTGTAGGCGGCTGTGTCGCTGGGTTTTCTCGACATCGTAACGCAGTTCACGTTGGTTCGTTTTAATCGAGGTAGTTGTTGGTCGGTGTCATTTAGCTGTGATCCAGCTATCTTCAAATATGGTTTCTTTTGATTCGGAACTGTAATCCACTATATGCATTTGAGTTTACCGACTGGTGTTGATGGAATGGCAGGGTCGGGACCTGCACAAGAAGTTCTGATGGTTCGATATCTCGCTCAACGGATCTGCCCATCGGAGACGTTTGGACGGTATTTTCTAAACATTTTTTTGATGACGTACGATGTTGCTCTTATCTGAGGATGCTGGCGTTAACAAACAATGTTGAGCGGTGGTCAGATAACGGCTATCTGGCCGTTCTGTCACGGATGCGTGGTATGTGATCGCTCCACAGTCCACACCTCCCTCTCACCCCCTGACACGGGTCGGGACTGCACGTGACCGGTCGGAGTGTGGGCCTGCGCCGGCCGCGGCCGCCCCGGCGCCTGTTTACGCCGGCTGGTCGGCGCGCGCGGCGTCAGCAGGCGGCTATTGTTTCCTGTGCAGCATTGCGCTGATGGCAGCAGACCGGCCGTGCCGCCGGCGCTCAACACCGGCCCGCCGCCCGAACAGGCCCCCCGGGCTGACCCAGATCGATTGTCGGTACCTGATTGGGGGCGGCCGCAGGGAACGGGCCCAGCGCTGCTCGGGTATTGTTCGACTCGGTGTTGTCTGGAGCGAGCGCTGGTTTGTATTGAGCTTGAAGGACGGCTGAGGGTGGGTTGGCTCCCTCCATGTTGTGTGATGCTCTGGCCAGCTGTCTGTGAACCCCTTTGGTGTGTTTTTACGTCAGAGTGTAAATGTTGTGGTGTTGCCGGACAAATATTGACCAACTCTTACATCCGATAAGTATCAATAATTTGTGTTGGTGTTTCGACGGTGAACGATGCTTCCACAGTATGTTTGGTGATGGTTGTGGACGGCCCCAAAACAGTACCGCTCAGCTGTCTAATAATGAGTCACCCATCGGAGATGCACTTCGCATACGTTATCTTAGCAAGGTGGCACAGCAAACATGCTACGGGTGCCGCGTAGGGGCCCAGGTATTTGAAAGTGCACACAAATGACAAATCATGATACCTGGGCCGCTTTAGCTCAGGCCTGTTTTCAAAGTTTTGATATGTTTAGAAATTAAACTCCTGCTTGCAGTAAGGAGCGTGGGAACAAGATTACGTACAAACTTGTTGGTTTGTTGATATTTCTTCTTTTTATCGTCTGACACCATCACATTAGATCACTGCACTATTTGGCACCTACAGGACACGGAAGAACCGGCCGCATGTCACCGCCTCTAAAATGCCATTTCTCTGACCGCCCGCTTATTTTCTGGCAGGACATCAACCTGGATGACGAGGACTTGTTGGAGGACTGAGCGAGGTAGAGCGGAGGGGTGGAGAGAGGGGATAGAGCGGTGCGGCCGCCGACCATTCCAGCGGAGACCGGGAACAGTGGCCTGGAGCGCCGCGGCGCCCAGCCTGGCCCGTGGCGGACACGGACACAGAGCGAGCGGGGCGTGTGATCGGTTGTTACGACCTCTGCTGTGCCGAGGTAGAGGTGACAGCGGCGTGAGCGGGCAGAGTGGCCGGGCCGGTGCCATACTGAGCTGACCCGGCCCTGGTGGTGGCTGATTGGCCGGCGCGGTGACCTTGACACGGCCTTGACCGGACGCCCCGCAGGCACGTTGACAGTGCCGCCGCGCCGCCGCGCGCCGCTGCAGATTTCTCCTTATTTTATCGGGGTCGTTTTCTGCCTGAGAGTGTGTTGTCTGCGCCGTGCTGTGGCAGCCGTCGAATAAATTCCCTATTTAATTGTACTTAGTCATGTTTTATACATGTGGGCTGCTGCATATCTGGTGGCGTCAGTGATTGGCCGGCTTGCCTATATATTATATAAGGAAGTCTGTTGAGAAATTGCGCCAGCACGGCCTGCCTACGGTAGACACACGATCCTACGAACACGTCTGAATTATATGTGGACCGCTCATGTCTCTGTAAATACATGGCTAAGAGGTTGGATTTGTTCCATTCGCGAAAGCGCTGTTCGAAACCAGTGAGACCGGTTGGTTTATACAATATATATTATGCGAGGTTTGGAAGAGCGGTGTTTGGGACGGATCGAGCAGGACATTCGATAATTGTCGCCGATAATTGTGTTTGGGGGCACACGGAGAGCTGCATATATGAAACAATTGCTTTCGTGTCTTGCCTCGCACTAACGCAGTGTCGCAAACCGCGCATTGCCTGGGTAGTGGGCAGTGCAGTGGGTAGCAGCGTGCAAATGCCCATGTCTCTACGCCAAGCTCCGCTGACTGGTGGCTTGCGCGCTTGACCCTGACTGGCTCTGTCAGTTATCACATGAGCATTGCCGGCTTCAATCCACGGGTTCACCGCTGACCGCACAAACCTCTAGCCCAGAGGAACCACAGGGCACCGTGTCATCTTTCATCAAATAAGTGAAAATGGTCAGATTAGGAATTGTGATCATATCTGACAACCTCCCTTGCTTCTTACTCCCAACTATGAGCGGCAAGCGCTTAATAAAACAACGTTATGGACGCCGCACTTTTATTGGAAGTCCGGACTTGATTCAACTCGGTTAACCGCACATCCACTCCTGATTCCCCACGGAGGGGGAGGGGGAGGTATCGGCACAGCGCCTCACTGAAGCGCCATCCCGCGCCGTCGTCGACCCATCCTCCACGACGACTTACGACCCGGTGCTCGGCGTATTTTGGAAACACGGGCGTCACTGTTTGTTGCCGCTGCCGCCTATATTGGAAACTGGCCGGCCGTATTGTGACAACAATGAGCCGCTCTGGCGACGGGAGACTTCCTGCTGTGAGAGATGGTTTGGTGGAGAGGTTGGACCGACAGTCGGCGATTAAAGCTGTAATAATAACACCGTCGTAATGGCTCACTGCCGTCTGACCCGGCACATAATGTAGGTACCCATGCGAGCTTGGCGAGTGTCTTGTTCGAAGAGCGTTTGTGCATTGTGCAGTGTTGAACCAACAGCGACTGTGCAGTGTTCACTGATTGTCCGTCAGAGTCTGTGAGCCGAAAGGATAGGTGTCCGTCACTGTCCAATACTCCACCAACTCAATCACAGAACACTGATAACACTTCCTGCCGGACTGGACGGCGTCGTCCGTCCATCGCAGTCCATTGTCAGTCACGTCTCACGAGCGCTGCTTAACTATTTGCGATGATGAGGGTGGCGATAGAGGTTATCCGAATTCACCTGCTAAAGCTACCGGGCGCCAATCAGAGACGGTGGTGACCACTCTGCTGAATGGCGTGTCTGTGAGCATACCGGCGTCCAAAAGACCGATATTTTAACTTGTAAACTGAAATGTAAGCTACGCTACATTTCGCATAATATTTAATAGGTAACCGTTGCGCATAGAAATCTAAGCGCAATACATGATGGAATTTCGAGAAAACTGAAAAGTGACTGACGTAGTTCCGTGAGTAAGCCGTGTGGCCCCAGCACCGCGCCCAGCATGCGTGCGTCGTGCCAGCCGCCAGACGGCTCAGTGCAGCTGTGTGCCTGCGAGGGTAGACTGTGCCGCATCGCTGCGGAGCGTTGCGGGAAGGCAGCCGCCGGCAGTGTTTTATGGGCATTAGGCAAAATTGCAAATACCTATCTGAAACATTGTAGGCATTTGTCTGATGTCTGTGAATCGTCAATGATGTCATTGTCGACTGTCGCACAATGGATAGGAAACTGTATGAATCACGGTTGAATCTATTTTGAATTTGGACGAGTCTCATAACATAAAATATCTATCTACCTGTACCCTGTAGCAAAGTTTGTGACCCTCGTTAACTTGTTAAAAAAAAACTAGTGCATTCGTTCTATCAAAGTTACCTCACTATTTCTCTTTCATCTCCATGCATCCCGTTGCTCGATTTTCGATTTTCTTTTACCCTCATTTCCTCTCTCCTCATCCTCCCCTTCCCGTCACCGACACCGTCACCGGGCCGATGACGCTGCCCAGATGGACCCACTAAATGGAGTTACTGTGTCGGCACACCCCCGTCGACGAGCGCCCCCGTCCCGTCCGTCCCGGCCGCGGAGGCAGCCCGCCCGAGTGCTCCACTAAATCTCGGGCAGATTAGCCGGATGGGCGCCTCCCGACGGGCTGGCAGTCGGCCGTCTCGAGCCGTCGACGTCGACACGTTGGTGGGCGAGAGGTGCCCGCGCGGGGGTGCGTCGGTCCAGGGGAGGGAGCAGCGTGCCGCGGGAGGCCGGTGGGACGGCACCTGACGAGTCTAACACTGCCGACCATCGTCGAACGGAGAAAGCGTCATTCGTCATTTATCTGACAGGGGTGATCAGAATGCTTTCAGCGCGGCGGGCATCGTCAAATTTCGACAGGTACCCACTCGGTCTGTGTCACGGTGATGGATCGGTCTGTCGGCGCGGTAGTGGCGAACTCGGCACTCACTTTGAGCCGTGTGACTCACGGCTCGGCTGCGGCTGCTCAGGGAAGCGCTGGCACTGGCGCATGGAGCTCGCGGCGGCTGCGGAGCGTTCGTTACTCATCCCTGCCAGATCCATGTCCGGGCCGTGGTGTCGAACGGACGGCCAGCGGGGGTGGCCGCACTCAGGCCGTCACTCCCACGTCCATCTCCTGTCCATCAGGCGTCCATTGGGCCCTGTCCGTCCATCAGCCGCCCCCGCCCCCGCCCCCAACTGGCCGTCGGGACCGACAGTCCCGGCCGACCCCCCCCCCCCCGGCCCGACCTACCGACGGACAGGTCCCTGCCCCCCCCCCCTCTCCCCCGTGCCGACCGACGCAATTGCTCCTGTCGCTACGGATTCCGTGGTGACTCTACATCGGGGAGGTGTGTTTTTTGGATGGGTGGTACGATATGCTTACGGTCAAGGTTGGAACGGACAGCACTCCACTCAGTCTGCCAGTGCGAGAGAAAATAGCGCGTGCACGTTGGAGGGTGTACAGTGTACTCTTTGACCCGGTGCGGTTCGTCCCAGTGAGATTCTCTCCATATCTCGTGTCAGCGAACAGTGAGGCCATCCCATAGAACAGTCCCAGGATACCGCATTTGCCTACACACTGTGCCGGCTGACGATCATAAGGAGTCATGGGGGCCATGAGTCATGACCTCCATTTAAGCCCAATCTTTAGGTAATTCAAACATTTAAATTTTGGTGCATGGTAAGAAACGAACCTCCAACCATTATTCCAGTATTCGTCCCCCTTTATTCTTTGGGCGACGCCGGTGGTGCCTACATACATACTCATAGTCACCTACCGCGAGTGTTAATTGCACCTTTATGGCTATGTGCTTCTTGCAAGAACTTGCATATAGGTGTGATACCTACCTGAAGCTGTTCGTAAAAAATGAAGCTGTGGTCGGAAGTTTGCTGATTATTTTGGTTCGCAGGCTGCTGGAAGCTGATGATTGATATCTTTGGTTTGGTGGAATAATCCAGTGGATTACAGTCGCAAAAAAATGTGAATAAAATGGCATTAAGTGACTCAAATGACTCAAAATTTATAGCCATGCTGATTTGCAGGCACCTATAATTATCGCACAGAAATGACATATTTGACTCCGTCCAAACGTGGTCCAAACTTCGTTCTGCCGGACACACTATTCGACTGTCACCCTAGCCGCCATCCTGTAACTCAGGAACCACCAGGCCGATGGAGACCTCAGCTGACCTCAGAAGGTCACCTCAGGTGGTCCATAATCAAACTTGAAAACGGCCAATGTGAAGCCGCATTACGGCGAATCTACTGCTGGAATTTTCGTCGCAATCGGAACGCTGGATGCTGAGTTGTAGGTTATTAATGATTGCCATAGGTGAAATGTTGATATCGCATGGTCACCGAGTTCTAGGCCACCTGAAATCACCATAGTTGAAACTACAGATAAAATGTTCTACTGCGGTTTCAATGGTGTCACTTTCGTCGATAGTTGCTTAGTTATGGAATGGCTGCCATTGGATAAGCTTTATATGGTGACCTCTGAAGGACGCCAAGGTCACCTGAGGTCAACATGCAGCTGCTTATAAAATAACTATCTTGCTGCGATTTGAATTATCATTTTTGTCACGATCAGCCCGGTAGGTGCTGAGTTATAAAAAAGTTTCTACGAGCGAAAAAGTTGATGAAACGGGGTATGGCACATCGAGCGGTGGCGTTTTCACTTTTTGTTTCGATTGATTCGCGATGATTTTTCTCGAAGCATTTTTGGGGTCAAAAGGTAGGTATGCTATTGCTGCCCCTTTCAGGCCTGTGGAGTTGGCCGGATTGCCCCCCTCCCCTTTTCTGGATCCGTCAACGGCTGTGCTCAACTCAGGCATGTCATTTCATAAGATTTCAACAACCAACGCATTTACTTGCGATGCACGTTATCGTATGAATAGCGGTGGTGTCATCCCGAATGCTCAACTGACTCACTCCGAGTTCAGCGGGAGTGGACTGTGGAGGAGCGAGATGGACAGTGCGGGGTCAGTTCCGCCCGGTCAGCCCCCCCCCCCTCCCCGACCTACGTCGACAGCCGGCCGCGCCGCCCGGTGCCAAGACTCACAGGCAGATAAGTTGCAGTGCTGCACAGTCGCTTGGTCGGCGGGTCGGCGACGGGATTTACTACCGACTGCGGCCCCGGCCACGGCGCGGCCTCCACCGTCCCCAGGATAATATACTCGCCCCGCTGGCACAGAGATCTGCTGACTCTCGTCAGCCACTCATTAATTGTGGTCACCGTGAAATTTGGGAACGTTATATGGATGATCCTACGTTGTTGTGATTCCAGAATTCCTAAATGCCAGGGGGTGTGGTTTCGATTTATTGAATGTTGTTGCTGGACGTATCTCTATAAAGATGATATCAGGTTGGCGTTTTTATTTAAGTCAGCAAGGACAATATCCAAATACGCCTGATGTTCCTGTTCCTAAGAAATCGGCATCGATTGACAAAGTACCTATTGCTAGTTAATTGATTTATCAATTACCATAAATGAAATGATGTACGCATTCACGTCCACAAACACGACGTGCACACATATCTAAGCAATGGCCAAGTCACGAGTCTCTAGAGAGGGCCAAATATAGGTACCTATATTTCACGCGCCTTACGATGTCGCTTTACAAATTATCATTTCTCGGCAGGTGACACTACCCAGAATCCAGATGCGCTAGAAGTCTGAACTTTTATTCACGTTACACTTCTTTTTATTCACGCGAGACAGTTCGGAAAGGCACGTTACAAAACATTAGCACAAGAACAATATTGGCTCTCATAAAACGAAAACCACAAAAGCATCCCATCCACAGACCACAAAATCAGTCATATTCTTTTTATGCATTTTAAGCACTAGAAGCACAGATGTTGTGGAAGCCTTGTGGAAGTTGTGGAAGTTGTTGTAGAATGTAGAAGCATTCATAGTTTAAGCAGCAGGGTTGTGCTCGACTCAAAAAAATTTGCCGACTCGACTCATCATTCAACTTCAGAAAGCCCTGACTCAACTCTGACTCAAACAAGGAGCTTATTTTTGCCCTTGACTCGACTCGTGACTCAAGCGGCTCAATGAAAATTATGAGTCGACTCAAACTTGACTCAAATTTTTTGTTGAGTCAAGTGAGTTGACTCAAAATTGACTCAGATAAAAAAGTTGTTGAGCGGGGGCGGGGGTGAAAAAAAATCCGGCAGCAGAGCCAGGGCGAAGTTGTTAAGCGGGGGGATGAAAAGCTTGTTTCTAGAAAGTTGAGTCAGCTGACTCATGTTCCTAAATGTTTGACTCAACTTAATGTCAAAAGTTATTTTACTGACTCAACTCTGACTCAACTCAACGCCTTAATATTTTTGTCCGACTCAACTCTGACTCAACTCAACAGCTCAACATTTTATCCGACTCGACTCAAATCTGACTCATTTGAGTCAGAGTTGAGTCAAATTCCTGACTCGACTCATGAGTCAAGCACAACCCTGTTAAGCAGGTTAGATCTTTTCATCGTTTTTCTAAGTATTTACATATTTATAAAAATATCAATCCTTTCAGCTAGAGTTAGGTTGAAACCAGAGGTCAAATAAAGATACAAATTTTAAATCGGAAATATGTAATACGTAATATGTAAATCGAAATATGTATTCCAACCAGTGCGTTAGAACTAGCAAAAAATGATCAGCTAAACACTGACGACATGTGTGTTTTTTTTCTTCACAAAACGTCTATGACCCCAATGAAGGAAAACGAGCATTAGAAATAGCTATGCCAGGTAAATGAACTTACGTAGCGTAAATTTTATAAAATGCAACTATGCCAGTTCGTTGAAACGCGAGACATGGTTTCAAAACTGATCATATTAATCGAGATACACAGATGAAAAATGAGCGAACGGAACGAAAAGATAAACTAGGGAGAGAAGTACATAAATAACTACTTATGTAAATATGTACTATTTTGTGCAATGTATGTACAAACGTGACTCTAGTTTCATGATTCGCAATCATTGTACAGATCACATGAAAAGAAACCACAATAACTTCTAATACCGGCCACAACAACCAATAACGTGTCAATCAAGGCACCATTTGGCATTCATAAGCACGCCAGTACAGCTCACACCTCCTGCCCCTCTCCCTCTCCCTCTGCCCCGAATGTCTCGTCCTGTTCGTCCCGCAGTCCTGCCACCGAGCCGCACCTTAGTCGCTCACCGGACGCCGTCATCACAGTTGACAGGAACCAACACCCGTGCGCTGGCGTCCTTTTGGGGCGCCGACATGCCCGCGCACTCCAGGTAGGTGCCTGCTGCAGGGTCCCGCGATGGGATATCGTCCGTCGCCAGCGGCGACCCCCCGCACCCGCACGGTGGCACCTGCTGGGCCCCTCATCCCGCCCCCGCCTTGACGGCGGTGGTGGCGGCGGCGGCGGCGGCGGTGGAGGCGGCAGCGGCGGTGCTGACAGGATGCTCGGCAAGAAACGACGGCCCGCCCACGCTGCCACCTCCTCCGCCGACGGCGTCTCCGACGGCACCGACAGTCGACGATGGCGAGATTTCACCCCCCTCCCCTAACCGAGCGGGATCACCGACACATCGCGCGGGCACTTATCGGCTCATGTTGGCGATCCTCATGACCCTACGGAGGTCTCCGATCGTGATGAGTCAGTTCCGGAGGCCGGTGTGGCAGGTCACCGGAGTGGTGACCACTGGGTCACTCGGCGCGGGTCGGTCGGCGAGGGAATGGGCCCCAGCGAGAGGCACTCAGCGGGGAATGCGCTGGGCTGTCACATCCGCGTCCGTCGTTCCTGAGGCTGCCCGTGCCGGTGGCGGCCGACGGTCTCCGCGTCGGTCCCGTCGCGTCCCGTCGGTCCATCCGGCGGCTGAGCGACACCGGCAGCTGCTCCGGGGCCGGCCGACGCTGGAAATAGGGGCGTCATAAATCCAGAGCGGTGTCGGCGGACGTCGCGAAGGCGGCACTAGATTACCGGGACAAATCAAAACAGAATTATCCGGACCGCCGCGCCGTCCGGGGGCAGGGAGAGGGAGGGGTCAACCAGTGCCCGACAAGGAACGTTCGAGGATGGCAAATCAGAGGAATTGGCAAATTCGGGAGAGAGGCTTGGGAAGAGGGGTGTGGGATACGATAAGCGCCGCCCTTCATGCTTACAAGCTGCTTTACGTTGTTGCTTTTCTGCATCATGTAATGATGTGTTACTTAAACGCAGACGATTGATTAAACTGCGATTGATGCATTACCAGCATACGTAAAGTGAATGTTGGGTTAGCAGATGAATATGACAGGTTTTGCTTACCCACCAATGTTCAGTAGCGGTGGAACACCTTCGATTAAGGGGAGGGGGTGGGGGGGGGGGGGGGCACTGCCAACTTTTGGTCCCATCCTTTCCATGCAACGCCCATAGAGCTAATGTTAAAATTGCCAAAATCAAAGGGGGGCACGGTGCCCCGGTGCCCTCCCCGTTCCACCGCCTATGCCAATGTTCTCAATTGAACTAGGTCTGTGATGGCTAAATCTGCACCAAATAAATCATTCGTGACCTAAGAATATCCAAATGTTCCAATTTGTGACCCAATTTTCATCAGTCACCTTGATGGATAGGTACCTACACATAGCAAACGCTCACATAATATCAGGACGAATGTGTTATCTCGTCCATTTCAAGCTTATTTATATCCGGTAATAGTCACTCCAACTCATCAGCTTCTAGTCGAGCTTCCAACCATAAAAACGAATTTCTGTTATCAATGGCGGACGATTTAATGCGCCGAAAGGTGTCCATTTATCACAGCGACACCCATAACTCGCCCACTAATTGGCGGCCGCATATCATGCGGACAAATTGCCAACTGCCTGCCAACTAGCTCCGGCTCAAAACGAATCGCCGGATAGATTCATCGGCCGGTCGCCGCCGCCGCCGCCGCCGCCGCCAGCCCTGGCCGACCAGCCCGCGGGCTCAGCCATGTCTGTTTACTGCAGTGGCGAGCGTGTTTGCAAAACAGCTGACACTCGTTATCACAACACGCTGATCGACCCTGACGCCGCAGCCACCGGTTTTATCATCTAAATTCGCCGATGTCACAATATTTTCGCCGGTGTGATTTTGCGACGTGCTCTAGCGACGGCGACCGACACACGACGAAAAGGCAAAAACGGTGGCGGCTGCAGGGGAAAAACTGGCGCGCAAAGAGCTCGATTAATTAGCGGAAATTGCCCGATGAAGCGGGAATTAAAAACGTCTGCACTTAATCCCGCGGCGTCGGCTGCGGTTTCAGGTTTGCTTTGGAGAGAGGGTGTGGAATGGTTAAAAACGGCTCTGGTTTGTTGATGGTTCAGGGAGAATGTTTGGCGACCTGCACGAGCTCTCGACAGGCAATGAACGCGCGTGCGCACGTGCTGTTGCTGATGCCGAAAAAAAATGTTGTGAACGATACCTACTGATTTATAGTCGTAACTGTAGGATTTTTCACATCTGTAATGCGATGGGTAAAAGTTATTATTTCGGCACGAATATATGTCGCATTAGATTCATGTCAAATTAGTAATTAAGTGTATCTATCTTTATAAATCATATCGCGTTACCATGCTCTTGCATTGATCATGGTAGTAAAATTACCGCCTATTTTGGAAATAACAAACGAAACCGAATGGCTTCGAAGAGTGACCAATTATCTACAATCGGACATTTACTGCAGAAATTTGGATAGCACACCACTTTCGCGCAGCCTCTATGCAGCTTTGAGTTACATATATCATCGCGCCTGTCTCTATGCAAGCTGGATCGCTCGGAAGTGTCGGGCATTTACATTTCCGCCCCACCCACAGACTAACCACACTGTATGGTAACGCGATCGGGGTACAACGCTCGGAAACGGCCCGTTTGTTTGGCTTTGTCTCGACCGCTGCCACGTCTCGGATACGCTGTTTATCTAAGTGTCACTTGAATTAGAGTGCTTACAAAATATAAATGTTGTTATTGGACAGGTATCCACGGTGATTAATGACTCTGATATTGTTATGGGAGCAGAGCTACAACAACATACATCCAGAGTCGAATCAGCGACATTAATAATATCCGAGGAGTGAGCCGTCGCCAACTCCAACACGCAGATCGGAGATCGATACAACAGACTGATGAGTCCTGAACTATGAAGTTTAACTTTGCTCAAATATTACAAGTTTGAGTGCAAGCAATAACACAAAATATTGTTGAGACGTGATATATAATTCACTAACAGCTATAGCTGTTAGTGAACAACACACCGCGATTATCTCACCTGTCAGCAGCAGCAGGCCGTTGACGTTTCGGCCTCTGGTCGACTTCCAATAAGCCAGCAGTGGGAGGGGTGACTGGGATCAAGGATCCATTCATTTCGGAACGACTTAACTAGTATGTGTTTGCATCGTGGCTCTGGCCGGTTTTACTGCGACATTGCTTCATGAACAGTTTCGCGCCATTTCTGTGTATCCAAAAACATTATCTTAGGTGTCTAATCACAATTACTTCGGAATATAGTTACCTATTACTAAGTGAATGCATAGGTATCGCATTTGTATGTAGCAACAATTAGGTACATACCATGTTTTAGTGCATCACATCAAGCAGTGCAAACATTTAAATGTGAGAAATTTCGCTTGTACTCACTAAAGCACATTACATATCTTTTATTTAAATAGCGAGATACGATAAGGCGCACTATGAATGTGCACGAAAAATAAGTGCGAGGGTGAACCGTGAATATCAGAGGTGCAAAAGCCGGAGCGGGACATCCTACAGACATCCTACATCTGAGACCTCCCGGGACCACTCATGGAGCACCTGGGAGGGGTCGAGGGTGGGCTTTGGAGGGGAGGGATGGAATCAGAAGAGCCGGAGAGGGTGGTGAGGGGAAGGACGGAATCAGTAGGACCGGGGTAGAGGGGCAGTGTCGGTGTGGAGGATGGTATAATCAGTAGGACCGTGGGTAGCGGGGCAGGGTCGGTGTAACCATGTCCTGCTGGCGCTGGAACGAGCTGAACCCCGAACTGGGGCTGAACACGGGACTGGAGCTGACCGCCGCCGCTGGAAAAGAACAGAGCGCGCTCAGCCACATAGAGGAGATGTGAGTGAGGTACGGCTCGCTCCTCCGTATGCAGAAGTAGGAGAATCGTATTAACTGGCACTCATGACTCAAGTAATGACAGATTCTTTCATTTAAGGTGGCGTGGCCAGTGGATGGTAAACCAGCAGTACTGAAATATATTCGGCAGCAACTATCAATCGTTGACAATAACAATACATGGCATTTCGCTCCTAATCGCGTACGATTTTGATGAAAAAGCCTGCATTACGGGCATGACTCACTTGCCCAGCGCTCTCAAGTACTTACATACCACACCAAAACGTAAGCAAAATAATTCGTTTCGCCGATGACTGTCTATGCATGTGTAGGTGTGCTGTGTATTATGTATTGTTATGTAAATGCCTTTTATTGACCGATTATAAACTCATAACAGACATCTGTCTTACGATCAACTATTTATAAGCACTACCAGCACAGTTTATAAACAACGCCTCAGAGACACAATCAAATGTCACAAGAAATCAGAACAAAACGGATAACACATAACACATAACAGACAACATATAACAGGAATGGCAGCGCATCAGCTGGGTACTGACAAAGTGTTTATAAGCGGATGAAACACTACCTTGTCGTAGGATTACACGCACACTGCTGAGTGCACAGAAGCGAAGCTCGCTCGGCGCTTGCTTGGCCCTCAGCTGCAGGCACGGTTCTATATAGACGGCCTTCTGCGAACCTACCTCCTAGCTGCATGTTGAACAATGCTTGTCGTGTAGGTACATTGACGCACCTGCTATACGTCAATCGTATTTATTGTTTTAGCGGAAACGGCCTGCCATCGGACCTGGTGAGTCATTCCGTTCTCGTTACCTCTGAGCTGCGATTGTCTGAGTCATGTCTGGTGGTACATACTACATGCTGAGGAGTGTTCCCGACGTCTGATCGGGAGGGAAGCAATCAATGCTGCACAGGTCGATTTGTCATGCGCTATACTAAATTATAGCTTCTCTAGAGTCTGACTCTAGAGGGTAGTTGGCGTGCTGTTAAAATATGAGTACCTATTTTGTGCGATTGGAATTTTCGTTTTGCACTACTGTGGTAGGGCTGTAATGTCGGTAGGCTGGCCCGTGATCGTTCTTGGTTGTGACGTCTCTGGATTGAAACATTATGTAAAATATCTACGAAGTACATATGTATGCGTGGCTAGACTGACCTGTGACGGGTGAGCGGCGGCGTTGAGCTGTGACGTCACGGGCCGACCTGTGACAGCACTGAACTGTGACGTTGCTGAGCTAACGTTGCTGTATGACGTCACCGGACTGACCCGTGACGGCACTGACCTATGACGTCACCGGACTGACCTGTAACGTTGCTGAACTGATCTATGACGTCACCGGACTGACCTGAGACGGCGCTGACCTATGACGTCATCGGACTAACCTGAGACGGCGTTGAACTGTGACGTCAGTGGCCCGACGTAGGGGTCCATCGGTGAGAGCGGCACCGGCTGGATGGGCGCCACCGGGGGTAGCTGCGAACGAACGCTGCACGTGAACATCAGTCCGCAGAGCGGGGTGGAAAGTAGAAAGGAGATAGTCTAAAGTCGCGGGGTGCTGCACGGTTTTCGAAGTCGGTATCTTATGTATTTCGAGGTCCAGCGTCGCGTAGCTATTGCATATTCTGCAAAGTTTAGTGAGCAGCTACTGACAACAGTAGAGGGCAATCTCAAACAAAGACAAATCATAGCTGCAACGATCCAGTTTCCCTCTCTGCTTCACACTTTTTCTCTCTCCTTCCACTCTCTCCCTCTCTCTCTCTCTCTCTCTCTCTCTCTCTCTCTCTCTCTCTCTCTCCTGCCTCCTCCCTCCCTCCTCCCTCCTTCCCTCTCTCCCTCTCTCTCTATCTCTCTCTCTCTCTCTCTCTCTCTCTCTCTCTCTCTCTCTCTCTCTCTCTCTCTCTCTCTCCCTCCCTCCCTCTCACCTGTGTTGTGAGCGGCGCGAATGGTGAGAAGGTCTGGGCGCTAGTGCGCGGCGGCGGCTGGTAGGAGCTGTACGACAGCTGCTGGCTACCCATCGGAGGCAGGTGGGGCTGCACGTGTGTCAGCGGCCAGCTGCCACTACACAGTCACACAGAGGTCACACGGAGGTCACATAGAGGTCACACACAGGTCACACACGGATTACACTCAGTTAGCACACAGATGTAGGAGGTTGCACGGGCCACAACTTCCATTGGTTGCAGCCTGTTTCCCAAACAAATTATATGTATTTCAAGCTTGCTGATGAGTGATGACAAACCACGTGAAGGAATACGACATTACACCATCAAAGCCTGGCTGACCTGTGACCTCTGACCTGTTGTAGGTGGTGGCGGCGGGGAAGAAGCTCCTCGAGTTGTGTCCGAGGAGTGGTGACCAGCTGTCGCCGATCAGAGGGCGGGGGAAGGCCGACGGCCGGTAGGGCCGCTTCATCCGCCGCCGCCGCCGGAAGTTGCCGTTCTCGAACATGTTGTCCTCGTAGTGCGGGTCTGACGGCGGTTGGACGAAGCGGTCGGGTAACCACGCCAGTGAAGTTATAAACAACTTAGATTATATTGTAGAGGAATAAAATAACCTTCATATGTGGTTCGTAAAAAATGTAAGGAAGAAAATAACCTTCATATATGGTTCGTAAAAAATGGATAACCAAAATGCTTATCGTGAGATGATGTTTTTCGTACTCCAGCGTAGATGGGTAGCCATACGGCTTCCACGGTAGACAGTGATGACATCAGTCATCTTTTTGCAAGCTCGTTAAAGAATTTGGGCTGTACGGGGACTCGAACCCCGGGCCTTTGGATTAGCGCTCCAATGCTCTACCTCTGAGCTATACAGACCAAGTACTTTAACGAGCTTTCTGCCAAGTTTTATGCGGATCATTCTTAGGTGTTGTTTTTATCCGCTGGGACTGAGAGCGTGAGATGATGTTTTTCGTACTCCAGCGTAGATGGGTAGCCATACGGCTTTAAATTCTTTAACGAGCTTGCAAAAAGATGACTGATGTCATCACTGTCTACCGTGGAAGCCGTATGGCTACCCATCTACGCTGGAGTACGAAAAACATCATCTCACTCTCTCAGTCCCAGCGGATAAAAACAACACCTACAAAATGCTTATCATTGCATGCAAGTGATTCCAATGAAAATTGCCGAAGGGTTAAGTTGATTGGCTATTCGTTAGAGTTGTGTTTAAACAATATTTCATCGAAATAAAGATAGTTCTATTCTATTGATTTGAGTCTTGAGACTATTTGTTAAATATCACAAATCTTGTTTTTAAAAAGGGCCTGTCAAGTCACCCATCGCTGATCCCTTTCCCATCAATTAACCACACCCGCCCCCGGGACCTCTCACCGATGGCCCAGAAGTTGCCCTTGCGCTCGCCTCCTCCCTCGCGCGGGATCTTCACGAAGCACTCGTTGAGGCTGAGGTTGTGCCGTATCGAGTTCTGCCAGCCCTTCTGGTTCTTCTGGTAGTAGGGGAAGTTGTCCATGATGAACTGGTAGATCTCGGAGAGGGTGAGCCGCTTCTCGGGCGCCTTCTTGATGGCCATGGTGATGAGGGCGACGTAGCTGTAGGGCGGCTTGGTGTTGGGGTCCGTGTGTTTGCTGGTATCGGGCGGGTCGGACGGCGGGGGATCCGGCTTCGTGGCCGGCGCCAGCGTCGTCCGCGTCAGGTTGTCGATCGATTTGTGCAGCGTTGTCAAGGACGATGTGTATTCTATGGGAGCGAAACGTTTGTTGATCTTATCGAAATTGTATATGGTGTGCACTGTGCACTGTGCAGCGAACATACATGTAAGTACAAGCACTATACAGTGAAGATGAATGACACCTTCACCACGTCATTGGAGCTTATGGGCCAAATAACACATAATGAGTGACGATAACAGAAGAATGTATTTTATGTATTTATCTTTGATGGATGAGACTGTCCTAACTTTTTGGTTCATCATCTCTTTGCTGATAAGCAGCCTGTCTGTCTTTCGCTGCATCGGGTACAGTATTTTTCTTTTATCAGAAAAAAGAGGAAAATGAACGTGGATTATGGTGTAACAATAAGGAAATAAATTTCAATAGCTGAATTTCTGTAAAACATTTATTGGCTTTCATTCCAGCCGCTGGATTTGACTCTTTATTCGTTAAAAAGACAACTTACCCTCCCCCCAAGCAATATCGGTCTTGGTTATCGCCCATTCAAGCCCAGCATGGTCCCACCTGTTCCGATGTGCAGTGCCGGGTAGCCCGGACAGATGGGCTCCACCTCATGTTTCACCTTAACATCGAGCGGAGTGAAATCCTGCAACGGAGCGCTACAGGTTACGATAAAGCAGAGTCTCAAGACCCTAAGAAAGCAACGTACGAGGACTATGACCTATCGAACTGTTTTAAGGATCTGACAAGCATGATCCTGCAGAAGTTAAAAAAAGACTGTTGTAACTAATCAGTTTCAGGAAGCTTTCAGGGAAGTTTCATGGAAGGTCGTTTGTTTTCTTACTATTAGCTGACAGGCTATCTGGCGAATGCACCTATTTTGACCAAATCTGCACGAAATCTCTTTTACAATAAATATCTTCGGATCATGCATTTATTTCAGTGTTTTAATCCGTAATCGAAAATAATGTCTGATAATTTGAGATATATAAAAATGAGGTACATGAGGTATAATGAGGCATATAAGCAACGGTGCAGCCCAAACTGATAACTTTTAAGAAACACACTGAACCTAATTTGACTAAATCTGCACCAAGTCTGTACCTAATCTGCACCAAATGTGTATCATAAGGCCGTCGTGAAAACGTTTATCATGAAATAACTGATAAATCGCACTTATACTAACTAATAACTGATGTACAGCCCTCCAGGTATTAAGTGATTGGTTGTCAACATCACAACAATCGACCTGCTTTGATGAACGCCTACATCTAATGGTTGTTGAAAACCTTTGACGAAGTGCTTGCAAGAACTCAGTTCTTACTTCTATTGAGTCATTTTACTGGAGTGTCTCTGTCATTCAAAGTTATTATACCAAAAACACATCGTCTGACCAGCCACTCCCTCACTGGAGGGCGGTACTTAACGGACAATTCTTTTCAGTTATGCTAAAAATCAGCGCTGCTATCAGTAGTGGCGGAACACTTTCGATTAAGGGGGGCACTGCCGACTTTTCGTCCCATTCTTTCCATGCATTATGCAACGCCCATAGGGCTAATGTTAAAATGCCAAAATCAAGGGGGGCACGGTGCCCCGGTGCCCTCCCCGTTCCGCCGCCTATGGCTGCAATCGCTTTTGCTGCATGTGTAAACCAGAAGAAAAGAACGTTCAATCATGTTTCCAGTTTACTTTTTTTAAATCTACGCCCAGCTGTGTCCCCTGGATTTCCTCACCCTGCTGGGGGAGGGGGGGGGGGGTCCACGATTCCCTGACAAAATGCCGAATAGCAAAATATTTGACCGCAACATATCAAATCGCAAAAGATCCAATTAAACTTATCAGAAATGCAAAATATCGGATCGCAAAATATCGAACTCGCAAAATATCGAAGTGGTAAGGAAAAGAAGCACCGAGCGACCAGATATCAAAAGAAAAATATCGAAAGATAAAACATCGAAACGGCAAAATATCGAGAGGCATATTATCAAAAACTCAAAATATCGAAAGGATATTAGCATCGGACGAAATGGGATCAGTTGCACGTCCCACCAACAGAAACAGAGACAAAGTTACATAGGCTAGCGGGTGCCAGTAGAGCACTCAGGAGCCGGTGTGGGCCATCAGAAGCCCACAGCCTCTCAAAAGAAGTTACATCTTCCAGCAGAAGCATCCCATGCCCACCGACATTACTGTGACTAGTACTTATAGCCAAAATTACTTTACCACTCGTTATAGCTACGGCCTAAGCGGTTGGGTTCAGATGTGCATTGATGAGACCGTCCCAACGCAACATTGCACGTCATTTCAACGACACTCATTTCGAAGACAATCTAAATGGGACGCACTAAGTCCACCTCAGTCGAGGGTGTTAGGCGAAAGTCCCAGTCGATAACTAGGTTTTGGTTTCGATGTTTTTTGCTCGATGTTTTTTTTTTTTAAAGTTGGATTCGATATAGTGCGTCTTGGATATTTTGTTTTTTCCTCGATATTTTGCGTGCGATATTTTGCATTTTCTACCTATATTTTTCGTTCGAACTTCGATTTATTGTTCCTTTCGGTATTCCCCATTCGATATTTTGTCTCTCATCATTTTGTCCTGCGGCATTTCAAAGAAATCATTGTCACAATTTCCATGTCTATCACCCGGCAGATAGTCTGTTATTTCGAAATAATGTGTTGGTGTATGCTTGGCGTGAAAATACATTATATATCCATAATTACGTATCCCCTTTAAAGCAATTTATCCTGCTCAGTGCTCAGCCATGATGCATGACCATCTCAGGTTCACCCCTCGACCTTGTGATCGACAAAGAGTCTTTTGAACAAATATCGGGCCTGTCGCCTGTCGGGAAATATAAAATGAAACATCCAGCATCCTGAACAATCGTATGCCTCTCGTACCGATACGGTCTATCTCGGCTTACTGTGAAACGTGAAACCATATGCTGAGAGTCATCACATCACACGAAGGCGAGGGCCCTAGCATCGGCCTAAGGGACTGGTGTGGGTCTTACACCAAACTAAAAAACCATTCACAGTTCAGTGTTCCGCAACTGTCTCGGTAGTGACTGGGCGACGGTTATCTAACAAGCTCTCAACAGCAATGGCGCAAGCAGAAAATTGTGTCAGCGATTCATGCTGTAAACAATTTGAGTTCCGTTTAAATAGTACGGGGTCCTGAACTTTCCTGCCAGAACATTACCACAAACGTCATTAATACATAAGACAAGATATAATATGGGGAAGGAAATTCGGACTGTGGACGTTAGCTCACACTCACAGCCCTCTCCCCCTACAGGCCATCGGCGGTAGCTGAAACTACCGCTATCCTAGCTCTGCCTGCCCCACCGCGTTAGTGCAGTGGCCAATGGTCAGCCGTCTCCTGCGCTGAACGTGGCATGTCCATTTTCTTTTTACATCACATAGAAAGACAACTTTAAACTATTTTCAAACACTGCCCGAAGCAAGAAATGCTTCTGAAGCTCTGAGAAGATCATATTGGTAAACTACTCTCTTACGAAGCAATTTGCTTTGGCGGCCCCAGCCTGAGCTGAGGGGTGGCATACAAGTGCCAACCGGTTAAGTTGAAACCAACCAGAATGGTCTGGTTTAAATTCGTTCTTTTTCACCACACTACCTTAGGCGCAATGTTGTATTCTTTTTTAATTTATCCATATTGTTAGCGAAATCGTATGCTACCTTTTAATATAATCTTATATAAGTGAGGCGTTACGTTCTTCTCTTTCACCTCCGACGCCATATGCCTCTGTCCGGCTGCCGCCAGTTTCTGTGTATCACTTAATCCCGATAACAGTACTTCACTATTGGGAGTCCTAGCAAAGCTGTTTTGGATTTGTACCTAAGTGCGAATATACTTTGCAGCTGTTGCAGATAGTGTGGCATGTTTTGACACACATCCACACATATAACTGTTTTGTTTTGATAGGCAAATGCCTATGCCCACAGCGTTGCACAACAATCAAGACATTGCACAAACAGTGATAAACAAATCGCCAAAGAAACATCGATACGGAATGACCATGTGGCAGGCTCATCAACACCATTTGTTTGGAATTAAGAACAAAGATCTGCAGTGTCCGCACTCTGTCGCCTGGCGACAACCATGAACACTTACCAGATGCGAGTCTCCAGTGGGTGCCATGAGTGCCATGATAATCACACCACACGCCGACACTCAGCACCACCCACCCCACCGCACATAGCGCACTGCACTGCCGCCCGCGGCGCCCGCCGCCCCCGGCCACCATTGGACAGCCGCGGGAGCGCCACTGAACGCTGATTGGTGCAATCGCGGCATTCAGTGAGACCAGCCGCCTCTGATTGGCCGGGGGGCGGGGTGATGAGACAGCGGGGCGCTACCCGTGCGACAATGGCCGTCCATGTTGAATCTTTGGAGACGGCCGGGCGTGACCGCGGCGAGCGGGCGAGCGGCAGCCGATAAATGGCAGTGGCTCGCGGCAGGCTCGGTCCTGACACAGGCTCGGTCAGTCCCGTTCAGACATGTGCATGAAATCGAGTGTTGGATGTGTGATCTTGGAAGGACCTCGCAACAGGTTATGATTTCATCAGGCTCTCCATGGGAAAAGTTGGTATGCCCAGTCTGTCGAGTGTCGGTCCTACGTATAATATAATTCCTAATCTTAAATCTATGCCCACATAGGACCTGAAGAAAAACAAGAAAAAGAATCTAGGAGCTGCGGGACAATATGCAGCGCAGCCTGTAAAACCACGATCCCTCATGGCATGACCCCTGGTAAATTTCATGTTATTTGCCATCAGTACCTCATAGCCGTGTATATAACTCGTTATTATGCCAAATCTATAAAACAGAACCATTGCAATCTGCAACAGTCGTTCCTTATCCCGGCCGGGTCCGGGGGTAATCTCAACCACCGCAGAGGGAGGGGGACGTTTTGTATCCCTCTTTAAAGGCAGATCAGGCCGTGTATTATATACCTGCGGCCGGGGGCGCTGGCTGGCACAGCGGTAATCCCTACGACCCAGCGAACACTCCCCAGTTCATGCCATTTGTGTTTCATAGGATAGCACTGCAGGGATGCGGAGCCGTGGAAATTTCAGACGGCTCCGGCTCCGGCTCAGGCTCCGGAGAAAAAAATCGGTTCCGGCTCCGGCTCCGGCTCCGGGTGAAATGTCATGGCGGCTCCGGCTCCGGCTCCGGGTGGAATGTCATGGCGGCTCCGGCTCCGGCTCCGGCTCCGAGTAAAATGATCCGGCTCCGGCGGCTCCGGCTCCGGCGGCTCCGGCTCCGGCTTCTACTCAGTACATCCCCTATGCGAAAGAAAAAAGGCGATGGGATTGGTACACGTTGCTTCTGTATTTGTATAACAAGGCTATTTTGTATACCACATCGTTTTACTGTCAAACCGAACTACAGGGTGTCCCATAATTACCCGGACATTGTTAATTAGCGTATAAAATAAGGCAAACATGATTGCGCCTTTTTCTTTTTACCGTCCTATATAGTCAACTAGGGTGGCTGTGAAATAGCACATGCAATAGATACGCTTGTTACAAGATCAGCCGACAATGATGGAAAATGCCAGCCATTGCTGGTCTCAGTTGTTTTACGGGTCTCCCGAAAATGGGTGTAGGCCTGTTTTCTTTGACCTCTTGCCGGAGGATAATACGATCATATAAGATAAACTTGACATCAAAGTGCTCCCAGGCCATAAGGTATTATCCCCCAAAACAAAAATTTCTGCCTACGCCACTTTTGCTGCGTTTTTTACATCTGGAGTGGAGAAGCTCCATGTCTGAACATTGCGCAACCTTTGGCTTCCAACAGATTTGGTTTCCAAAACAAACCCGTTCATGGCCATTTGGTTCACGGCATCCAGTTTTCGCACTGGTAGAATATTACCGCAGTACACCTTTTTGCGTTGTTCGATGGCCAATCGTCATAACCATTTCGGCATCAGTTTGGACAAGCGTCATTCAGAATAACCCATCGGCGATGTGCATCACTGTTAGACGGTCGGCAAAACAGGCTGGACTCCATTTAACCATTCTGCATAACTCTTTGTCATTGAGCACAATGTTCGTCATAGGCAAAACACTTTGTCAGATTGTCATAATGCTTCGACATTTCACAAAATGGTTAGTCGATGTGCAAAATTCATCGGTACTGTGCGTAAACAATGACTGTTTGTTTAAAACTTTCGTCAATGATCAAAATGTCAATGATGTAGTGCTTATCTAGCCATATTCAATGTTTAACCCTATTCCTGGCGGGGGGGGCCTCAGGAGCCCCCCCCCTGAGGTTTTTGGTTATTTCTCCCAAACGCGTTGAGCTAGGAAGCTCAAATTTTCTGACTTTTCCTAAAAGGCTTCTACGCAACATGTCTGAAAATTTTGAGTTGATCTGACCTCAGGTCAGGTCACCAGAGGCGGTTTGGTGACCCTACCTCAGAAAAGTTTGCAATCACGCCAGAGCTAGAGTTTTTGACCGATCAATTTCTTCTCTTCAGGCTTTAGTTAGGGTACCAGTATGTGCAATTTGTATATCTCGGAATTTTGATATCGGTGACCTAAGGTCAGGTCAGTTTCGCGACCTCCCCATTATAAGTCAATGGGGGAAAAATCAACTCCCTGTTTTTACCACTAAAACGGGTCGGAATGGCCCCATATACCATACATGACTTCATATACGATCAACCTTTAGGGGAAGTTGGGGCAGTGCCGGAGTTGGGGCAAAGCCGAAATTCGAGATATTTCTAAAACCGTACGACATGGATGCCACGTCTCAGTGATGCTCGGAGGCTTAAGTGACTACAATTATCGCATGTTTGTAACGAGTCGTCATTTGGAATACTTCGGCTGTGAGAGCGCCAAAAGCGTTTTCAAAGTACGTTTCCCTTGTACTACATGCGCCTTTGAAGCTGCATTTCTTACTCATTATGCTACCGTTTGTCTGGCCAATTCGGTCAAGTAATCTTTTGGATGTCTTTGCATAAGTGTGCTGTCTATTTGAAATGTATACAGCACGTTTAAAAGTTATGGGCCTGCAAATGAAAGTATGGCTGGCTGGGGTAATGCCGAAAACGTGCAATTACGCACGTTATTAAAGCACGCTACGTGGACTTTACTGCTGTAGAATAGCAACGCGTATTTTTAGTGAAACAAATTACACTTTCAGCCGGCACAACGGCCTGTTACCTATAAGGAATAATTTACCTGGCATTTTCTTATTATATCACACAATTATAACTTCCAGTGTGCACCAAGCGTCCTCAAGCTCTTAAAACGCGTGTCAGCTTTGATGAATTTTGGATAAAGTTTGAGATAAATTGGCAAAACATCAATGTCGGCATTCCTCGTAGATCATTTATCCCATTTCGGCTTTCCCCGCAGTCCGGGGCAACGCCGAAAAAGTCAGTTCTTTGATATTTTTAGTTTTTGCGCTTAACGGTATGCGAATTCATCAAATGCGCCTGGTATGTTTGAAAGACAAAAGACTGGCCTCTCGAATGACGCCAACAAGAATAGCTTATGTTGTCTACCTTGCGTGCTACGGGCGTCAGAAAAAAAGTATTCGGCGTTCCCCCAACTTCCCCTACTACCTTGAGGTCTGTTTTGCTGTTGGGCAGCTGTGAGGTCATGTGACGTCATCAAAGGTCACCAAAGGTTTTTGGCCAATAACTCCGTACAGGAACAAGATACAGACGCGTGGATGGTCTCATTGTGTTCAGCTCGTCAAGACGCATCGAATGATATACATGATGACCTCGAGGTCACGTGACCTGAGGTCAACCTTTGACCTTGACCTTTCGAGGTCAACATATATATCATTCGATGTGGATTGACGAGAGGATCACGATGATGCCCTTAGTTTGTTCCTATCTTGACTAATTCGAAAGTTATTCGAGAAAAACTCTCTCCATATCTAGCGCCGCCATTTTGACTTTTTCGACCCCTGTGACGTCATCTTTGACCTGACCTGAAAATGACCTTAGTAAAAATTGTAGACCTTGTCCATGCGTATCCGATGCCGTTTACCGCTTGTCGCTATCTTGCTTCGTTCTCGAGATCTCAGGGGGGGGGCCGAATCGGCCCCCCCGCCAGTTTCTTGTCCCGGCGGAGCCCGCCAGGAATAGGGTTAACGTTAATCACGCATTCAGGGATGAGGCTTATGACAGTTCCAGCGCAATTTGCAACCAATTAACCATTGAATTCCGAAAAAGGCAGTTATACCATAGCTACGAGGAGACTGCCGGCGCCATACCGAGTAGGCATGTAGATTCTTGAGCGTTGGACTCCTAAACGCTTCGATACAAACCACGAAGTCTGCCGTCATTATCGCGCCACTGCCCGTGCGATGTCATGGGACAACGCCTCGGGCGGCCGCGCCGGTCGGACTCGCGAGGGAAAGGCTGACAGATGGCAAGCCGGGCCCTGCCGGCCGGACACCTTGGTTTTTGGGGCGGGGCTGACTTATCCAACCTGTTGCCTGTTCCTTGGTGTTTGAGGCGGGGTTAACTTATCCAGCATGTTGCTCTGTTGCCTGTCCATTTTTCAATCAGCCGATAACATGTCAGCTACGTCCATCTACATTGTACCTATGGCGCTCATGAACGCTACCGATTTTTATGTAGATCAATGGTCTACGAGTTTCACCACCTATGCCTCGCACTGCACTGTATAAACCCGGTCATATTTATACTTCTCTGTAAAGGGGCGATCTGTTTTTAGTTTTGACGAAATGTTATGAGGAATGCCGAAATTAGCATGGGGATGTTTTGGTGAACGACGAAGGGATATTAACGAAAGACGAAGCATTTATCCAAATCGTCAAAGGTTTTGCCGGAACTCAATCAGTTATGGCGAATAGCGAAGGTAATACCAACTGACGAACTGTGGAGTGGGATCAGCATTCCGTTTTGCCCATATGCTGAAGGTTTTGCCGGAATGCCTCTCACTGGCGCCACCTATGTGCTGATCGGACGAATGGGTTTTGCTGATTGGCCATCGAACAACGCAAAAAGGTGTAGTACCCTGTGCTAACGGTTGTCTTTGGGCCATCATATCAAGCCCAATGAGTGCACGGTAGCTCAAAATGTCTCACAATTTGATTTTCGACGGGTGCCTGGCCGTCTCTGCTGTTGGGGCGTTGTAGCCATCTGACGTTCACACAAGCCTTTTTCGGGTGGTTCAAATGACATAATATCTTCGTTAGACCACAAAGTGTGCCTCAATATACTGTTTTGTTGTATATGTTATGTTTTTGGGATGAATTGTAGTGATTTGCGCTGCTTTTCCCGTAGTTTTCGCATATTTTTCTGGCGAAGGACCCCAAATTCCAAAATTTTGTCGAAGATAGTGGTGCAAAGTAGACTGATATTTTGAAGATAATCCTGATCTATTGTTTAGCTAGTTTTTAGCTAGATCGGTGACGTTTGTTGTCTATGACAAGCAACCACTTGTTTGACAACTGGTGCATGGCCCTTTTTGGCCGAGCCCAAGCTTGTCAATCAGGTTTATCTCTTGCTCTCTCTGGCTTCGTTAGCTGATATAATTGCGCTTTGCTCAATCCTAACTGCTTGCAGATGAGCTGCTGAAGCTCTCCAGCAAAAACCATGCCGAAAGTCCGTTTACAAAGTTGAGAACGGGAGTTGATTCGCCATGGTTGCCTATTAGTGGCTTAAGCTGAAAACGGAAAAGGACTACTCTTACTTGACTCTGGATAATAATTGATTCGAGACGTTACCGGCCACCAAAAGCACACAGTCCCCAATCTCAATAGCTAAGGGATATCTTATAAAAGTATGATGCTTGTATATCATTAGAAGCAAGCGCAGTCGTACTTTTAGCCAGAAGATAAATGTCCGGGTAATTCTGGGACACCCTGTAGGTAAATAATTGTTTCCTCTTAAGAAAAGGAGCCGGAGTGGCCCCCTTTTTTTGACGGCTCCGGCTCCGGGCTATATTGTTTCACGGCTCCGGCTCCGGCTCCGGCTCCGCATCCCTGGATAGCAGGATGCATAAAATCGGGCAAACTGGTTGAAAACGAAGGAAGACACTCAGTGAGGAATCCGAGGATGTGTTCAAAGCTCAAAGTCAAGGTTATGCTCAAAATTGACCTCAAACTCTGCATTTTTGTTGAACTTATATACCGATTTTCAAGCAAAATGTTTCGAAATACTTCGTGCTTATCATAATCAAGCCTTGATTTGTAGTTTTTGTAACGATGCAAGGCTACCCCCCCCCCCCCAAGGACAAGGTCATGCAAGAGTATCCCGGCCTGCAGCAGGTTATTAGACGGATTCAAGTTAGCCATTAGTTATAATTCATGCATTTTTTGCTCTCTTGTGACTCTTAATGAATGTTCAAAGCAAAACGCAAGCCAGATTCGTGATCAGCAGCTACGAATACCTACATCATAAGGACTCACCATGTGCTAATGTCATCCAAAGGTCATTCGAGGTCACATTAGGTGAACATAAAACTAGACTGTTCCCAAATAGAATTTATGTCATTCGGCGTGGCGTTACACAGTAAATACGTTGACATCACTCTTAGCTCTACATAGGATCATTTTTGTTGAAGCTAGGAGCCGGTCTTAAAGGAACCCTCCCGGCTTCCACCTTCAAAAAATTAATGAATTGGCATACAAGTGGTGTTGCATGCTTCAGAGTAAGAAAAAAAATGAATATCTTCCAAATTTCATCTGAAAATGGTGACCGGTTTTTGAGATATTAGACAACTACTTTTGTTTACCTTTCGGAGCCTTCACTGTTCCTACGACGTCATTTGGAAACAGTAATTTGGTATCTTAAAAGTGCGGCAGATGTTGCGCACAAGCCACAAACAGCATATACCACCACTGCTTCACAAAGATGTTAGTGTAAGATTTTAAAATCGCTAGACCTGCGCTGACGTCACAAATTCAAATGGGGGGGGGGAGGGCATTCAAACGCATTGTCCCCTCTGAATCCAAAGTGCTGCAACTTTGAAATTCCATATCTCTGAATTAAAGCCTTCTTCGATGTTGTGAGTGCCCAAACCGGTAAATGAAAACCATGGACCTAAATTTGGCTATCTCAACTCAAAACTAATGTTTAGGTGGGATGGTCACTTTCAAGATCTTTGATGCGATGGATCTTTTTTCCTAAATAAAATGGTTTGCCGTCAAATCAATCAAACAAAATATAATTAATGTTTGCCAGTGCTCTGGCGAGGAACATGATTGACACGATTATATGAAAGAAAAACATTGACCTTATTCCTCGAATATATAGCAAAATTAAAAGCTCCATTTTTATTTACGTGATATTTCGGCCAACAGACCATTATCAAAGGAAAGAAAGAACAATGTTGTTTGTTTGTTCTTTCTTTCGTTTGATAATGGTCTGTTGATAATGTTTGATAACAACCATTATCAAACGAAAGAAAGAACAATGTTGTTTGTTTGTTCTTTCTTTCGTTTGATAATGGTCTGTTGGCCGAAATTTCACGTAAATAAAAAGGTAACTTGGCATTAATTTTGCTATATACTCGAGGAATAAGGTCAATGTTTTCTTTAATACAAGCAAAATAGATATAAACCTACTAAGTACTAACCTACTAACCCATTTTACATAGGACAAACCTATCACCTTAGGGTCGAAAAGAACCCTTTCTCGCGCTGCGGAGCAAGATGGTCACCCTAGTATAACTATTATATCTTATGACCTATTTACGAGTACCTGCTGTTTTCAGGGCGAGTGATAACACTAAAAACTGTAATTTCATCATTTATTCATCACAGCAAATCATTCAACACATTGGTATTCAAATAATAAATAGGTAAAACAGTACAGACACGCCAACAAGCTGAGCACACGGGCACAAACTCACACGGTAATGCATTCATGAATAAGAGAGGAGCTGTGATCATAAATACGACTTAGTTGCTGTACTTCTGGACGGGGCGGTAGGCGTAGATGGGCTCCTGCTCAGGCTCCTTGTAGACGGGAGCAGCCTTGTAGACGGGAGCCGGAGCCGGAGCGGCCTTGTAGACGGGCTCCTCGGGGTACTGGGCCTCGCCCTCGTACGTGACCTCGGCGTTGTAGCCGGCGTAGTCGTCGACGGTGTACTTGACCGTCTGGATGCGGCCGTCGGGCAGAGCCACCGTGTAGTAGCCGGACGTCTGCTTGCCGTCGCTGTTCTCGTTGGCGGCAAACTTGGAGCCCGTCTCGTAGTCGCTGACCGAGTAGTCGAACGCGTACGGGGCCGGCTCGTACTCGGGCTCCTTGTAGGCAGCCGGGGCCTCGTAGGCAGCCGGGGCCCTGTAGGCAGCCGGAGCCCTGTAGGCAGCGGGCAGCTTGTCGGCGGCAGCGACGGCCAGGAGGGCGGCGACAATGAAGGCCTTCATTCTGTTGGTTGGGAGCTGGTGTGTGTGACTGGAGCTGGTTAGCTGAGGAGTGATGACGGGCCGTCGGCACTTTCCCTTTTATAGTGGCCGGTTACTGGGCGTGGCGGGACGGACCACTTACAAGGTTAGACGAGTAAGAGAGCGGCCCATTTGAACGGTATATAGTACACGTTGTAAGTACATGGACGGTTGTATGTGGTTCACGAAGGCTATTCTAAAAGGCTATAGAAGATTCTATGGAGATTTAAGAGTTGACTTGCATTTCCTAGCAGCTGTTATTGTGACGTTTCTGAATCGCGAATGTGCTACCTTACGCCAATTGGCGGCAAGTGGTAGGTAACGATGACAATTTTTTTTTAAGAGTGAAGGTAGCAAAAAGTCGATGAGTTGCATAGCCGATAAAGTACTTACTTTTACGGCTTTGATGAAGGCTTTGCGCATTGCACCACAAAAGTTCTTCTACGATAATTAATCATAGGTGCCTATGTATGTCTTGAATAATTGGTAAGCAAACGTGCTGTGCTTATAATTTCAAGGAGAACTGCAATATGCCAACCAAGATAAATTATGCATATTGGTTTTGGTTCGGCCACGTCGTGTTTTTTTTATTAGAAAACTTGCTTCTCATTTACTTTTTTAATTTCTCAAGCTCCAACGACTATAAAAGATGACTTTCCTATAGCCAGCTAGCACGTCTTTTAACATAGAAATCGAAAGCATTTGACGTGCTTTAGCAAAATCTTTGAAATTGATAGGTACCCCAAACCCCCTAAATATTGACCTGGAGTCACTAGCTTTGTACAGGGGCGAAATTTCCTATGGGTACGTATGTACATGGGGTTCACCTACCCTGAAATTTTTGGTGTTTCAAGTGCCATATGGAGCTATCGCCAGATGGGTCGTACCAATGCCCCTCCCCCATGGCCGTCCGCGTTATGAAAAAGGCCCTGGCGTGGTTGCGGTTTGAACCCAGCCGAGGCGGACGAGTTTGTACTCGTCCCCTTCAGGTTTTCCGCAGATATCTATCCAAAATCGGTGGCACCACATCCCACTGTTTTCAAAACACCTAATCATGCAACGCTTCCTCACATGTGAAAATTTTAGGCCCATGTCGTTCAGATTCAGGTCACGACCAGTTAGGGGAGAGCGGGGCCAGTTGAACCACTTTTTATATATTGACATGCACAGCGAGATCTAGTTGTCATATCGAAAAATGCACAATGCCATGAAAAAATATGCTCTTTTGGCTTTATTTTAAGATAGGTAAAATTATGTTTCAAACATATTTTGCTGCCAAACGCACGCTTATAAAACAGCTCTACGCCCGTTTCAAATGACCCCGAGGCCCGATGCGAGGGTCAATTGAACCAGTCCATGGGGTCAATTGCACCTATCCTTATCAATGGGATGTTTTCCTCTTTAAGGCCACTTTCTTAAGGAGATATTTTGTCCGGTTTACTTTTCCAAATGCTACATTCAATAGGTCGTTGGAAAGCTAAAAGTGCAAAGTTCCTCATAATAGGTGACATAAAGTACATAGACTATGGTAAAATGGGCGGATGAGAAAAATGAGAAATATCTCAGGCTATAGTGTGCTTTCAAGCAAAAGGCTGGAGAAAAAGGGGTCAAAAATTGAGCTCTATTAAACTACTATTTCAGTTTAAAAACTCATTTCAAAGGTGGACTATTTCCTTTAATGTTTACAGCCCCTGAACAATAACCATTGCAAAGGTCACCGGGGTCCATTGAAACGGCTTGTGGCCCTGTTTCAACTGATCCTCAGAGAAGCGTTTCAATTGACCCCATCCGCTCCCGCCATCTCGCACGCGCCGTAAAGCACATGTCAAACGAGCTGGAGGGACGGCATCATGCTGAATGAAGGGCAAAATAAGGTGTTATTCCGGAGCCAGGAGTTCTTTTTTCAGCAAACAAAGGTATATGAGATATCACAAAATATTCATAAGAACGATTTCTCCCAAACGCCCCTCAAAAACACAAAAACAAGTGTCAACTCAAAATTACCGTCCGTTTGCCGCCCAAACGCCGTTGACAAAGGAAGTGGTCGAGCGCGGATGCGCAGCGGTGTCGGCAACGCCATATGATGCATGCTGTTGAAAATAAAGCCATGTTTCATCTGACCCCGTGTTTCAACTGGCCCCGCTCTCCCCTAAGTAGCCTCACCAATATTTTAATACATACTTCCCTTACCTACACCGACTAAACGATTGCTTTGCAACTTTTAAGTTTTAGCCATAGGCGGCGGAACGGGGAGGGCACCGGGGCATCGTGCTCCCCCTTGAATTTGGTATTTTAACATTAGCCCTATGGGCGTTGCATGGAAAGAATGAGACCAAAAATCGGCAGTGCCCTCCCCCCCCCCCCCTAATTGAAGGTGCTCCGCCGCTACTGCTTTTAGCGATTTATAAGGGCAATAAACATAAAAATATGCTCTCGGATTTTTACAGCTATGACCTATGGCTTGATCGGGTCAATCTTGCAACCTTTCCTTTAGAAATGGGAGGAAGAAATCTGGACTGCGCTCTTTTTGGACGAAAGGCATGCCTACTGGGCACTCTAAAACATCATACAACAGGTTTATATTCAATATTGAGTCGAGACCTTCCTTGCATCCGTGAACCCTTTTTACGCCTGAGGTCATCCTAGGCCATGAAAGGTCACTAGCAGTTTTCGACAACTAACTTTTCATATAGACGTTCTAGGGCGATGAAAAAACTTGAGATGTAATTAGATCAACGACACAGATTGACTAATAGGGAGCATGACCATTGACCAATGCCATGGTAATTTCATAACCTTGAACTTAGGTCAATTATTCAAGTTAACCTGTTAAGGTCAGCTCAGCGGCTAACCCAACAAGCCCAACAAGTCAAGGATCGAGATGATGTGCAACAGTTGTTGTGCAGCATCGATACTTTATGATAACAAATAAAAATAGATGCACATTTCACCGACCATCGAATGAAATCAAAATTTTTATGGTAAAGAAACTGACCATTAACATGCCAATTTTTTGCGATTAAAAAGACCGAAATACAGAACGAGCTTTCGCCGCTAAGGCATTATCAGATTCCTTAAATTCTGGTTGCTAAAGAAATAAAATGCGTTTGTGCCATGTTAATGATATTTTACCATCTGCATTTTGACGAAAATGATGGCAAAACTACCATCTGTTATATGATTTAAATGGAACCTCACCTCACTACCCTGGCGCGTTTCCACTCTCATGCCAGTCCCATGGCGGAAGATGCCAAGGCCAGGGCGTCACCTACACACAGTGGCGAGCTAGGAGCGAGCGGCATTGAAGAGGTCGCCACATTCGCAGGAACACAGCTTTTCAGCTCGTCAACGAGTCACGATTTCCTTGCTTTAGCATTACAAATCTTTCCGTTGGCACGCATGGATCAGCCACCAACAATTTGAAGCCCTCGTTATTTAGCATTTATCTCGGATTTTCAAGTCAGCGGCCTCAGACCAGGTCAACTGGAAGACATTTCCATTTAAGGCAATATGAGTAAGTTGAGCTATAGGTAGGTACAGGTCTCGCGAGATTAAGCGGTAGGTTTTGCACTTTTACATTTCCGGTTATATCTCAGAAACTAATCGATCTACGATGAAGCCATTTTACACGATCATGGCCGCCGGCCGGCTTGGTACCCAACAAGTCGATCGCATCTTCAACACTTAAAAGCATAAGACGGCGAAGATAGGTAGGTATAGGTAGCCTGAAGTAGGTACACCAAGGCTGGGGGGATCCGTGCTATCGTAAGTTATATCGGACGTGGCTGCGAAACTTCTCTCGGTACGAAACTTCTCTTGATCGGAAGAAAATCGGAGGGATGAAAAAGAAAGAGCGGCAAATCGGAGCTACGTTGTACGTAAGTTGTTTCGCAGCGTTTAAAGGTAGTGTGCCACCTTTGAAAGATTTCCCATTTTATTTTTCCTAGGATAAGAAGCTTCTGTTTTTACCTAATATCGCAAAAAAAAATCAAAAATGGGCCTGGAATAGTGCCTTTTTCGCCTAAAAGTTTTTCGGTTTTTAGATATGTATAACAACTGTAGTGGGCTCACCTGCAAACAGGCGTCGGGCAACAATCGCGAATGCGGCGCACTTGTGACAATAAGCAAAGGTCATTATAGTGTTACGACCATACGACGTACGGAAATGAGTTATCAGCTGTCTAATCGTAGACAACACAATGTCGAGCCTTAAACTGTAAGCCCGTATTGGTATTGTTTCTTTTATTTGGCTGTCGAACATTATTTATGGTTTGAAATATGATTTTATGTAAAATAATTGATATGAAAAAGCCGTCTTATAAGTTATGACCCCATTTCACCACACGCAAGTGGCAGAAATGACAATGATCAGCTGACGCATTTTTCTTGGCCGAAGTCAGAGCGCGCGGCCCGACGCACCACGCGTATTTGGAAATTCCGACCTCGACGAGCATCAGAAGCCACCTAACAGGCGTGTTCGAAACCGCAGGAGATGATGATGAACGGGTTTATCGAAACTTGATTGGATGAGCATATCGGTAATAGCGATTTCAGTGTGTGCATTTATTGTTCATAGTGGTGTGAAATGTGGTTGGGGTACGACCGACAACCCGTCGGGGCGAATTTCGCACTGGGGTACTCAAAATTTGAAGAATTTAAGACGTTTCCATGAGTTTTGAAGGTATGGATAAGTTCTAAAAATCCGGTTCTCCTTATCTGGGCCATTAACTCCATACGGTCCAAGAAAGCTGGCACACTACCTTTAAATGCCAGTTTTACTACGATTTAAATGCCAAGCAGATCAGCTGACCTCGTAGTACCATGTCGATAAGGTCGAATTCCCCATACGTCTATAGTGTAAACGTGACCCCTATTGCAAATGGGCTGTCAGGGACATCTCCTCCTCTGTAAATTTGGAGGGATCATGTGTCGGCATTCCCACGTTCGTTTCGGAGTCCATCTGTTCCATTTGGAGCCCGTCC